GAGCCCACGCAGCCGGCCAAATAGACACGCCACATGCACCGATGGCCAGGCGATGCTTGCGGCATGCTACTTGGCCGGCCGCTTGGGCAAAACTTAACCGTTGTCTATTGGTTCCCAACTAATTGAGATAATTGGAGATAGTTGTGGGTGCAGAACAGCGAACAGGGCAGGCACGCGTGTGAGACGTTGTAGCAAACAAACTCGCCTTTATTCGCTAGGCGAAATGGATGCGGGTTGGGGCTGTGCTGGCGAATAGCAGCGGTACGGCAGCGGCGGCAGCTTGACGTACCGGCGGCGGTGGCAGCGAGGCACCCCTGTCGGCCGCCACGGAGGTACTGCCGTCGTAGGTAGCACGACATGGCCTCGCCCCCCGCGTCTCGCAAAGAGGTACATGCGTAGGAAGAAAGGCATTGGGGGCGTTGGGTTAGGCTATGCTATACGCATATAAGTACCGGCAAGGAAAAGGAAGTAAAGCAAGACACGTGTGTTCGACCTTGGAAAGCTGTCGACTCAGCTGACCCTACTGCTGCTGGGCTGATATATCTGATGCTGCTGCTGCTGTAACTGCTGCTGGCTGTTCTGAGCTGACTGAGGGTGGCACTGGCTGCCGCTGCTGCTGCTGTTTGGCTGTTAAGACTGCTGAAGTCTGTTCTGAGCTGACTGAGGGTGGCACTGGCTGCCGCTGGGGGTACCTCGGATGCAGGTGAGCGTCATCCAGCTCTCGGAGGCGAAGCAGACACGTGCCACGAACACACCCGCTGTCCAAATGCAACATGCACACCGCTAGCCACACCCACCCACCCACCCGCCCGCCAGCCCGCCCGCCCTCACCCACCTTCAACGTTCGCGCTCATGGTGGGGCTCAAGGCAAGCAGTCTCGTGGCTGAACGATGACCCATGCATGGGTCTCCTAGCCGCCGCCGGAAAAGAAGCCAATGCCTTGTTAGTCCCTTAGCGAAGAAGGCGGCACACCAGGCGGGAGCAGTGCAGGAAATGTCGGTGAGGGGCTGGGTGGCGGCTCCGGCGAAGAAGGCGACACGCCAGGCAGGAGCGGTGCAGGAAATGTCGGTGAGGGGCTGGGTGGCGGCGCTGGCGAAGTAGGCGTCGCGCCAGGCGGGAGCGGGGAAGGAGATGGCGGTGAGGGGCTGGGTGGCGGCTCCGGCGAAGAAGGCGGCACGCCAGGCGGGAGCGGGGAAGGAGATGGCGGTGCAGGGCTGGGTGGCGGCTCCGGCGAAGAAGGCGGCACGCCAGGCGGGAGCGGGGAAGTAGACGGCGGCGAGGGGATGGGTGGCGGCTCCGGCGAAGAAGGCGGCACGCCAGGCGGGAGCGGTGCAGGAGATGGCGGCGAGGGGCTGGGTGGCGGCTCTGGTGAAGAAGGCGGCACGCCAGGCGGGAGCGGGGAAGGAGATGGCGGTGAGGGGCTGGGTGGCGGCTCCGGCGAAGAAGGCGGCACGCCAGGCGGGAGCGGGGAAGGAGACGGCGGCGAGGGGATGGGTGGCGGCTCTGGCGAAGGATGCGGCACGCCAGGCGGGAGCGGGGAAGGAGATGGCGGTGCGGGGGCTGGGTGGCGGACGAAGCGCAGGAGCCAGGATCGGAGGCTCATGCGGAGATCGATGTGGGGGCAAGGAGGGGGGGGGGAAGGAATGGGTTGGTGGCGATGAGAGAACGGATGTATGGGACACTAGAGCAATGCATGTTTAGAAGCAGGCAGCGAGCTAGCCGGAGACACTCCAGCCCCATGCAACGGGCCCTCAGAGCAACATGCCGAGCCCACGCAGCCGGCCAAATAGACACGCCACATGCACCGGTGGCCAGGCGATGCTTGCGGCATGCTACTTGGCCGGCCGCTTGGGCAAAACTTAACCGTTGTCTATTGGTTCCCAACTAATTGAGATAATTGGAGATAGTTGTGGGTGCAGAACAGCGAACAGGGCAGGCACGCGTGTGAGACGTTGTAGCAAACAAACTCGCCTTTATTCGCTAGGCGAAATGGATGCGGGTTGGGGCTGTGCTGGCGAATAGCAGCGGTACGGCAGCGGCGGCAGCTTGACGTACCGGCGGCGGTGGCAGCGAGGCACCCCTGTCGGCCGCCACGGAGGTACTGTCGTCGTAGGTAGCACGACATGGCCTCGCCCCCCGCGTCTCGCAAAGAGGTACATGCGTAGGAAGAAAGGCATTGGGGGCGTTGGGTTAGGCTATGCTATACGCATATAAGTACCGGCAAGGAAAAGGAAGTAAAGCAAGACACGTGTGTTCGACCTTGGAAAGCTGTCGACTCAGCTGACCCTACTGCTGCTGGGCTGATATATCTGATGCTGCTGCTGCTGTAACTGCTGCTGGCTGTTCTGAGCTGACTGAGGGTGGCACTGGCTGCCGCTGCTGCTGCTGTTTGGCTGTTAAGACTGCTGAAGTCTGTTCTGAGCTGACTGAGGGTGGCACTGGCTGCCGCTGGGGGTACCTCGGATGCAGGTGAGCGTCATCCAGCTCTCGGAGGCGAAGCAGACACGTGCCACGAACACACCCGCTGTCCAAATGCAACATGCACACCGCTAGCCACACCCACCCACCCACCCGCCCGCCAGCCCGCCCGCCCTCACCCACCTTCAACGTTCGCGCTCATGGTGGGGCTCAAGGCAAGCAGTCTCGTGGCTGAACGATGACCCATGCATGGGTCTCCTAGCCGCCGCCGGAAAAGAAGCCAATGCCTTGTTAGTCCCTTAGCGAAGAAGGCGGCACACCAGGCGGGAGCAGTGCAGGAAATGTCGGTGAGGGGCTGGGTGGCGGCTCCGGCGAAGAAGGCGACACGCCAGGCAGGAGCGGTGCAGGAAATGTCGGTGAGGGGCTGGGTGGCGGCGCTGGCGAAGTAGGCGGCGCGCCAGGCGGGAGCGGGGAAGGAGATGGCGGTGAGGGGCTGGGTGGCGGCTCCGGCGAAGAAGGCGGCACGCCAGGCGGGAGCGGGGAAGGAGATGGCGGTGCAGGGCTGGGTGGCGGCTCCGGCGAAGAAGGCGGCACGCCAGGCGGGAGCGGGGAAGGAGATGGCGGTGAGGGGCTGGGTGGCGGCTCCGGCGAAGAAGGCGGCACGCCAGGCGGGAGCGGGGAAGGAGACGGCGGCGAGGAGATGGGTGGCGGCTCCGGCGAAGAAGGCGGCGCGCCAGGCGGGAGCGGGGAAGGAGATGGCGGTGCGGGGGCTGCGTGGCGGCTCTGGCGAAGGATGCGGCACGCCAGGCGGGAGCGGGGAAGGAGATGTCGGTGCAGGGCTGGGTGGCGGCTCCGGCGAAGAAGGCGGCACGCCAGGCGGGAGCGGTGCAGGAGATGGCGGTGAGGGGCTGGGTGGCGGCTCCGGCGAAGAAGGCGGCACGCCAGGCGGGAGCGGGGAAGGAGATGGCGGTGAGGGGCTGGGTGGCGGCTCCGGCGAAGAAGGCGGCACGCCAGGCGGGAGCGGGGAAGGAGACGGCGGCGAGGGGATGGGTGGCGGGCTGGCGGCTCCGGCGAAGAAGGCGGCGCGCCAGGCGGGAACGGGGAAGGAGATGGCGGTGCGGGGGCTGGGTGGCGGACGAAGCGCAGGAGCCAGGATCGGAGGCTCATGCGGAGATCGATGTGGGGGCAAGGAGGGGGGGGGAAGGGAATGGGTTGGTGGCGATGAGAGAACGGATGTATGGGACACTAGAGCAATGCATGTTTAGAAGCAGGCAGCGAGCTAGCCGGAGACACTCCAGCCCCATGCAACGGGCCCTCAGAGCAACATGCCGAGCCCACGCAGCCGGCCAAATAGACACGCCACATGCACCGGTGGCCAGGCGATGCTTGCGGCATGCTACTTGGCCGGCCGCTTGGGCAAAACTTAACCGTTGTCTATTGGTTCCCAACTAATTGAGATAATTGGAGATAGTTGTGGGTGCAGAACAGCGAACAGGGCAGGCACGCGTGTGAGACGTTGTAGCAAACAAACTCACCTTTATTCGCTAGGCGAAATGGATGCGGGTTGGGGCTGTGCTGGCGAATAGCAGCGGTACGGCAGCGGCGGCAGCTTCACGTACCGGCGGCGGTGGCAGCGAGGCACCCCTGTCGGCCGCCACGGAGGTACTGCCGTCGTAGGTAGCACGACATGGCCTCGCCCCCCGCGTCTCGCAAAGAGGTACATGCGTAGGAAGAAAGGCATTGGGGGCGTTGGGTTAGGCTATGCTATACGCATATAAGTACCGGCAAGGAAAAGGAAGTAAAGCAAGACACGTGTGTTCGACCTTGGAAAGCTGTCGACTCAGCTGACCCTACTGCTGCTGGGCTGATATATCTGATGCTGCTGCTGCTGTAACTGCTGCTGGCTGTTCTGAGCTGACTGAGGGTGGCACTGGCTGCCGCTGCTGCTGCTGTTTGGCTGTTAAGACTGCTGAAGTCTGTTCTGAGCTGACTGAGGGTGGCACTGGCTGCCGCTGAGGGTACCTCGGATGCAGGTGAGCGTCATCCAGCTCTCGGAGGCGAAGCAGACACGTGCCACGAACACACCCGCTGTCCAAATGCAACATGCACACCGCTAGCCACACCCACCCACCCACCCGCCCGCCAGCCCGCCCGCCCTCACCCACCTTCAACGTTCGCGATCATGGTGGGGCTCAAGGCAAGCAGTCTCGTGGCTGAACGATGACCCATGCATGGGTCTCCTAGCCGCCGCCGGAAAAGAAGCCAATGCCTTGTTTGTCCCTTAGCGAAGAAGGCGGCACACCAGGCGGGAGCGGGGAAGGAGATGTCGGTGCAGGGCTGGGTGGCGGCTCCGGCGAAGAAGGCGGCACGCCAGGCGGGAGCGGTGCAGGAAATGTCGGTGAGGGGCTGGGTGGCGGCTCTGGCGAAGGAGGCGGCACGCCAGGCGGGAGCGGGGAAGGAGATGGCGGTGCGGGGGCTGGGTGGCGGCTCTTGCGAAGTAGGCGATACGCCAGGCGGGAGCGGTGCAGGAGATGGCGGTGAGGGGCTGGGTGGCGGCTCCGGTGAAGAAGGCGGCACGCCAGGCGGGAGCGGTGCAGGAGATGGCGGCGAGGGGCTGGGTGGCGGCTCTGGTGAAGAAGGCGGCACGCCAGGCGGGAGCGGGGAAGGAGACGGCGGCGAGGGGCTGGGTGGCGGCTCTGGTGAAGAAGGCGGCACGCCAGGCGGGAGCGGGGAAAAAAGAAATTCCAAAGTGTGGTATGATAATGAGACAAGTTGCTGACAACCCCTGGTGGAATCAACCGTGAGTCGAGCCGAAAAGGTGGTTAAAGCAATGCGAGCTAAACTTACCGAACTTACCAATTATGGAGCAACCTTACCATAGTCTTGGGCATGTGTGGAGGCTGCTGAAGGTGAGCTGGAGACCAACCGCGCCGTTGGGCAAAGGCAAACAACAGGAACAGCACAACACGAGCACGCATGAAAAACAAACACAGACTGACACACGATAAAACACGTACCTGCGTGCACAGGATAGGAGCGGGGAAGGAGATGGCGGTGAGGGGCTGGGTGGCGGCTCTGGTGAAGAAGGCGGCACGCCAGGCGGGAGCGGGGAAGGAGATGGCGGTGAGGGGCTGGGTGGCGGCTCCGGCGAAGAAGGCGGCACGCCAGGCGGGAGCGGGGAAGGAGACGGCGGCGAGGGGATGGGTGGCGGCTCTGGCGAAGGATGCGGCACGCCAGGCGGGAGCGGGGAAGGAGATGGCGGTGCGGGGGCTGGGTGGCGGACGAAGCGCAGGAGCCAGGATCGGAGGCTCATGCGGAGATCGATGTGGGGGCAAGGAGGGGGGGGGGAAGGGAATGGGTTGGTGGCGATGAGAGAACGGATGTATGGGACACTAGAGCAATGCATGTTTAGAAGCAGGCAGCGAGCTAGCCGGAGACACTCCAGCCCCATGCAACGGGCCCTCAGAGCAACATGCCGAGCCCACGCAGCCGGCCAAATAGACACGCCACATGCACCGGTGGCCAGGCGATGCTTGCGGCATGCTACTTGGCCGGCCGCTTGGGCAAAACTTAACCGTTGTCTATTGGTTCCCAACTAATTGAGATAATTGGAGATAGTTGTGGGTGCAGAACAGCGAACAGGGCAGGCACGCGTGTGAGACGTTGTAGCAAACAAACTCACCTTTATTCGCTAGGCGAAATGGATGCGGGTTGGGGCTGTGCTGGCGAATAGCAGCGGTACGGCAGCGGCGGCAGCTTCACGTACCGGCGGCGGTGGCAGCGAGGCACCCCTGTCGGCCGCCACGGAGGTACTGTCGTCGTAGGTAGCACGACATGGCCTCGCCCCCCGCGTCTCGCAAAGAGGTACATGCGTAGGAAGAAAGGCATTGGGGGCGTTGGGTTAGGCTATGCTATACGCATATAAGTACCGGCAAGGAAAAGGAAGTAAAGCAAGACACGTGTGTTCGACCTTGGAAAGCTGTCGACTCAGCTGACCCTACTGCTGCTGGGCTGATATATCTGATGCTGCTGCTGCTGTAACTGCTGCTGGCTGTTCTGAGCTGACTGAGGGTGGCACTGGCTGCCGCTGCTGCTGCTGTTTGGCTGTTAAGACTGCTGAAGTCTGTTCTGAGCTGACTGAGGGTGGCACTGGCTGCCGCTGAGGGTACCTCGGATGCAGGTGAGCGTCATCCAGCTCTCGGAGGCGAAGCAGACACGTGCCACGAACACACCCGCTGTCCAAATGCAACATGCACACCGCTAGCCACACCCACCCACCCACCCGCCCGCCAGCCCGCCCGCCCTCACCCACCTTCAACGTTCGCGATCATGGTGGGGCTCAAGGCAAGCAGTCTCGTGGCTGAACGATGACCCATGCATGGGTCTCCTAGCCGCCGCCGGAAAAGAAGCCAATGCCTTGTTTGTCCCTTAGCGAAGAAGGCGGCACACCAGGCGGGAGCGGGGAAGGAGATGTCGGTGCAGGGCTGGGTGGCGGCTCCGGCGAAGAAGGCGGCACGCCAGGCGGGAGCGGTGCAGGAAATGTCGGTGAGGGGCTGGGTGGCGGCTCTGGCGAAGGAGGCGGCACGCCAGGCGGGAGCGGGGAAGGAGATGGCGGTGCGGGGGCTGGGTGGCGGCTCTTGCGAAGTAGGCGATACGCCAGGCGGGAGCGGTGCAGGAGATGGCGGTGAGGGGCTGGGTGGCGGCTCCGGTGAAGAAGGCGGCACGCCAGGCGGGAGCGGTGCAGGAGATGGCGGCGAGGGGCTGGGTGGCGGCTCTGGTGAAGAAGGCGGCACGCCAGGCGGGAGCGGGGAAGGAGACGGCGGCGAGGGGCTGGGTGGCGGCTCTGGTGAAGAAGGCGGCACGCCAGGCGGGAGCGGGGAAAAAAGAAATTCCAAAGTGTGGTATGATAATGAGACAAGTTGCTGACAACCCCTGGTGGAATCAACCGTGAGTCGAGCCGAAAAGGTGGTTAAAGCAATGCGAGCTAAACTTACCGAACTTACCAATTATGGAGCAACCTTACCATAGTCTTGGGCATGTGTGGAGGCTGCTGAAGGTGAGCTGGAGACCAACCGCGCCGTTGGGCAAAGGCAAACAACAGGAACAGCACAACACGAGCACGCATGAAAAACAAACACAGACTGACACACGATAAAACACGTACCTGCGTGCACAGGATAGGAGCGGGGAAGGAGATGGCGGTGAGGGGCTGGGTGGCGGCTCCGGCGAAGAAGGCGGCACGCCAGGCGGGAGCGGGGAAGGAGATGGCGGTGCGGGGGCTGGGTGGCGGCTCCGGCGAAGAAGGCGGCACGCCAGGCGGGAGCGGGGAAGGAGACGGCGGCGAGGGGATGGGTGGCGGCTCCGGCGAAGAAGGCGGCGCGCCAGGCGGGAGCGGGGAAGGAGATGGCGGTGCGGGGGCTGGGTGGCGGACGAAGCGCAGGAGCCAGGATCGGAGGCTCATGCGGAGATCGATGTGGGGGCAAGGAGGGGGGGGAAGGGAATGGGTTGGTGGCGATGAGAGAACGGATGTATGGGACACTAGAGCAATGCATGTTTAGAAGCAGGCAGCGAGCTAGCCGGAGACACTCCAGCCCCATGCAACGGGCCCTCAGAGCAACATGCCGAGCCCACGCAGCCGGCCAAATAGACACGCCACATGCACCGGTGGCCAGGCGATGCTTGCGGCATGCTACTTGGCCGGCCGCTTGGGCAAAACTTAACCGTTGTCTATTGGTTCCCAACTAATTGAGATAATTGGAGATAGTTGTGGGTGCAGAACAGCGAACAGGGCAGGCACGCGTGTGAGACGTTGTAGCAAACAAACTCACCTTTATTCGCTAGGCGAAATGGATGCGGGTTGGGGCTGTGCTGGCGAATAGCAGCGGTACGGCAGCGGCGGCAGCTTGACGTACCGGCGGCGGTGGCAGCGAGGCACCCCTGTCGGCCGCCACGGGAGTGCTGTCGTCGTAGGTAGCACGACATGGCCTCGCCCCCCGCGTCTCGCAAAGAGGTACATGCGTAGGAAGAAAGGCATTGGGGGCGTTGGGTTAGGCTATGCTATACGCATATAAGTACCGGCAAGGAAAAGGAAGTAAAGCAAGACACGTGTGTTCGACCTTGGAAAGCTGTCGACTCAGCTGACCCTACTGCTGCTGGGCTGATATATCTGCTGCTGCTGCTGCTGCTGTAACTGCTGCTGGCTGTTCTGAGCTGACTGAGGGTGGCACTGGCTGCCGCTGCTGCTGCTGTTTGGCTGTTAAGACTGCTGAATTCTGTTCTGAGCTGACTGAGGGTGGCACTGGCTGCCGCTGGGGGTACCTCGGATGCAGGTGAGCGTCATCCAGCTCTCGGAGGCGAAGCTGACACGTGCCACGAACACACCCGCTGTCCAAATGCAACATGCACACCGCTAGCCAGCTCACCCTCACCCACCTGGTGGCGGAGACGGAGGGCTGTGCGGACTAGGAGGCCAATGGGAGAATATGGGTGGCCACACCTCTGCGACAGAAAGCAGGAAAGAGGCGCAAATGTAACAACAATGACATCCATTGGTTGTTGACCGCACTACCGGTACCACGCCAGTACTCTATGGGTAACCCGCACAAAAGCAGTTTTAAGACATAGGATAGCGCTTGCTAGAGGTGCTGTGTGCTCTACTAATCGCAACTGGAACAAGCAACAGGTAAGAGGAACCGTCGATCCTACATGGGAACAGTCACCTTTTGGCATGGGCCTGGGCAAACGGAAGCTATTAACACATTGATGAGAAGCCGATAAGGCCTGCAAGGCATGGAGCGCGAGACAAGTTTTCTTAACCGCCATGGAGGCATTGAAAAGCGAAGAGCACGCAATCCCACAATACAGCATACAGTTGCAACATATCTTGCATACAAATTATCTTATATGTCGCCCATACCGGTAGCGACGTGGTTGCCAGCAACCAGGAGCAACTGTAAAGGACGACAGATTCCATCTACACCACATGCTTTATGACGTTATTCAATTGTAAGGAATAAGAGAAACGCGGAAATAGTTCGGCCCTTTTTATACTAATTAGGTAGACCTTTGTACGGCGGTAGCAGCAGTAGCGGCATGGGAATCGTGCAGAACAACGAGAAAGATATCAACGTGTAGATGTATGTACTAGAGCAATCAGCGGTCGTAACGGGAAATACAGGACGACAAATCGCGGTTGCGGCCTTGCTAGGATGAGCAAAAACGCTAGCAAGCCCTTTACATGATATGATAGTCCAGCAATACAACGTCTTGTTCGTCCCTAGCGAAACAACAACGCTTGCAACCGAAACGGGCGACGGGCTTATAGGGCATGGTTGTCCATGTGCGATACTCCTCATCGACAGCTCCACCCTTGGCATTGTTATTGCATTGGACAAAAAGTCGATGTCGAACAGGCTTGGCTGACCACTGGATGGATTTTGTAAGCGAATGTCGGACCCATGGCCTCTAATCACAGCATCGGCAAACGGAAACCAATAGGTTGGCCTTTCTACAGGACGGCGCCCATATTCTTCGGCTTTCGAGAAGGCACATAACGGAACTCGATCGCACCACCGTGATCGCGATACAGTCACAAGCCTAAACGCTCCAAGCGCACATGCGGCCGCACGCAGCATGATACGTTTTCTATTCCCACCCCCGCCCCATCCGCACCCTGACCTCATGTTCTTCTCTCCTCCCCGCTTACGAGAGCCTCGTGGTTTAAAAGAGGGGGGAGGGAAAGGCACAGGGGACGAAGTATGCAGAAAACGATAGCAATGGCATGCATGTCAGGCCGCTAGTACCGTATATGGACATGGCAGGGGTGCGGAGTCCAGGAACCGTCCGCGCCGCACCAAGCCCGCTTCCTTCCTGCCCCTGTCGCGCTGAGCGCATATATGCTGTCACATCCCCCCCACCCCTCATCCCGCAACTATGTATCTTCCCAGCCCCACCAACCCAGAGCGAGGGGTACCTGGCACACTGCTGACGCCCTCTTGCCCAACACCTTTTCCCTCCCTCCACCACACACCAGCCATAAGCCCCCCAGGCCCCAGCCCACCCCCGCAGAACCTCACATGACATGCTGCAGTGCTTGCTGGCTCCAGCTGTCCTCTTTGCTGCTGCCTGGGCGCCTCCTGCGGAACCGCGGGTCGCCTGCCCTAGCTGCAGCGCCCCGCTCTGAGGAGCGAGTGGACTGCTGCGCGCGCTCCTAACCGCTTGTTTCCTATATGCGCCATTCTCCTCTGGGTATATTTCAGTACAGCTGCCATGTCAGCAGTCGGCAAAAGCAGCCTCAAGCAGCCGCAAACAGCTATGTCGCGCTTGGAAAGGTGTTGCTTTTGTAAATGTGCAGATCAGAACCTGTACAATTGTGACAAAACAGTAGTAATTGTGCTCACTGCTGTGGGTTGCGACCAATAAGCATTGCTAGGTAGCTCTAGGTACGGCAAACAGGGGTTCCGGCAGCTGGCAGGCTGGCAGGGACAGCTTTTTCCGGCAGAGCTGACTTCCCTTTTCTCTTCATCTTGACACGCGAAGCTTGAGATCTAAATGACCCAGCTGAGTAGCCCACCGTCAGGACAACATCGATGCGGGCAAGCAGGACGAACCTCCGAAACGAGCTGGCTTTGCTACTACAAAGGCACCGCTTCGGCCCGCATGGACAGGCTTCCGCATGATATCACAACAGGCATTTGCCTCTATCCGTCAGCGCCTGTAGCCTGCCCCAAACCAAGGCGGCAGCTGCTAGGCCGCGGCTCACCCTCTAACTGCGATTCCTGCAGCATCACCATCTTTCCTCCCTTCCCAGACTCCCTTTCCCCCTTCCACGCCGCGCCTTAACAGGAATCGGAGTCAAGAGTCGGGTGTGTGTCATCCTAAGCTACAGCAGAAAAGAACTCTGTCCCAAACCTCCCAACACTCCGCCCAGTACAGGGTCCAATCCACATCCACCCCTGGACAAAAATGGGCCCCGCCTTACCAGGCCCCAAATTAGAACAACACATTGTGTTGGTGCCAGGGCTACTGATGCTGTGATGGAACGGTAATGTGGATGGAAGCCACTCAAGGGTGAAACTACCCCCAAACTTCCTTCGCCCCGCTGCGCATGGTAGGAATGCATAACTTGCAGGCCAACGGCTCTACCTACGGCATTTGGACATAAGTAGCGTTTATCGCACGCTGCACAACACTGCAAAGGAAAAACGCCAAATAAGGAGTGCTCGTGTACGTCTGAAGCAGGAGGTTCACCAAACAAGCAAGATTCGCAGCTTAGGCAATAAAGCTTCCGAGTGAAGTGTTAGAGAGGTGGTTAGCAGTTGGTAGCAATAATGCAGTATATAACGTAGCAAAGTATCAAATAATGCCGTACGTTCGGAAGGTTGCAGTACAGCTCTTGATCACGTAATGCTGACTAGCGCGGAGATGTTCCACTGCCACACGCATTGCCGCGTTCCCTATCCAGTAACTGCACGTGCCTTCAAGAGGAAAACACACACTTCGTTTCCGCCGCCGCACGCACGTATTTTCCCACATCCAAACACGCACGCCTGACAGCAGCAAACTCCGCCTTGGATAACCAGTAACAGCAACCGAGCAACGTGCAAGGCGAACGCTTTGCGGCATTCCTGATTCCCGCAAAGGCCCGGGAAACCAAAAGACGTTGCAGCAACCTGCAATGTGAGCAAAAGGATGGTTAGGACGGCATCCATACCAATCCCCGTAATGCCTTTTGTACCGCCTCCACCGCTTCGGTCGCCTCCTGAGCCCAGGAACTACCCTCGCTCACAGCACCCAGGCAGCATGACACGCCGTACACGTGGAGAGCGTCTACTACCGATTGCTTGTTTGGGGGACCTCCGCAGCAACGCAACGACCCGTCTCAAATTAATGCCTGATAATTGCCTCTCTTTACTAGCTCACGTTCTCTTCCCGTCTTCAAGCAACTATGCTTCTCCAGCCGAAAGCAAGGATGGAACAAGGGCACAGGGTCCCTGGCTTTAGCAAGCTGTACGCGTGCCGTACCGGGACAAGGCATGCAGCGGGGCTAGCATGAAGCTTACATACGCACTTCAGTTACTGTACTTACTACTCACGCCTCTCGTCTGCGACTGGCATCTATCACAGCGAGGAACACACAGGCACACACACGTGCGCAGCTTGAAAACGGTACGTGGGAGCTGGCGGTTCCTCCTCCCGGTACCAAACTGCTTGCCTGCCGCTGGGTGTACCGGATCAAGCGGGCGGCTGATGACAGCATCGAACGCTACAAGGCGCGGCTTGTGGCGAAGGGCTTCGAGCAGCGAGCGGGCATCGACTACGGTGAGCTGTTTGCGCCGACAACCCGTGCTGCCTCTCTGCGTGCTCTGCTAGCGCTGGCGGCAGCAAAGCAGATGCACATCCATCAGATGGACGTCAAGACGGCGTTCCTTAACGGCGAGCTGGAGGAGGAGATCTGGATGCAGCAGCCCCCTGGCTACAGCCTCGGCAGTCCTGAGATGGCCTGCCGGCTACGCAAGTCCATCTACGGGCTCAAGCAGGCGCCTCGCTGCTGGTATCAGAAGCTATCTGCGGAGCTGGGACGCCTGGGCTTCCAACCGTCAACGTCTGATCCCGCGCTGTTTGTGCGCGACGACCCTGCTGGCCCGGTCTACCTGCTGGTGCATGTGGATGACTTGCTGGTGGTGGCGACCGACCTGGCTCAGCTCAAGTCCGTGAAGACGGAGATCGCTGGCTGCTTTGCGGTGAGGGACCTGGGCGAGGCGGGTGTGTACCTAGGCATGGAGATTTCGCGGGACTCAAGTACGGGCAGTATCACGCTCTCACAGCAGCGCTACATGGAGCAGCTACTGCAGCGGCACGGCCTGGTAGATGCTAAGCCGCGTCCCACTCCCCTGCCTGAGGGCACGCGGCTGGTGTCAGCCGGCGAAGGACAGCCAGCACTGGAGGATGGCACACCGTACCGCGCTCTGGTCGGAGAGCTCAACTACCTGGCGACAAGCACCCGGCCCGACATCTCCCAGGCTCTCAGCATGCTAGCGCGGCACATGGCGTCGCCTACCAAGGCCCACTTGAACCTAGCTCTGGGCGTGCTACGCTACCTCTCGGGCACTCGTGCGCTAGGTCTGCGGTTTGGCAGTGATGGCGACATCAGCGGCTTTACTGGCTTCAGCGACTCAGATTGGGCTGGCAACCCTGCCACTCGCCGGTCCACCACGGGCTACGTCTTCTCGCTCGGAGGCGCAGCTGTGAGCTGGAGCAGCCAGCTGCAGCGTACCGTGGCAGCATCATCAGTGGAGGCGGAGTATCAGGCAGCTGCAGCAGCCGTACGAGAGGCACTCTGGTTGCGTCACCTGGCAGCGGACCTACGGCTGCCACGTAAGACCATCACCATCATGCTGGACTCGCAGGGAGCCCTCAGCCTGGCGAACAACCACACCACATCGGTGCGCTCTAAGCACATCGACGTGCACTACCACCTGGTGCGAGAGCGTGTGGCGCGCGGCGAGGTGGCACTGGGCTACTGTTCGACGGAGCACATGGCGGCGGACGTGCTCACCAAGGCGCTAGGCGAGATCAAGTTCCGGCGCTGCCGTGCAGCGCTGGGTGTGGTGTGAGGAAGAGGCTGAAGAGAGAGCAGAGTGGATGAGGAATGAGAAGAGCGAGTAAGAGCTGAGTAGTGTGGGGTAGGGGGAATACTTCAGCTCAGGGACCATGCAGGGGTTGGTCGGTCTCTTTGTTGGTAGGGCATGGAACTAGGGGGCGCCGTTGCGTGGAACAGGCGTCCGGGGTTTGTTAGTTTTTCAGCTTCAGTTTAGGAGCTGTGTTTTGGCGTTAAGGGCCCTTCGGTTTTGGTTCCTGTTTTTGGCAGTTTGTGTTTGCTGTGTGGCTGGCCTGGACCACAGACAGTTGGAGGCCTTGCCTGTAGGTTACGCCTGTGTTTCTCAGTTGCCCCAGGTGCGGTGCGAGGGGGCGTGTTGGTAAGATGAGGTTTCGCCCCGCTCCTGTGTCGGTTTGGGTCGTCCTAGAGGGACGTTAGTGACAGGCGTTTGCCAACGGTTTCCCTAGGATCAGTCCCGGGGAGTTGTTCGTCCGTTGGTCTGTCCGGTAGTTCCGTACGAGAGAGCTGTGCCAGGGCAGGACTTAAGCCCTAGGCGGTGGTGTCTTCGTCACCCTAGGCAACCCAGGTCAAGCCTAGGGTGCAAACCTGGAAGAGCCGATCTTTCCCCACCCGCCATACATACCCAAAACAAAAGGAACTGAAGCCCTGAAGCCGCTGTCACTTGCCGGTAACTGGTATTAGTTGACGTTAATTGCGGGGGATAAGGCCAGGAAGGTGCAGGTAGAGGCGGAAGCGACGTACATGGCAAGGTCACGTGTTGCGCTTGCTACAAGACGTCGCAGGACCAAACCTTGTCTTCCCTTGACAGCATCTATGGTATGCTGCAGGACTGCACTTTAAATTGGATAGGCAATACGTATGATGACCACCTCTTGGCAGCCAGTCCATATGCCATTCACAAACGTGAAATGTAACCCCCGGAGCGAGTATTACTCATAAACAGTCGCTAGACATACTGGTTGCTTGGAAGTATCGTGCGTAACAAGGACTTCTCTTGCAACAATCCTGGCCTCCCATCCGGATAGGCTGACTGAGCTAAACCCCAAGTAATACAAGTAAGAGCGGTATGCTACGTGTTCCATGCAAAGTCATTTGTGCATGTTCCGGTTAGCAGCATGTTCTGTGCAAAATGTTGCTTCAGCTCCTTGATGGTCTCCCTGGAGCCTCCTGGCAGTTCACAGTCCTCCTGGCACGCCCTGCTCCCGTTCGCAACTTTGTCAAACGCCTACAAAGCTTATCCACAACTACCTACGCTTTGCACATTTGGGTTGAGATAAGAAGCTGACCACCTTGGGAAAAATACGACGTCAACATACTACCAGTTACTTGCCTAACTTATTTGGCTTACAGAACTGGTCTTATTAGTTGCTTGTACATAGGGCTCCCCCACTCACGGCGGTCCGTTGTGGGGGAGGGGCCTCTGCGCTGACGAGGAGCTCAGAGAACAGTTAAAGGCAAGATATAGCGTAACACTTATTGTCCTGTCATATATATTATGACTAGCGCACACTGGGACCCCGCATACTGAGTCGCGGTCCAACGGACCCACGCATCCGCTGACCTCTCCCTTACCGACAGCCCTTGCGCCGCCCACCCCTCCAGGGGGCTGCACGGCTGCAGCGCCTCCTAATTTACCCTTGCGTGGGTCGTCTGCGGGCGGCTTGATGCTGAGGTTCCTCCGATGTGTATGTGCGCGGGCAGCAGCAAGAAATACCTGCCTAAGGAGGAGGTTGTAGAGGTTCCCGACTTCCGGTACGTTCCGGAGCCACAACTTAGCGAGCTTGTCGCTTATATGCGGCAGCGGCGGGAGCACCTGGTTTACCACAACACCACCGGTGGGTGTGGGATGGCTCCGCAGCTCTTGTACCTATCACCGCCCTCGGATTCCTAGACAAGGCGGCTTTGGCACCATATATGTATAAGACGCAGCAATCAATGATTGCCGGCCCTCCTTCTGCACCTTATTATTCATTCTCTCTCCATGCCCACCTCTCGCCCTCCGCCCTCCCTCTTATCCCCTCAATTCCCTTCACTCCTTCCTCCCTTACGGCTTCCTAACCCCCTCCCCCACCGGCCCTCTCAACGCAGCCGACGTGCGCGCTGAGATCATCCGCAACGTAACGGAGCACACCCAACCCGTGGACCAGTACCCGAAAGGGCGACAATTCCTGAACGACGAAGACTACATGAGCATTCTGCGCGACCTGCTCAATCTCTCCAACATCCTTGATGACATGGAGCAAACCGGCATTGTGTCGTACGCCAACCGTACCCAATACTATGCGTTGTACAGCAAACTTTACCGGATGCTGATCGCCAAGGCAAAGCAGTAGCGAGGGCCGGCGGTGTTGGGTGGCCCTATGGCTGGTCTGGGCTGAGCAAGCAGCCTCCTGGGTGCTGGTGGCATGAGCTAGGGCGAGCCGGCTAATGGAAGGAGAGCGCAGCAGCAGCAGGAGGTGGTGGGAAAGACGGGGGTAAGTTACGGGCGTTGTGGCGACTGCTGCTGCTATTGTTTGAGGTGGCTGAAGGATGGGAGGCGGCTAGAGGAGGAGGATGCTGGATGCGCATGCGGAGCCGGGTGGCGGGGAGCCTGTGGGGTACCCATGCTGGCGGGTTGTGTTGTGGGTGCACGGACATGGGCGGTGTTAAGGTGGGCGGGATATATTGTCGCAAGGTGTGAGCGCTAGCAGGAAAACGTTGGTCGTTGCCACATAACTTTGCAATGCGGTTAGTCAAAGGTTACCAATTAACTTTACGTACGCTGTACTGAGTTGTTGACTAAGTGTGGTAGCGCATGTGTTAGCGCATGGAAAGAAGTAGAGGGGCAACGAGGTTAGGTCCACGTAACGCCACGCAATGCAATAGGGCATTTGTAGTTCCCGTTTCGGGCTTTCCTCTCGTCATGTGTTCTTGTCCTGCCTGGGCGACCGTGGCTGGTTTTGTAGGCTACATAGGAGGATGTGCGCATCTGCTTCGCACACATACAGATGCGAGTGCACATACAGCTGGTGTGCAGGGGGAGAGTAGAGAGGGGCAGGCGCGGCCGTCAGAGTTGGACTGGGGGCCCCACGATAGGCGGTTGCGGCTGCGTGGTAGTGGTGGCTGCTATGGAAGGGTCTTTTTCTGTCTACGCGAGTCTTGTGCTCTTCCTTGGACTAATATACTGCTACTGCTATCGAGAGTGTGCGAGGCATGTGTGCTTTTGCAGTTCGGTGAATGCGACGAGATGTGTCTTTCTTACACCTATTGCTGCCCTGCAAATGGTGGGTTGGTCAATAGGAGGAGCACGCAGATAGGGAAGCAAGCCACTTCAGCGGAAGGAGGTATACCGTACGTACGAGGAGGGAACAGATGAACTCGTGGAGTCTCCAGGGTGTACCTAAAAGAGTGCGTGTGCGCGTGTCGGTCATAAATACCGGTTGTCATTCCATGACCTGGAGTGACGGTACGCTTGCTTTCGCCGGCAGTCATGTGGCACTCAAGGGGCCGGCAACACATGTGTGCTACTCCCACTGGACAACCCTGTGTGCGTGCATGTAGTACGGACACCTAAGCCGACGGCTTGCAGTCGTGCCCTGCCCTGGATGCGGAAAAGTAACGGCGTGGAATAAGTCGTCTCACTCGGCGGTTTGTGAACGTCGCGCTGCCGTTTGATCCTGTTGGGTATTTGCGACGTGAAGTCCACTGGTTACTGCTCGCATCGTTGTGCTGCCCCTCCCAAACTGTCGGCATGGATCCTGTTTTTGAATGCAGCCGTTGCCCTTTCTTCAGTAGCAGCAATGCCTCGTTAACGACGGGTCGCGACTGCTATGTCACAGAAGCGTTGGCACAGGCGACAGTCTTGCAATAAGCGCAACCGTGCATGAATGCCGTGCAGACCTTGCTTCAGTGGATTCGTTTTATCTTGGCCACCGGTTTTGGTCGGGGGTTGAGGAAGGCAGAGGAGTGTTGGCTCCTGCGGGACACATAAGGCCGAGACGTCTTGCTTGGGTTGTGCTTGACGGCCCGTCCGATGTAATGCTTATGACATTCCAAGTGCTTATGACATCCCAATACAACTTGCAGGTGCAGCAGACACATCACAATCGCACCTAGTGGATTACACAAGACTAGTGCCCCATGCACTGTACGAAAGTCCAAGTCTATCGTCAGTAGTCACACCGGTGAGGAAAACCGGGACACCACAAACAAAGTCTGCGGCAAGCCTGTTCGGCCTTTGTACCTCTCAGATGTCTATATTATGTTTGCAGGATTGTCACCCAACAAAGCAAAAGCATCGTACAGCTCGACATGTCAACTTGCTAAGCGTCTTGAATCGTGGGTTCTCATGCTAACGTGTTTCCATGTCATCGCATGTTGTCAAGTGTCATGTCATCATGTCATGTCCAAGAAAAAAGCCAGTAACCTGCGCCTGCTAACGTGCTAGAAGGCCCCCGCCACCATCATCATCCCAATACAGGAGATGGCGAGCACATCACACGTGCCGCCCTTTGCGTTCATCGTGCCCCCATGACATGCCCCCTACGTTTGTAACCTGCAAAAACAATTGAACAAAGAAAAAGCACGAATCACGGCACAACAGTTCAAGAGACACTAGCTGCAAAACATCACAGCTGGGGTGCCTGCAGGCAGCACTTGAACCGTAGCATGAAACCTTTGTTGTCACGGTGTTTAACCAAATGTTTAAACACCGTGACCAGGCCACAGCACTCAGCAGCACAACACAGCAGCTAAACAGCCAAAGCCATTTCCCTGGAAACAGGCTTGCGACCGTTAGTTCCAGCGACGGCCATCCACGCTAAACGGCGCCGCACTGGACCAACACTCCCGTAAACCACTTCAGCCCTATTCCTTGAGAAGCCACAAGCGCGCATTGCTCTGGCTCGGCCCCCAAAAATAAACGACCACTCGCACCATGCTCCTTACCGCATGCCAAGACCTCTGATCTATTCGTTCCTATAGCTGACGTAATGAATGCATTTGCCCTACTGCATTTCCATGGAATCCTCGTCTTCACTTCCATCACGGCCCTCCTCCAGACCATCGTCGCTATCATCGCTGTCCTCACCATAGCCCCCAAGCCGCCTCCGCCAGCGGCGCCGCCTCCGCAACATCCGCTGCGCTGTATCCGCCCAGCTGCCCTCCCGCTCATGCAGAGGCTCATGCGCCGGTGTTTCCGGCGGCTGCAAAGGCTGCTGCTCCTCCCAATCCTCGACGTCCCCTTCCGCCGCCTCGTCCTCCCCTTGCTCCCCTCCACGCCCCTCCTCCTCCTCCCCACCTTCATCCTCTCCATCAGCCTCCTCGACGATCCCCACATCCACCATTAACTCGTCCTCACCCTCTTCTTCCCCGCCGCGGCCGCCACGGGCCCCGTGCAAGTCATGGCTGATTTGGATTGTCAGGCCGGCGCCGAACGACAGCTCATACGTGCAGCGTTCCTCAGGGCCCTCGTCCTCCTCCTCTTCGCCTTCGTTATCTAAAGCCGCGCCCCTTCCTCTCCTCTCTGCCCCTTCTCCTTGCAGGCCTCCTCCGGGCCGTTCCTGGGCCCGCCTGCCACGTGCATGCATCTCACGTTGTTGGTGCTGCCGGGACCGCTGTTGCTCTTGTGCTTGCTGACATCCCTGCGCATTACGCTCCATGCGTTCGCGCACCATGCGAGCCATGTCTGCATGCAACTCAGCCGCTTGCTCAGGTGCCTGCGGTCGCGAGCCACCCCAGGGCGCCTGCGGCGCTGCAACCGGCGCTGCAGGCTTGGCTGCAGCAGCGGCTGAGGCGCCTGATGCCGACGTCGGAGGCAGCACCGGCGGTGGGTGAAGGACCCCTCCGTGCACCAAGGGAGCATACGCATCCACAAGGCCGGCCTCAAATTGCTGTGTCTGCTGAGGTACGTGATGGGACTGCGAGGGCGGCGGCGCTTGGGCACTGACCGGCATGGAAGAGGAGGCCTGCTGTACATGCGCTGGTTCTGTGCACGCTTGGTATGGGGTAACCGCGACATGGGAGCCTTCCAAAGCGGGTGCTCCTGCCTGCTGGGAGATGGGACATGACGGTGAAGTGCACCGCTGGGTTGCAGGCGGTCGGGGAGGACGTAGCGAACCAGCCTCTTGCAGCTCGCATGGAAGCGAACCGCCCGCAATTTGCGGCTGCGGAGGCTGCAGCACTGCATCCTCCTGAGAGGCAACCGGCGCCTGAGGAGGCGCAGGCGGCGGAAGGGCCTCATGCTCAATAACTTTGAACCGGCCCCTGCTCTTGACACACAACACCTTGGGCTGTGCAGCGCCGGCTGCTGCTACAGCAGCCAGCTGCTGCTGCTGCTCCGGCGGAGGTTGCGGGTGTAGCATCTGACGATGTAGCCCCTGCTGCGTCCGAGGCGCATGCGGAGGCTGCGGGCCCATGTGCACCAAGTCCATGGCGTCAGAGCCAGGACCGCCGGAGCTGGCGCGACTACAGCCAGAGCCCGAGGCGAGGCTACCGCTGCTGTACAGGCTGGCGAGGACGAGGGCGTCGTCGGGCTGGGCGCTGCGTCCCTGCAGCGCTGCCCCTTCGGCCGGTGCGGCGGCGGCCATGCCTGCAAGTGAGGCAAAGGTGGTTCCCCACACGATCAGTAAATTGGATGCTTACTTAGATTCCTATAGAATTACAGTGCACCGACCAGCCGTGTACAACCCTAGCCCTAAGCTCCCCTCTTTAATCATCTCAAGCATGGCTATTTCAAACCACCAACCTCTCGACACGGGGCATGCGCCCCCCACATGCAACCACATGCACCCCCCCCCCTCACCTGCTGACGCAAGCGCATCCAGCTGGGCGCCGCTGCTGCTGGGGTTTCGACTTGACGCATTAGAGCCGCCCCCTGCCACCGGTTCCACCTCCCGAACAGTGAAGCGCCCCACCTTCCGTACGACCACCTGCTCCGTACGGGGGCTCGGGATGCCTGCGCCGCAGTACCCCTCCATGCCCGGTGCCGATGCGCGACTGATGGGCAATGCCCCGGCCGAGGCACAGGACGGAAGCTGCAGCCCCGGAGGAGGCATCATGCGGCTCTGTTGAGCGTGCAACCCCGGGCTACTGGAGCTGCGATTACGCATGGTCAGCGGGACGGAAGCCAGGGGAGCTGCGTAGTTGTGCTCTGCACAAACCGACCCATGGGTCCAAGCAGCCGCTGCCGTTGCTGTTGGCGCGGACGGCCAGAGTGGGGGGTGAGAAACCGGCGGCAGCGGCGTCGACGCAGTGACAGCAGCAGCACCAGCAGCGGCGGCATCTGTGGCCTCAACAATGCCGGGGCCAGCACCGGAAATCATGTCCCCAGCCCCGCTTCCAGAAGACGGTCGTCGAGACTCCGGTGCCGGCGCCGCCACAATCGATTCAGCCACAGTAAACCGGCCGCGACTGTACTGTCGTGCTAGTTTTGCAGACGCGGTCTGTGCGGACGGCGGCTGCTGCTGCTGTTGCGGCAGCCGCGGACCACAAGGGGGCTTGCCAGCCGCCTCGGTTGGCGAGCCCGCTTCAGAACCCGTTGCGCTTCCTCCACTGCCGCTGCCGCTGCCGTTCTGGCTGCCCTGCATGTGGCTGATTCTGTAGGCCTGCACGTTGCCGTGGGGGTTGTCCGCAGTAAGCGGCGATGCCGGGCCGCTCGCACCGCCGGCTGCGTCATGCTCGTCTGATTCCCCATGCACGGACTCGGAAGGTGAGGCCGCGCCTGAACCGCCCGAGCCGCCTCCGCTACCAGTTGCTTGCGACGACGTTGCGAGCGGGTTGGTAACGGATAGGGAATGCACGCCTGCAGCTGCATGCGATGACACGAAGAAGCGCCCTTTGCGGTACATGGTCACACCGTTAAGCGCGACTGGCGGGCCGCCGGCGCTCAGCTCCCCATGACCGTGCAGGCTGCTGCGAGGACGGCTGACCGTACCGGGGGCCTCTGAAACCGAGGTGGCTAGCAGGTGTGCTGCGCTGCTAGTGGGCGACAGTGGGGCGCCGTTCGTGCCGTTAACGGCGGCAACAGCCGAGGCTAACGGCCCGAGTTCCCCCGCTGTGCCGTCGTGGCTGGGTGAGGAGTGAAGCGGAGGACGGTGAGGCGCATCCGAGCCCGGCTCTGGTGCTTGTCCAGCAGCAGCATTAGATGGAGATGCGGAAGCATGGGGCGTTGCAGACTGGGCGTGTAAGGCTTGCTCCTGTTGCTGCTCGGGCAAGGCAAGGGAGGGCACCAGCTGCGGCTGTGGCGCTTGTTGCTGCTGCTGCTGGGGTGATGGTGGCGGGGGCATGCCGTCAGCTCCAGCCGGCTCAATGGTGACCTTGAACCGGCCGCTGCGGTACGTGGTCAGACCTCCTCGAGGCTTGGCAGCCACCTGCTGTTGCTGCGCCTGATGCTCAGCAGGCCTCTGTGCCAGCGACTCCTGCGGCGGCGGCGGCTGGGGTCGCAGCTGCTGCGCCGAAACGGAGCTGCCGCTTCGAGGACTGAAGCCCAGGGGCGGGACGCCCTCCGTGCCCCGCATGCGGCTCCCTGAGGACCCCGCCTGCTGCAGCGCAGCCCAGAGGTCCGCCTGCGGAGCAGCCCTGGCATCACCGTCGCCCCCCGCGCCCCCACTGCCAGCTGCGGCCAAGCCCCAAGAGGCAGCCGATGCCAGCGCTGCAAAGGGAGAGGAGGTCGGCGCCGGTGCTGGGGCAGCGGCTCCGGCTGCTGCTGCCGCCACCGCATGTTGAGGGCGATGATGCTGCTGGGTACGCGGCTCGGCAGCGAGGAAGGGGCGAGGAAGCTCGAAATCCGCGTCGTCGTCGCGGTGTCGCCGAGCGAGCTGCAAGAGGGCAGCTGGCGCTGCTGCAAGGAATGGCGCTGCAGAAAGGAATGGCGCTGCTCCCAGCGAGCCAACGGGAGTGTCCTGGTCGTCCATAGCCATCCGGTCCTGCGCAGATGCAGAAGGAGCAGGGAGGCACAGGGGCTCTCAGGAAAGACATACATGCTGGAGCGGCAAACGGAAACCTTTGAGCACGGACACCATAGAGACTCGGCTCGGTTGATTGCTATGGGTGCCATGGTACTGACAAGAGCTTAACACGGGGACCCCAAAAGTGCTACGGCAACCCCGGCACCCCGGCAAAGTGCTACGGCAACTCAATGTCTGGCTTACCGCGGTTTCATCCTCCTCCAGCAGCGGCAACTGGGGGTAGTCATCCGAGCACACGCTCGCGTTGTCCTCACGCAGGATAAACGCAAAGCTCAACTCGCTGTGTGTGTCAGGCCAGGGATCGCCGCCACTCAACAGGGCCTCCGCTGTCATCGCAGAGGCAGACATCATCCGCTGCATCGCCCCCTCACCCTCCGCAGCAGCACCCAGCGGGCTGAGCGACACGGGTGCCCCCAGCGCCGCCGCCGCTGTAGCATCGCCGTCATTCCCGCCAGTGGCTGGGATCGAGGGCGCCGAATGGCTGCCACCAAAGCGCTGCTGTTGCTGCTGCTCGTACTGTTGCAACAGCCCCAACGCTTCGTTACCCGCAGCCATGAGCTGCTGCACATGTTGCTGCGCAGGGTGAGCAGGGTGCCCCTGGAGGCTATGGCCATGGTGCTGCCGGGTCCGCGCCGGCAGCTGCAAGAGGAGCTGTTGCTGCTGGTGCTGCTGCGAGGGATAACCCTGCTGCTGCTGCTGCGGAATGCCGGCGCTCGCAGATGGAGTGCCGCCGTACGTGTACCGCATGGGAGCACTGTGACGGCCCAGGCCCCGGCTGCGCCGCGCCAGCGGCGGCAACAGGCCAGCACCGGATGGCGCTACCGACCCCAGCAACCGCTGTTGTTGCTGGTGCTGCGGAGGTAGTGCAGGGCCTGTGGGGGCACCGCCAGCAGAGCCGCCTCCGGCCACCCTGGCGACGGCGGCGGCCTGGAGGCGGTGCAAGCGGCCTGCTTCGTCGCTGGATACACGGCGATGACCTGGGCGGCTTTGTACGACAGGGGCCGTCGTACCATCCCCATGCACTGCAGGGTGTAGCAACTCGGCCGCCTGCTGCTGTGTCGCTTGCCCGGTCTGCTGTTGCTGGGCATCCTCCGGCTGCTCCGGCTGCTGCAGGGGCTGCTGTCGTTCTTCCCGGGACGCCAGCTCCTCCTGCCCCCATTGCGGCGAAGGCTGTGGAGCAGCGACGGCGCTTGCGGTGTACAGCTGATCCAGTCGCCTCTTCTCCTGTGCCTGGCTTCGTGGCGACTGCGACTGCTGAATCGGCGCTTGTTCGACAGCACCAGCGGCCAGTGCCGAGTGTTTATCAGGGCTGCCGAGCTCCATGGCTTGGGGCCCTTCGCCGGCACCGTCAGCACCGCCACCGGGAAGCCCACCACCATCAAGCGCGCCGCCCTCACCGCCCTCAGCCGAGCGCATGACACTCAAGCTAAACCTCCTCACATCCGTAGAGCTGCCCGGGCCAAAGCGCGATGTCGCCATGGCTGCAAATGGCGACGAGATTGCGGGAACCTGGGACCCCCGTATGCCCGTTGCTGCTAGCGCTGCTGTAGCACCATGTAAAGCTGTTCCGGCGGGGTTAGCAGCTGTAGCCTCGGCCGCCTCCAGCTGCGGCGGCGGCGGCGGCGGCGACCCATGCGCCAACTCGTACTCATCGTCCGAAAATGCACCCCCACGCCACCGCCTCCCACCAATGGTTCGTGGCGAGGGCGTCTTCCTGCCATCCTGCAACCGTGCGGTAACGGCGGGCGGGCCAACCATGTCCTGACCTCGAGGACTGCGGTATCGCCGCCGCGAGCGCGGCGAATCATGTACGGACATGAACCGCGCGTCCAGGCGAGCCGGCGCGCCGCCACCACCGCTCAGGTTGCCAGCTGCAGCAGCGGCACTGCCGTCCGGTTCCGGGCCCATGACATCCGCCAAGCTATGGTGACGAGTAATGCGGCTGTGGCGCGCCCCGGCTGCTGCTGCTGTGCCAGCACTGGGCTCGCTTGTGCTGGGTCGCTCTGCCCCGCCGGCTGCTGCTGCTGCTGCCCTATCGCCACCAGCGCCATCAGCGGCTGCTGCAGCAGGCGCCACCTGCTCGACATCCACAACCGCGCCCTCGGGTGCCGGAAGTTGAGGCAGCGGCAACTGCTGCTGGTGAAGCTGCGGTTGCTCAGGCTGCTGCTGCTGCGGCGGCGGCGGTGGCAGCTGGTTTCCGGCCTCAGCCACCGGGCCCACGGTAGCGACTGCCGCTGCCGGCTCGCCCTGCTGTTGTGGGCCTGGGAATGCAGGCGGGCCAAAGTGGCTGTCCATGGCTTCGACAATTTGCGCAAAACTGGGTCGTTGCGTGGGGTCGTGTGCGCGGCAGGCCTTGCAGAGGTGCAGGAGGAGTTGATCGCCCTCAGAGGGATCTGGCAGGGTGCGCCGAGCGAAGCCCACGGCACCAACAACCTGAGTGGACGGCGATAGGGAGGTGGCGATATTGGTCATAGGTCGGAGTACGCTCAGGCGAAGACTTGCAAACACAGGGCTCAGCTTCTTACTCCATACCGAACAGTACATGATAAGGCTAAAACATGCCCAAGCGGCAAGCCAACCCCTCCAAGCGACACTCTCCGCACGCACCTGCATGGCGTTCAGGTCCGCCCAGGGCGCCTGGCCGGTCAGCAGCTCCCACAGCACCACACCGTAGCTGCCAGGGGCGGGGAGAATGGAGGGCAGGGGTGCACGGACGGTTGCAAGCCTTACCATGGAACTGATACGCCCAAAAAGAGGCAAGTTAACGCAGTTGTTGCAACGGGGCTATGAAGGCCCATGAGGCCTACCACAGCACCCGCTCGCCCCATCCCGTACAAATCCGTACGTACCTGTAAACGTCCGCTGCCTCCGCATACTGGTCACAGCGAAGTACCTCGGGCGCCATCCACTCAGGCGAGCCGGAAGTGGCACCGGATGACACGTAGGTGCGTTGCCGTACACGCGACAGGCCAAAGTCTGCAAGTGGTTGGTTTTCGGGTTAGGGACATGGCATGAACAACACAAGCCACAGCAGCAAGCCGACAGACAACGCCACTCGCCCAGGGCTTCCACGAACTCTTCGCCCATCCATCTCGCCACGAAACAACGGCCGACGCCATGGGCATCCTACCTGCAATCTTGACCCTCCAGCGGTCGTCCACGAGCACGTTGGGGCTCTTGAGGTCTAGGTGCAGGATGGGAGGGCGGCGGCTGTGCAGGTAAGCCATGCCGCGCGCCACCGATACAGCCACTGCACGCTGGAACCGTGCATCGGGCGGCCGGTTGCCCGCTTGGCGTAGGATGCGGAAGAGGCTGCCGCGCGCCATGAACTCCGTCACGATGGACGGCTCCGGCGTCAGCGTGTAGCCCATGAACTGCAGGGGTACGATGAACGAGGAGCGGGAGGAACGGTATTAAGGAGGGACTGGGGACATGGGCATACCGGTACGGGCCACCCTTGCATGATGCCGACAACCTCCGTCTGAACTCGAGAACGGCGAGAAGGGGATCTGGGTCGAGACAACACCCAAGCAGGCGCAGGTCAACCGAGGGTCGTTCAAAATCTTTGCGCCTTTCTTCCGAGAAACACTGAAAGCCCCCTAACCCTTAGCTGTTGCTTTTCCCGGTCCCCTTCCCAGTTCCCACCACCCACCAGAAGCAGGTTGGGGTGGCGCAGGCTCGCCAGCATGTGCACCTCGTCCACGAAGCGCTTGGTGGTGTCTGTGCAGCGGTTGGGGCGTGCGAGTGATTGGGAGACTTCAAGAAGAGAAATGACAGGACAAGGGCTACGTTACAGTATTGCGTTATCGTTCAGTCTAGACTGAAGGGACATCGTGGCCCAGATGGCTTCCAGGGTACGGTAGTAGGCACAAGCCGCAGCAGCAATCGTGCGATCTGGGTCAGCCCACGTCAGTCCCGTGGGTGCTACCCCAGCTGCGCCAACCTATTACCGGAACACGTATCAACAAGCACTTGCCGTACCACAAACATCCCTCTCTCTCCCCACAGTAGATTCCCGCGTCCGCACCTGAATCCGTAGCCAGCAGCCGCTTCACCGCCACCAGCGTGCCCTCATACTTGGCCATGAACACCTCCCCAAAGCCGCCCACCGCCAGCCGCCGACCCATAACGATTTTGTTCGGGTCAAGCTCCCATTCCGAACGGGGGCGCGGGCTGAGCAGCAAGGGATTGGCAACTGATGGAACGAGCGCGTTCGAGAGCCCTGCTACTCCGTGAGAAGCAGAAGCAGGAGGAGAAGCAGCAGCTCCCCCAGAATAGGCGGCAGCTGCGGCTGCAGCAGATGCAAACGCGCTTGCGGCCACCATTCCAGGACCTGCGCAGTACAGCATGCGTCAAGTGTTGAACAACACAATTTGGGTCGTGTCCGTTGCATGGGGACAAGGCCCCAGCCGGCACGGCTGTGCCGAAGATGACATCCGAACGTCCAGCACACACAGGTCCATCCTCCGACCCAAGTTTTGCAACGGCAGCGGACAACGGTAATGCAAGCAAAGACAGATCCGGGAGACCCCAAAGCGCTCCGCCGGCGGTAACATTCGTTCGAGCGCTCCAGGCCAGGAGCAGGCAGTCCGTACCTTGCAGCCGCACGACATGTCCATCGGCAGGCGACGCTGCGCCCCGCAGTGCATGCGAGTGGTGCTCCGCTGATCGCAGCTGCTGCTGCCTCAGCTCTTCCTCGACTTCTTGCAAACGCTGCTGCTGTGGCAGGGCAGCCGCATCCTCCACGACGCGATCTGGGCCAGACAGGGAATCAGCCAGTTGCACAATGGGCTCGGCGTGTAACACGCCGTGGAGGCGGCCGGCCACGGCCTCACCGTTCACGTGCTGCTGCTCCCGCTGCTGCGCATGGTTCTCGTGCTGGTGCTGCCGGTGCTGCTGATGTCCATGTTTCCGCGGTGACGACGGCTCAGCGTCAGAGGGACACTCCTCAATGATGGGCCCAGCACTGCGGGGCGGCATAGCAGTAGAGAAAACAAGGCCCTGATGTCCAAGATAAGGCCCTTCTTGTAGGCCGTCTCCCGCACGCTGCTCAGAGCTGCGGATCTGTTCGAGCGCATGATGCATGGCGCCAACCCCGTTATACCGGCCAGGGCCCTGGTCCCCTGCCGCCTGCGGTGCCTGCAGCCCATCTGTTGCGAGTGCTGCTGCTGCGCCAGGGGCCGTCAGAGATCCAGCCTGCGTAACGAGAGCCCTGGCGGGTGCGTAAGTGTTTGCTTGCAGCTGAGACCCGTCGCTCTTTGCTGCATGAAGCTGCGCCACGGGGGCAGGCTTTGTCATCACCCGCTGCATGCTGTCGAGGACGGGACCGCTGGCAGCATCGCCCCCCGGCTGGTAATGAGTGCGCCAGCTGCCCACCAGTAAGATGTCCGAAGCATCTGAGCCAGCCTGTAAGGTGTCACATCACCAGGAGTGGATGAGTGACATACACGGTGACACCAAAACGAGTGCAAACGTAGCGGCTCAGCCTTATGGCGTTCAAACCATGCGCAAAGTGACTGCAGCCTCGAAGAACATTAACAGGGTTAGCATACCCCAGGCATCGGGACGTGGAACTTACAGGTCGGACTTGAAGGTAAGGACCATTCAGCTGCGATATGGCAGTCGGCTGTATTCCCAGATACTTCACCGTGTCCTGAATTACAGCTGACGCCAGCTCCTGGCCGGCCACCAAGGGCGCCAGCTGCGAGGGCGAAACCGTAGACGTATGTCACTATCAAGCTTTTTGGCCAATCTAACTACGTGCGGCGGTGCAATCGCACCAGTATGCCTACCCTGTGCTCAAGCTGGCTGTCCACGAAGGCATCGGCCTTAACCATGTCTTTCTGCATTGAGGTGGCGCCCCGGCCTGGAGCAGGAAAGGCGTTGCGTAGTTCAATTGACAGAATTGACAGAATTGACAGAAGTGTTATAGATCCAAGATACGTAAACAGCATGGCTAACCCATAGTGGCATCCCAGGTCCTACCTGGGGCATCGGCTTTTCAGGCTTCCTAAGGCCACCTCCCGTCAACACAAAGCTAGTTGAACATTTTTCGGTAATAAGCTCATGCTGTCTGGTGGCTGATCCACTGCGACAGCGACTCTGGGCGCCGTCAATAAGGTAACAAGCTTCGGATCCTCAAGGCTAATGGAGTGATTCCTTATATTTAACGTGGCACAAAGCGAAAATCCTGATTTGAACCACGGTGCAAAACAGCAAAGTACTAGCAACGTGGTAGACTCATATTTTGGTGTTCAGAGTGTACTATTACTGTTTTCTGTGATTTCCTGATGGACATTATTCCTTGGTATAGAAAAAATACAAAGTCTCTTGGAACCATGCGCCCGGACGGTTTTCACCCTTTCGATGCGCAGTCCATGTCAGAGGTCCCATCTGGTACCGGTCAATGTCAAACAGAGAAACAGAAAACATAGGTACAATAAACCACAGATGTTGATATAACAGGTGTGCTGTCGCTGCCGAAAGGGTAACCTTATTCGCGACGTATCTGCTATTACACTTGTTTTACACATGGCCGCTTGCGAAGCCCGGCCCATAGCGCAAGTAATTGTCCAATTACTTGCCGGAGACACGCCATGTGCGGGCGACCCAAATGCCCTCCGAAGCGAGGGGCCACCTATTTTATGTCAGGTTGATAAGCCACACCCTAAAACCGGCCGAACCTCCAATTCCTAGCTACAGCCTTGTCTGCGCCTGAACAATCAGATCACTTCCTCCCAGCACGCACTATGTCCTAGCCCGATCGACGCTTCATCCACCCGGGATGGGCCGTACCGTTTGGAAGCCATTCCATGTACCCGCCACTGCAACCTCTGTCACGCTAACTGGGTCACGCATGGGCAGCCCACTTCGACAAGCCAGGACGGGAAGACCCATCGCGAAAGGCCCTATCCTGCTGCTGCAAACCTTAAAATCCCACCCAGCACAACGGTTCAACGTGATTGCCAGGTATCCGATGCAGGCGTCTCCCCTACACAGGCCCAATCCATGCTGCACGCCTGGGGGCTTACATGCTAGGAGAGCGACCATGCACGCTTCCTCCGGGACGGCCCCTTGTGTAAGCTGCTGCTCTCCTCGCCAACCCGTCCGCCGTCTTCCTTCCCCTGCGCCCCGGGCTCTCACCCCCTCTTCCGCCTCTATCCACTCCGCACCCACGAGCACCACCCATCACCACAACCCACTTCGATTCTGCCACGCCTTCCCCATGCTCCACGCTCAAGCTCCGCCTCCTCCGCTGCCTCCTTTACCTGTCAATCTCACCGAACACCACATCCATCGTGCCGATGATCGTCACCACATCCGCAAGCATGGCGCCCTTCGCCATCACGTCCATCATCTGCAAGTGCGCGTAGCCGGGCGAGCGGATCTTGCAGCGGTACGGCCGGTTGCCGCCGCGCGACACCAGGTACACGCCAAACTCTCCCTTGGGCGCCTCCACGGCGCGGTAGGTCTCGCCCGCGGGCACGTGGAAGCCCTCCGTGTAGAGCTTGAAGTGGTGGATGAGCGCCTCCATGCTCTGCTTCATGGTGGTGCGGCTAGGCGGGCACACCTGGGGGCGGGAGATGGGGGAGAGACAGGGGTTAAAAGCGAGGCAGGGGTTGGAGCATGTATCCTCTATGCGAATGCGGGATGGGGTATGCAAACGCGTGCGGTCCTGGCTGGATGTGGGATAGTGAGGAGTTGACGCGGATGCCGAGAAAGGAGCAGATGCAGTGAAAGGAGGCGACCCAGATGCCAAGCGCGCGTATGCAGTACGCCGCCATAGCGCTTTAGCAATTCCGTCTGCCATAGCATTCAGTCATTAGAACTGTGGGTCCGTGGCAGGCCACAAGTACCCGTAAAAAACGTTCCACCCCCACCGTACCTTGGCATCCGGGCTCTTGTAGAGGCCGTCCGGCATCTCGTTGAGGCACTGGAAAATGATGCGCAGGCTCTCGCGCATCTCCTGCACGCGCACCAGGTAGCGGTCGTAGCAATCGCCGTGGCCGGCAATGGGCACGTTGAACTTCATCTTGCCGTACACCTCGTACGGCTGGTCGCGGCGCAGATCCCAGTCAATGCCGCTGGCGCGCAGGATGGGGCCCGAGCAGCCCCAGTCCCAGGCCTGATGGAGGGGGGAACGGGAAGGTATGGGTTAAGGGAGTCTTGGGTGAGTCGTTTGGACATTGGCACTGGTGGCACTCGCGAAGAGAAGGGGCGTGCTGGCATGCCCTGCTTTGGGTACGCGTTGGTGCATGGTTTTGGGGTTCATGGATTATACAACGCCAATGCATGAAACATGCTTCTTGTCCACGGCCAGAAACCTCCTGTGTCAACAATGCTTTATACCCCGCGCTCATTACTGTCCCCGCCTCTAGAAAGATCGCGGATAGGGGCCTCCTTCCCAATCCTGCAGACAGCTTCATTTCCGAGAAGCAGACGCTCATTGCTTTATGCTCCCCCGCTTGCATGTGACCCATGGCCAAGGTGCAACGTTTTATTCCCTGGGCGTCCAATCTTGGCTTGCGCTTTCAATTACCAAGGGACAGAAGGCCAAACCCAAGTCATGGCTGCTCCGCATGTCTTTCCCGCCCAATTTCCAAACTCCTTCGATGTCGTCCCCCAGTGCTGCCCCCAAAAGTGAAAGGGTTGCGTGCAGGGTTCCACCTCGATTTCCAAAACCCCCCCCCCGCGTCTTGACACCCCTGGTACAACCCTTCGCCCCACCCTTCTTCCCCACAGCTCAAGCTAGAAACAGCGGCCTGTCTTCAATATACATCAATTGCCGTTGCCCAGTCTCCCTTGCTGTACAAGGATCCACGGACACCCCTCCGCCCCCCCAAACCCAGCCCTTCCCCGCCAAACTCCTCGCCCCTCTCACCATCTGCGCAGTGATGGTGCCCACATCCACGGTGCGCTCCTTCCAGATGCGGTTGCCCGTCAGCAGCTCCTCCACCTCATCAATGCGGCTGGCGAACTGGCGCGCCCAGTCGTAGATGTCCCGCAGCAGGCCAATGGGCAGGTCCTGCGCCACGCCACCCACGCGGAAGTAGGCCGCGTGCATGCGGGCGCCTTGGGGCGGGAGGAGCGGGGAAGTGGGTATGGGGTCAATTGCCAAGCGGGAAAGCGGCTTGCCAGAAAGGAGGTAAGGGGATGAGAAAGACGGCGTTGGGGAGGGCAAGGGGGATAGTTGCAAAGGAAACCCCGAACCCTTCCAAGGCTACCGCCCTCAGTAGATGATGCCAGTCTTTATGACACCCGTGCTAGCCCCGCCGCACCAGACACGCGCTCGTAGAACTCGAAGAGCTTCTCGCGCTCCTCGAAAGCCCACAGGAAAGGAGTGAACGCGCCCACGTCCATCGAGTGGCAGGTAATGGCCAGAATGTGGTTCATGATACGAGTGATCTCGCTGTACAGCACGCGAATGTACTGGCCACGCAGCGGGACGGCCAGGTTCAGCAGCTGCTCAATCGCCAGCACATAGGAGTGCTCCATGCACATCATCGAGACATAGTCCAGACGGTCGAAGTATGGCAGGCCCTGGGCGTACGTCTTGTACTCAATAAGCTTCTCCGTGCCACGGTGCAGAAGCCCGATGTGGGGGTCTGGGAAGAAAGGGAAAAGCGTGAATCGGGCGCCTCGCTGCGCAGCTATAACAAAAGTTGTACTAAATTCCTACCAGCTCGCGTAATAATCTCGCCGTTCATCTCCAGCACAAGACGCAGCACACCGTGAGCGGCTGGGTGCTGAGGTCCGAAGTTGAGCGTGAAGTTGTTCACCTTAGCTGGGACAAGTGCTTCCGCCGTGGCGGTGCGGGCTGACTGCAGCGACCAAGGCAGCGCCGATAGAGGCGCAATCTCCATGGGGCGGTTGGCAGTGCTGCATGGAGGAGAGGAAGCTGGTATCATGACGGGAACGCGCCCGCCGAAAGCCATCGCAGAAGCGCACCTGGACCGCAGACCGCGCTGCTGCTGCGCCAGCAAGCCCTGAGCTGCAAAGGAGCATGCTCCAGCCTGGCTAGTAGCCTCGCGGCAGCTGCCACCTGCATAAATAGCATGCTCCAATATGCTGAGGTCCTGTATCGCTTGGCTAGTCACCAGAGTCCTAAAAGTCGGCTCACCAGCAGCTGCCTGCCACATGCCGCGAAGGCAGCTAACAGCTTGACGCCTCATGATCACAAGCTTCAGTAAAAAAAGCTATAGAAAGAAGTGCGGCTTTCGGCCCAGTCGGCCCACGCTAACGCTTCAAGAACACCACTCACTATCGGGCTGCAAGGACCTATAACCTGCCCGAGTGAACAACGTTGGCAAGCGGCGTGGTGCATGAACAAGCACACGGCGTTGTACGGCCGAATTGCCATCGCAGTCCCCTGAAGCCTGAAGGCCCCACGTTGCCAGAGTAGAAGAAAGGGCTGCCCTCAAAAGGATTGCAACGTTCAGGGCAGCGACGTACCTGTAGGAAAGGGTCTCACAAGCATCCCATCATCTCAAAGGTATCGTGGAAACGTTCATTCTATACGTGGAATTACCCTTTTCCTCGCTTGTGTTAACATCAATTGAAACTATGCCACAGCTGACAATATTGTAGGAAGCAGACACGAGCGGGTTGCATCAAACTGCCAAACAGGCAAGAGGACGGATTCCAAGCAAGCTGGCGTGGCTTGCCGGAGGAACATAGAAGAGAGCAGTCCTGGAGGAGCTAGAGTACCCGTACCCCATACTCCCCGCAAACCCCAAGGCCAATTTGCTGACACCACTTGCACAACAGCTTTCCCTTTCTCTCACTCCCTGTGCCTACGGACATCCCGTCCACATAAACGTTGGATGCTAGCCCGTAGGGCCCATCCTGGTAGCAAATCCTTCACAACGTATAACCCCTGATCAGCACCGGTGGGCCCCGTCGTGTGTGGCAAGCTGGAAAGGCTACCTACAGTGGACCTGTAGTTCATGGCTGTTCTTGTGCCGGGACTCCATCCCTCCCCTCCGTGCCGCTAGCAGAGCCAGACCTGGTAGCAGCCATCCAACTGGCACAGAATTTCCAGAGGAGACGAAGGCTTCACGTTATGGTAAGCTCAAGCGTCCAGGTACCGGACGCAGGAGGGGTTAAGAGGTAGGGTACCGCAAGGCGGGCTGGACCAACGCTCTGCATGCCAGGCGGGGGACAACGGATCCCGGTCATCTGCGCTTGCTACCGGTGACGCCTACCCTAAGTTACCTGCGCATCTGCATGATGATGGATGACGGCCAAGAGCCGACCTCCCAGCAGGAGCCACAGTTGCATGCGCGAATCTGCATGCATCCGCCACCCGTTCACGTCATCCCTACATGATACCCCTACTGGGATCAGGGGAAACAGGTTAATTAGTTCCCAGCTTCTACACTGTCCTCCACAGCGTGTAACAGCGGGGAGCTGTGCTCATGCACGACATTGAATGGGTTTCTAAGCGGCAGGCTGGCCTATTGAACTGCCCATGAACGCGGGCGCCAGGGGGTTGCGGACTGGGGCATGCGCCTGGGAGCAGCTTTGATGCCAGAATGCTGGCACATGACGACACAAGTTAGCCTGTCTTTCTGTAGGTTATACCTCATGCTCTACCCACCAGCGGGCCCAGTCCAAGCCAAGCCCACCCCAGCCCTACGCCATCCATTGTGGTTGGGGCGCTGCCGTCCTGTTACAAGGCCCCCCAACACCTGACTGCTTGCGCAGCCCAGGAAGACCCATTAATCCATGGGCCTAAATCGAGTGTTGCCTGGTCCCACGCACCAGCAGATGTCTTGTTAACTTTGCATTGCCCCTCAGCCCTCACCCACGCTCCCTCTTTCCTCTTCCCTCCCCACCACTACTCACCCTATTAGTTAGGTTGACTGGATGTCTACCTGCTGGACATCAGTTGTCCACGCCAACTGCCCCCAACCCGTACCCGCGATCCACTGCTTTCTTATAATGTTTACAATGCAAGATTCATAACGGCTGTGATGACCTATTTCTTTCGCCCTGCAACCTGCGTGGTGGTCATGTACGGTAAGTGCAGTACAGAATGCCGCCCTGAAGGAAGCCCTTCGCTCCGGCCGGGCACAAACGATTTTGATATATAGGCAGCGTTATTGGGTCTTTTTGGCGTAAACGACTGCGCTTAAGCAACGGATAAAGGTTTGAGTTGCAAGCAAATATCTAGTTGCTGTTGTAACGCCGTCGCTGAAAAGCCCTTTTTGCTTGCTCTTGACTCTGTACAGTCATACGTCGAAAAAAATTGAAGATAAGTAATTCAGCCAAAGCACAATGCTCGTCCGTGCGCTTCCTTTCCAGTCGCGTTGCCGACCGGTTAGCAGCACGCCTCAGCCTAGCTTGGCACCAAGGCGTATGGTCGTCGTCCGGGCGCAGGTGGGCCCCACTTTGCACTATGCAGGTCTACACCAACCACCTGTTGCTGCTGATTGTGCACGTGCGGTAACACAGGCTTCCACGGAGCTAGCTTACGTGGTAAAGGATTTCATGACAAGTGGACCAATTTACAACTGTACGCCGGATGACACGGTGGACTCCGCGCTTGAAGTGCTTGTAGAGAAGCGCGTCACAGGTGCCATCCGGATGCGACTCTGTACGCTCAGAAACTGCGTTCAATGCGTCTAAGCATTACACACTGTGTTTTTAGCCTCATATCTTGGAGCTGGGCTGCGTTATTGGGGTTTGTCCAATTCAACTGTCTGGCTAGGGCTTTCCGTACGACGCATGCAAGGCCAGATCAGTTAAATACCGCTCCCCTCACCGCTGCTTAGCTTTTCGCATCTCATGCACCACCCAGCTGACACGATCCATACCCGTGTACGAACAATGACCGGGCCTTGCGAAACCCTCTCCTGCATTTGCTGCTAGGTATGCCCGTCGTCGATGAAGAGAACCGCGTGGTAAGCCACCGACCGTAAATCATGTATCCCCGGACTTGGGCAAATGGCAAGCGTCTTTGTACGCAACAGCTTCTTAACCCGCTTAGGCCTGACACACGAGCTAGCTGTCCAAGATGCATCCTGTCATCCCTGACGCGCAGCATAGCGTTCAGCAGTGTAAGGCCCTCCGCTCTTGCACTCCATCTTTGCTGCTTGCTTCCCGTACAGGTCGGTGTCGTCTCGGACTTTGACTTGCTGGCACTGGACGCTCTGGGGCGGGTCAACTTGGACCAGAACCTCTTCCCCTCGGCGGATCAGAGCTGGCAGGTGGGTCTCAGCAGGATTCCGGAATCTCCAAGGGTTGATAGCAGCCAGCAGGAGTTAGAAGGATGCGGTTGGGACGTGTTGGGCTACGAGCAAGGGTCAGCGGGTCCGAGATGAGGGTGCAGAGCTGGGAAGATCCTGGGTTGGGGTTTAGTAGCGCGGGCCGTGGAGGATAACGGGATAATCAGACATAAGCGAAGAAGGGCCAGAGCCCACATGCACAGCACCGCTACGGTTACGGACCTGGGGCTGCTGGGTGGGTGGTGTTGCTTGGCTGAGGGGCAGGGCCAGGGACCCCACGGGAGCGAGCAAGGAAGAGCCCAGCCCAAATAAATGCGCTCGCCTTGCTTGATGTTTGGGACAAGGGTCTTGACTCTGGTCTTGGGCTCAGTCGCACATACGGCCGTCACGGTTACTAGATGTACCGATGTCCCCATGAACCATCAACAGGCTTTCAAGGAGGTCAAGAAGATGCTGGCGAAGAGCGCTGGCAAGAAGTGAGCTGCTGCTGCCGCGGTTAGGGAGAAGGTTCATGCTGTTGCGTAGTAGGGGTTTTCAAGTTGCGTCCGGGTAGCGTAGGAGGCTGTTCATGTAACGGGGCAGTCTGAGGTGGTTGGGTGTCGTGGGGTTAAGGAAAAGAAGGTACCCATGAGCGAAGTTGGGCGTATAGGTGCTTCCCGCACGGATTTTGCCTAGGCGTGCTTTTTCGAGTGTGCGGCTGCACTGCCTGCAGCTAGCGCCGCCCACAAAGTTCGCCATTCGGTTGTGTGTCCTCTGCTCCCTCGCGCTCGCATTTACGTAATGTTACCCAACGTCCGCCTGCTGCTGCTGCTGCTGCTGCTCGCAGGATCCGTGACGTCATGACGCCCCAGCCCGTCACTGTACGCCCAGAAACCAACCTCAACGATGCCACCAAGTGAGAGGGGGCGCGGGTTGAGGGGTTCGGTTGGCTTATGTGGTACGTGGGAGGATTATTGTGAGCTGGAATCAGGAGGGTCAGTGTGTCAATGGTTCGTGCCACCCTCTTTCTCTCTTCCCCCAACTCCCCCCTCCCGGCCCCCCCCAGCCTGCTAATCAGCCGCAAGATCCGGCGGCTGCCCGTGGTGGACGCCGAGGGGCGGCTGGTGGGCGTCATCAGCCGCGGCAACATCGTCAAGGCGGCGCTGGACATGCGCAACGCGTCCAAGGCGGCAAACGGCAGCAGCCACTGAGTGGTGGTGAGCAGGATGATGAGCATGAGAGCCGCAGGGCAGGAGCTCTGAGTGGAGCTGACTCGGCCGCAAGTCCTCCACCCTCATGTGCAGTGGTGGTGCCATCTTGCATGCGCGCACGAATCAGGCTGTGCGCGAAATCTGGCTGTGCGCAATCCTGACTGTGCCTCGCGCGGGGGCTGCATGTCGGTGGGTAATGTGTGCGTGGTTCTTGGCAGCAACAGCGGCTCTTGTACGGCACAATGGATGAGAGACGTTTTCATGCCAGGAGGGGATTGTGTCCCATGGCACCCCATGGCACGGTATAAAAGGAGTGTATGTAGTGTAGCGAGAGTGTGCAGCGGGTTTGACACAGCATTGTACACTATTGATTCTCCATGGCAGTTAAGCTGTTTGAAGGGAACGGGAAGGAGCGCAGTAAGATTGCGCAGCGAAGCGAGGGCTTGGTGGCAGCTCCAGCGTTTCTATGGTTAACGGCAAAAGAGGGTTAAGTTGTGAGGGAGAGTTGGGGTGTCTGCGAGACCTTTTTGAATTAAATATTCAGCGGTGTTGAACAGTGTTAGGTGGTGTCCCGTTGGAACAGCTTTGGGGGCCCGTGTGAAACAGGGAAAGAGGACAAGGGTGTAGGGCCTTTGGCACGAATAACCCGACATGGGGGGCGAGCCGTTATGTCCCACAGTCCGTGCGGGGCACCTCCTGCGTGCACGGTAGCACGGTAAACCCTTGCAACGTATGGCAACCGGGGGCAGCCCTTACAGCGCCCCAGTGGACGAAGTCGACGTCCACTATGACCACTTGAGTGCTTATTATGGTGTAACGGGTTGCTTGGAGGGTGCAGCCGTAATAAGCTGCGATTTGATGGGAATGCAATTATGACTAGCACGAACCCTGCACGGGTTGCTGCGGCTATGTAATATAATGATTTGGCATTTAGCTTTTGCTGGGCGGGAAGGCGAGTGTTTCGTTCGTCATAACTGCCTTGCTTCCCGCTTCTGGGAAAGTGAGTGTGCTGCTGCCACTGCCGCTGCCCCTGCTGCCAGGATAGATGGACGCTCGAGGCGGCAAAAGAGCCGCATGCCACAACGCAACTGTCAGGGGTTCGCCCTCCACAGGCATGTACACCCTCCCCAACCCACCATGCGATCTCCGTTACACTTGCAAACATGGCAAGGCACATGTACGAATGAAGAGCCTGAGCACGCAGCTGGCGTGCAGCAGCCCTCCGTCACCCTGGCCGGAAGGTGGACCAATAGCCACTCTTCACACCCCCGCAGGTTGACGACCCCGAGCAAAGCGCGTCCTTCAAGTTTCCTGACTTAACGGTCTTACGCGCCACGCGCCAATATAAACGCACGAGACCAACCAGTGCCACTGTTCGCCCACATTCCGCCAAGGTACGCTAACACTCCACAACTGGGCATTGGCCCTCCAAGCAGCACATGACTCGCGCTGACCCGTGGGTCGTTGTGGCGGCGATGGCGGCTCTCACAAGGTGCCGAAGTACGGTTAGTAATAAACGCCTGGCCTTCCCTCCAACTCCCGCCATCCCACCCGCCAACCATGTGGGCAATCCTGTGGGCACGACTAGCGACCGTACACAACCCCCCAACATTGCTCCCCATGAATCCGACATGCATCGCACGAGTGGCCAAACACACTGGCAGCGGCACCGTAAGTGTGTTGTTGTACGCAAGCGCGGGGGTTGGGTAAGTACCGCTGTATGTACTGGGTAATGTACAGTATGAGGTGAACTGCAACAACAAAAGAATCTGACGGCTGACACAACCATTAATATGCAGCACGCAGGACAACCAACATAGCAAAACAAAACACAAAACACAAACGCCATGCAACCGAGAGCTTGACTTCAGTACTTATGGGGTACTGGAGTACAAGCCACGATTGCAGAAAACATGCACTTCCTCATGATACGTGATATGCACGAACACAAACATATGTACTCCCCGGAAATAATGCGGCACCTTGGCTACCATAACACCTTCACCAGCTACCACCACCGCTGGTGTGAAGTCACCCTCCCTCACGAGTGCTGTCGGTCCAACCTCAACTCCACCCGACGTCCATTCCGTCACCCTCCTGCTCCTCGTCATCATCCTCGTCCGCATCTGCGCCGCCAGCGCGCGATGACAGCAGCAGCCGCCCCGCAGCAGCTACCCCCGGCCCCGCCGCCCCAGCCGCCCCCACCGCACCCGCCGCATCCGCGGCCTCCTGATTCTCCTCCACCTCCAGGCGAAGCAAGCGCTGCGGACGCGGAGTCAGGCGGCGCACACAGATACGCAAGCACATCGGCATGGAAGGAAGGGCCAGCACGGCATCGATATTCGAGTTGCGAAGAGGTGAGGGAAAGGGATGAGAGCCACCAGGGTAGCAAGCAAGGACTCCGCTTCCCACCCCAGCCGCACAGCCGCTGCGTGCCGTGCCGTGCCACCGCCGCCGCCGCAGCTACCCAGACCTTCGACCGCATGGCGCGGAGGTGGACTCCCCAAGGCCAAGTGCGGGTAGTACCGATAGGGCCAGCACCACCCCCTGCCGCGGCGGCGGCGGCAAGGCCCAGGCCGGCCCAAACCCCAAAGCAGGGCTGCTGGCCTCCTCCCTCTCCCAACTGCGCCCTAGTGTGGAAGCTCATTTGGGAGTGCAAGCAGGTTTCCCACCTCACCCCGCACCTCACCTTGAGCAGGCCTGCCAGCGCCTCCCTGCTTCCCTCCGTGATGGCCCCCGCGCGGCAGTAGAAGGACAGGCAGCGCGACAGTCGGCCGGTGATGGGCCTGATGCGCATGGTGGGGCCGGGGGGGGAGGCAGGAGGCAGGAGGCAGGGGAGAAGAGTGAGGGGGGATGAGTGGGCGGGCGGAGGTGAGGGGCGGAGAATGAGCGGCGGAAAGGGACGGAAGCGGGAGGGCATGCCTACTTGGCGCTGAAGGAAGCTGCCAGGCCCTGCTAGATACACGGCTTGTTATACGGGTGTGCTCGCACCCATGATAGCGCCCCCATCCCTCCCACGTCGCCGCCGCTACCTCTACTCCTGCCACACCTGAGGTTGCCCCCAGCAAGCAGACTCCGGGCCTCACTGCGAGCCTGCCTGGCGGAGCAGCTCCACTGCTGCTGCCCCGGCTGCTGCTGCGGCTGCTGCTGCAGCAAAGGCCTATGCTGCTGCTCCGCCCTCCCACCTCCTGCGTCCTCCTCCTCCTCCTCCTCCCCGCCGCTGCTCCCCCCGGACCCCGCCACAAGGTACCCCAACAGGATGGCCGAGTAGAGCTGGTGCGGTGAAGGGTGGGGTGAGGGTGTGATGAGGGTGTGGTGAGGGTGTGGTGAGGGTGGCGCCGGTATGCTGGAGGGCGGGACAGCTGTGAAGGATGAGGAGCGACAGGGCAGGCAGGCAGGCAGCAAACTTCCCGCATGAACCGTATGTCCGTATGGCCTACCTGCGCGATGGAGGCCTGCCCGCCTTCTTGACCTTCTGAAAGCGCCGCCTCCGTCACCTCCGCCTCCGCCACCTCAATGCCGCCTCCGCCACTGCCTCGTTCGGCAGCTGCTCCTCCTGCCGCCGCCGTCGCCGCTGCGTCGCTGCCGCCGCCGCCGGCAGCGGTCGCTGCGGGCGGTGGCGGCGTGTCGGCGTTGAGTACGGCACAAAGCAATGGAACCATCCGCGGCGCTTCTGCCGCCGTCGCCGTCGCCGCTTCCGTCATCGTCGGCGGCTGTGACTGCAATGGCTGTGACTGCAATGGCTGTGATTGCGTTTGCGTCCAAGTGAAGTCGTACGGCCGCTGCTGCGACGGCTGCTGAGACTCGGTTTGAGGCTGCGATGCCGGCGGCGGTTGTGGAGGATGCGTGCGTGGCAGCAACGGAACGTCCAGGGCAACGGCCCGCAGTGACTTGCGGTGGACGGGGCTTTTGGATGTCATGTTGATCAGCAGGCCCAAGCTCACACTCAAGACCTGCGGGCGGAGGGGCCAAGGGAAAGAATGGGGTAGCGCGTTCAGACGTGGCGCTGGGGGCTTGGCACTACCGGTAAGACGACGACAGGCGGGAGATGCCGTAAATGCAGTACAGCGAACACGAAACTTGCATCTTGCTTCAGGACTAAATTCCATGCGCTAGATAGCAGGCGTGCTAGGAGCTCCATGGCTGCACAGCTCGCTTGCAAAGTGCGTACCGACACGCTGGCAGCGTAAGCCCCCAAACGCCATGCAACATACAACATGCTCGAAACAACCCCCACCTCGTCAGCAGGTCTAAACAAGACCTCCAAATACAACCCACCTCCAGTTTTGCCACGATTGCGCTTTTCAACACAGCAAGTCGCAGCGGCTGCGGCTGTGGCGGTGCTTCCGACGGTTGCGACGTCGGCGGCGGTTGCGGATGCGGTTGGCAGCAGCGCCAGATCAAACCACCAACGGCTTGCAGGCCTCCCGCCGCCGCCACCGCCGCGACGCCGTCAGCATGTTCGTGTGTTAGGTTCATCAACACCGCGGCGGCGGCCTGACAACATTCGTGTACGGCAGCGGCGGAAGCAGGCGCGTCAGCGCCGCCCGCCGCGGCCGCTGGCGGCCGCGGACCGAGTGAGGCGGCGGCGATCCCGCCGTCGTCGCTGTCATCGCTGACGTCAGCCAGCTCAGCCAGCTGTCGTACAACGTCGACGAGTACGGCAATGAAGGGCGTTCCATCTGCCGCCGCCGTCGGTAGCGGCTGCGACGGCGGCGCCTGTAACGGCGGTGGCGGCGGCTGAGTTAGAAGGGACTCCAGCTCTTGTTGCGAAGGCTGTGTTGCCGGCGGCACTTGCTGGGTAAGCAGCGGTGGCTGAGTGGCCTCGAACGGCTGCGAAAGCTCCTGCGAAAATGGCGGTAGCGGCTGCTGCGACTGCGGTTCCGCAACCTGTCTCTCCGTCACCGTTACCACTGCCGTCGCCGCAGCGGCGGCGTCTGCATGGGCGACAGGCAACCCCGTCGTCACTCGTAACGCCAGCAATTCGTTCTCGTTAACCTTGTGCGTGAATGTCGCGTTCTCCAGGACTTGCAGCAGCAGTTGTAGCTCCCAAAGTAGCCAGCGGGGAAGTGGAGCCGGCGGCGCTGGCGGCGCCGCCGTCAGTTGCGAAGGGTTGCTTCCCAGCGGCGGCGGGACAGCCTCCCCCGCGTCGGCGGGTGAACCGCCGAACGAGTACGGATCGTCACCACGGCCGTCGCTGCCGCCGCTCGTACCCGTCATTTGTCTGGTCGCCGCCGCTACGCCGGCTGGTTTGGAAGCTGCCGCTGCCGCTGCATTGGCAGCAGCTGCCGGGGCGGCGGCGGCGGCTCGTCGCTGGTTGAGATGTCGTACGATTGCGTCGCGTCGTGCGGCAATCAAGCGGGCTAGGAGCGGCAGGATGCCCACTTTGTGCATGTTGTCCTGCATGATTGGTGCGGGGAGGAGGGGCAGGCAGGAGTGTGCAACATTGATAGAACGTCCATAGGGCCTTACGGCATGCGCCAACTGCACTACACACGTCGCGCTGCACGCATGAAACCCAGAGGGAACGGCAGCAAGCCCCGTGCAAACCACCCACCTTCAGCCGCTCGGCAAAGTGGATGCGGGCGGGGGCCGTACCAGAGGCCGTGACCAGGGCTCTAAGAACCAGCGGCAGCGGACTCATCACCTGAGCAGCGGTACGGATTGGGAGGAAGGGGGGCGTGGGGCGGGAGCGTAACCAAGATACCGGGAATGGGGCCTGACTGATGAGGACGACGAACAAGGAAGCGGAAGAGCAGTGTGCATGAAGGACTGGAAGCCGGGGCAGTCAGCATTGCTCCATGCCAAGGGGCATGCAGCCGGGGGCATGCAGCCACTCACCAGCTCAGGTCGCCCCACTTGGCGCGCCAAATGGCCCTCTTGAAACAGCTTGCTCAGTCGTCGAACAATGGCATCACCACCCGCGCCGCCGCCACCAATGCCGGCACCACCCGCCGCTGCTAGCGCCTCCGTCAGGAGCTTCCAACTGCTGCCGCCGCCGCCGCCGGCTTCAGCGCCGCTGCTAGGCGGTTGTAGGATCGGCGGGGCGTCAGACTCCGCCTGGGCATGCGTACAGGGCATCAGCGGCACGGCCATGAGCGTGGGTGAAAGGTCAAAAGGGCAACGGGGAAAGGGAAAGCATGGGTAGCATGGGTCGGAGGGAGGAAGGGGTCAAATGGAACACATCAAGCAGTAGCGTTGTGTCACCGTAAATTGCCCAAAATTTAATTGACATGCGCTTGGAGGCCTAATTTCCAGCCCCATTTGACAAAGCGGGAATAATGTATGCCCCATTTGACTTCCTGATGGCGAATTTCTAGCCCCATTTGACATGCGCCAAAACGCCCCAAAAGCCGCCGTACGTGTTGGATGTAACATGGTAAGGAAAGGAGCTGTTCAGCTGTATGCCGCTGTGCAGCCCTAGGAGGATAAGTGGAACACCACTTGGAAACCCCGACTGGGCATGGCGCGGTGAGGATCCAGCGCACTGGCAAGTCAGTTGCCCCCTACCTCTCCGTTCCCATCTTAGTTACCCTGCAGTCACCCCAGGCGGAATATTTTGCCCCCATTTGACACCTTGCCAGCGAATTTCCAGCCCCATTTGACATGGCAAAAAAACATTTTTGCCCCATTTGACAAAACCCAAAACATTTTAATTTTGTCAAAAATTTGGGCAATACGGTAACATGGAGCAGATTGGGGTGAAGTGACATGCAACACCAAAGCTGCGTGCGTACCTGCAAACAAGCACGCAGCCGGAATCTCCCCTAACCCCAACCACGGCGTCACCGGCGACCTCAAAGGCCGCCAACGAAAAACCAACCAGCCAACCAATGTTTCCGTACCTGCTGCAAGACCTGCCGCATCAGTACGGCAGCCGCGTACGACGCGCCGTACGCCGGCAGCGCATCCTCCTGTACGAGCGCCAACAGGATAACCGCCGCCGCTAAAGCCGCCACGGGGTCTCGGGGTACCGCAGTCGTGCGAGCCAGGGAGGTGAGGGCTTGCTGGGCCAGGTTGGTGGGGCGGCTGTTTGGTGTGTGTGGGACGAAGAGGTGGGAGGAGGAGAAGCAGCCGAACGGAAGGGGTTAAAAGAGGGTCTAAAAGGAACAGATAACAATTGCTCCTGCTCGGAAGGAACCGAAACCTTGTAGCGCCCACAGAATGGACCATGCGCATGCTCCCTTCCCACACGTCCGTGCACCCATGCATTCAGGCGTGTACGGAATGCAAGTCAGGACACCCCCCCCCCCGCACCCGGCCCTGGCGCTCCCCTCACAGCCGCACGGCCACACTAGCCCCCGGACGCCACAGCGTAAAGCCCACATGCCTTCATGCATACAAAAGCACCCGCACACGCACACACCCGCATTATTTTAACACACCCGCATGCATACATGCAGTGCTAGGACACAACCCCCCACCTCACCTCAGCGCCGCTCGGCCACGCCGGGTCGCCAGGATGGCCGCCAGCGCAGCGGCGGGCTCTCGTACGGCAGTGCCAGCACCGCAACTGCCCCCTGCACCGCCTGGTACGGAAGTTGTTGCGGGTACGGCAGCGGCGGCGGCCTTGAGCCCATCCAATGCGTACAGCGCGTCATCTTGCAGCTGCAGCAGCTCGCCGCGTTCTTGCGCCTGAGGGTGTTGGGTGCGCGAATGCATACAAACTAAAGAGCGAGGTGGAGCTGGCCGAAGGAGGGGCAACATGGAGTAGAGAGGTGGGGCGTGGGTTGGGGGCGCATGGGGTGCATACGGGCGAACAGTTGCGATGGGAGCGACAGTGACTGTGCAACGCTTCGGGGCACTGCCCTACAGCCCAGCTGGTGCCCCCAGCGCCTGGAACCAACACGCGTGTGCAGCTGAAGGATGGCTGGTAAGCTGACGAATCCAACCCTTCCCCATACCTCCACAATAGAGTGGCTGGCCGCCGCGGCAGCCGCGTCGTCATCCCCTTGCGAACCGCCCCTCACTCGCCCGCCACCGCCGCCACCGCCGCCAGCAGACATTGCACTACCCGCCCTCTGCCGGCCACCAAGCGCCGCGGAACCCTGCCGTCCTGCGCCGGGGCTCCCGCCAGCGGCGGCGGCACCGCCGTTTCGCGCACTGTCAGGGCCGCCGCCGCGTGAGAGCGACGGCGATGATGCCAGCGGCGCTTTAGTGCCGCCGGCTGCTGTCGTACCAAGCGGTCCGCTGCTACTTGGAAGGAGGCCACGACCAATGGGTCGTGATGCCCTGCCTGCAGCAGCGGAGGGTGTGCCCGTCCCCGTGCCTTGGGATGCCGTCTGCGATGACGGCAGCGGCGGCGGTGGGTCGAAGGAGGAAGGTTGGCTGCCAAAAAGCCGGGGTATGGCAGTGGCGGCGGCCGGACGCGCCGCTGGTGGCGGCAGTGAGGCACTCCTTGTCGGCCGCGACGGAGGTGCTGTCGTCGGAGGTACCACCGCCGCCGCCGCCACGGCTGCTGGCAGCGGCGGCAGCGCCCGCTGCAGCTGAGGCGGCGGCGGTTGTGGCTGCTCTGGGAGGTGATGCTTGCCTACAGCCACCGCCGTCGATGCCATCCTGCCGCCGGCGGCAGCGTTAGCAGCGGCGGCGGGGGCGTTGGCAGCAGCGCCGCGCGCACGGGGTCGCTGCTGCGGCTGCTCAGCTGGCGGCGGCGGCGGTGGCTGTTGCAACTCCGTTTGGCGGTTGCTCGTTTGCCCTTCTGCTCCTGACAAGGGACGCGGCATTGACGGTGCTGCCGGCGCCGCGGCTGGCGGCGGCACAGGCGGCGGCGTGCCACCTCCGCTGCCGACACTTCCCGCCAGCGGTCCGGCGTTGCCACTGACGCCGGTTGTCATGCTTCCACGACGCCGACTAAAAACATTCAGCACCGGCTTCGGTACCGCTTGGATGACTGCGGTAGCAGTCACTTCAGCCGTGCCTGACGGCGCCCTTGCCGGCAGTGGCAGTGGCCGCGCCGCCGCCGCCGTTCCCTGTGCAGCCGGCTTAGCCTCCTTTGCCGCCGTCACCGCTGTAGCAGGCGGCGACCCGGCCTTTGTGATCTGCCTACTGAACCGCCCAGTCAGCACAGCAGCATCGCCGCTGCCGCTGTTGCCGCCTCCGTCGCCGGCTTGTGCCGGCCCTACAGCTGACGGCTGCTGCAGCTGCGTTCGCATGCCCTTTTGCCGTCCTGCGTTGCTCCCAACCGCTTCAACATTTGCCCTCATCTTCTCCTTCGGGCCCCTCTCTTTCCTCTCCTCCTCCTCTTCTCCGCTCTCATTAGCATGGCAGCCATCGTCGTCGTCCTCGGCATCGCTGACGTCAAAGTCGTACCCAGAGCTGCCAACCGCCGTACCCAGACCCAAGCCTGTTGGCGGCTGCTTCCCTCCACGCGGCTTTCCCGCCGCCCCCGCCGCTGCTGGCCCCTCCTGCACCACCTCGCCCCTCATGGCCCCAAGCCGGGGACTCCGCCGGGAGGGAGAGTTCCTCGGCAGAGCTGCTGCTGTTGCCACCATGATCTTGTCTGCAGCTGCCGCTGCCGTACCGCCGCCGCCTTCCGGAGTGGTACGAGGGCCCTGCGCTGCGGTAGATGCTGCCGTACGGTTGCTTTTCGTACCCGCGCTGGCCACATTGCTGCCGTCTCCCTGCAAGGATTGTTGACCGCGGGTGTTATGTTGATTGCAATGATTCCAAGTGGGAAGCATTCGGACAGACACCGGGCCGACAGACGCCGAGCTTCCAGGCCGGATAATCGGCAATGCCAGTTCCCCTGTTGCAGTATTTGCCAAGCTCACATTGTGAAAGAATCCGCGTGACTGAATGCCCGCGACGGGCTGAGGCGCCCGAGTAGCCGTGTCGCTGGGATGATGGATAGGAAACGTTCGCTGGGTGGACGTCTGTACGCCCCTGGGCGTCTCCACGCGCGACTCCTTGTTTGTGACATATGGTGCATCCTCCTCTAGCTTTCGCTTCCCTACTTTATTCGGCAAGGGCTCAGCTGGTGCCGATGCAGGTGAACAGGCCACAAGGTCCTGCTGTGCTGCCCCAGCCGCTAGCTGCAGAGGTGTATCCGCACACGCCGTATCATAATATGATGTATTAACATTCCCTGGCTGCTTGGGATCGACATTCGTCCCGTTGGTCAAGAGAGGCTCCTCAAGCGGAGCACTTTTGCGCTTCCGTGTAAAAGTCTTCATTCAGACAGCTACACTATGCATGTAAGCCGCGCATCTTTGCTGGTCTTATGGGCCGTATCCCGTGGCTTGTCTCAAGAGCGCGGGAAAAGTTATATCCGGCATCATTTCCCTCTATGTCAGTGCTTTGTAGTGGTCTGGGTCATGGCATTGCCGAAGGTCTTGTAGTTGCGGACCTCACAGTGCGACGGTAATGCAACATGCATTGGTTTCGGGGCTCACTGCTGAGGGCCTACAGCTGTGACCCTGAGTCCCTAACGCTGATCTAACTCCTGCAAGCAACAGCTGTATTTTGACTGGAATAACCTCCCTGCCGGGCTATTGCGGACGGCGCGACGGCGAGCGCCTCTTCGTGTCCAAGCTCCGCTGAGGTCAGCAGGAAATGGTGAGGAGGGTGGAGGGAGTGACGGAGGAGGGAACGGCCAGGGAGGAGCAGCAGGAGCGTGGATAGACAGAGGGGCCAAGGGTGCGTTCAGGACAGGGGTGGGGGAGGCCTAACTAACAGGATGCACGCTAGGTCAAGGTTATCGGGGGTATCGGGACCTAGTTGTGTGCCGGTACAGCTTATGCTGCATCTTGCCGAATTCCGTACGACATGCAGACATGTACCATAATGCAACATGCCGCACACGAACCAGCTAGTGCTGCTATCTAGCAGCCACGGGGCGCAATGGGACGTGTCGGCATCAAGGGGAGCGAGGTTATATCGCCATGTTCTCGGATAGGTGGTGAGTCATCTAGTAGGATACCCCCCCTTATTTCGCGCGCAATTGCCCGCGCTCTGACGCATTTACGACCCGTAGGCGCCAGCACGCATCGTGCTTGCTGTTGCTCCGATGCACCCTTCCATCCCCTTCGCGCTGACCAAACACTTCCCCGGGCCCTCCTCCCTCTTCGACGTTCCCTGGTAATAAGTATCACAGGCCTTGTCCATCACTACCATACACTTCCGTTCTGCGTCCACTAAGCCGAAGGGTTTATCTTAAGGAGTAGTATGGCAACTTTCGGACGAAGCCTGTGTTGCAACTTCCACCTCTTCGTTTAGGACGATAACCCTTCGTCTACCTCGCCCCTTCGTCTTACGTCGCTCCTAGCCACATCACTAAACAACCAGAAGTCCAGGATCAATTAATGTTTGCGGCGTAGCTCTTCTCAACGTCCTTTCAAAGTTCTTTTGTGGTCTCATCTGCTTTGTACCCCACTATCACCAGCGCTACGCTCCTGGCAACCAAGATAGCTTCCGTCTCATCATCTGTTGATCTGTACACGACTGCCATGCGCTCTTCCTCCTCCCCAATCGTGGCCGCCAACCATAAAATGCAGCAGCCAGTCAGAACAGTAATGGCCGCAGCGCTGCTCTTCACGGTGGCCATCGCGGCCTTTGCGGCAGGTGCCAGGTGGTCGGGCCAGCGCTGCAAGGCCGCACAAGACCCGCAGGTCGGTCATGCGGTGCAGCTGCAGCAGCAAGGAGGCCTGGAGGAGGTTGCAGATGAGATTCCGGAGCCGACACAGTTCGCGCCGGCGTTTCCGGAGAATCGCGGGCTGGTTGGAGGGCTGCAGCAGGATAGGGAGGGCGGTGCTAGTGATGTGGCGACGCTGCGAGAGGAGGTTACGTTCCTCCGACGCAAGGTAGGGCGGTAATGGTGGGGCGTGGTGAGCTGTTGCAGCTTGGAACTTGCACGGGGACCTTTGGGGTGGAGGCACAAGGCAGGCTGGGTTCCCTTCACACAGGGGGCCAAAAGAAGAGGACCCAATGTATTGACATAGGTGGCAGGGAGGCCCTACATGAGTGGATCTCCGCAGGCGCCCCAAAGGTAACGGCAAGCGCGCTTACCTAACCTTTCCCACCATCCGTTCCCCTTTTCCCTTCCTTTCCCGTACGCTATCCTGCCATGCAGGTTGACTCCCTGCGTCAAGTGTACGGCACAACGTACTGCAAACTGCACGGCATAGGGCCCTCGGGTGGCTTTTGTGTGGCTCCGTCACCTCCTGGGGCAAGTGGCGGCACGATTAGCGGCACGCTGTTGGATAAGCCTCTCTGCGCTGCCCTAGGCGAAATGCTGGCGGGGCAGCGTGTAGCTGATCTTGGTGCAGGACGCGGCCATTACGGCAAATGCCTAAGTCCTGTCGTAGGGAAGTACGTGCCGTACGATGGAGGCGAGGGCATTAAGGCGGCTACCAGGGGTGTCGTACACTTCCTCGACCTTTCGGAGCCGACGTGGCTAGGCTTGTCGTACGACTGGGTAATCTCACTGGAGGTCGGCGAGCATATTCCTGCCGCACATGAGACGTCGTACATCGGGAATGTACTGCGGCATGCGAACCGTGGCGTGGTGCTGAGCTGGGCGGTCCCAGGACAGGGGGGGCACTACCATGTGAATGAGCGCCCTAATGATTACATCGTGGGTAGGGTGTTGGCATTGGGGATGGGTCGTTTTGTGCACAACAGTACGGCAAGTGCCGTACTGCGGTCATCCAGCAGCTTCTCATGGTTCAAGAACACCATCATGGTGTTTGACCGGGTTTGACCGGGTCGTGGTGCTGCCGGTGGGTGAGGAGGTAGGGCGGGAGGTTGAGTTACAAAGTACGGGAGCGGTATGGGGCTTAAGTGGAATGCCTGTAGTTGGACTTCACGTCGTGAGACAGCATGGTTGACGTGGACGTTCGGTAGCATGGGTGCTATCCTCTTGAGTCGGAGGAATTGGCATGCCAGGACCTTTCCATAAGCACTGCCCTGGGGCGACTGTTTCTATAATAGCTTTTGGGTGCATGGCTGCATGTGTGTGAGCCCCGCACTGTACCGACCATAGCTGGGTATGTGGTGTGTTCTCCGGCCTCTCCAGATGAGCAGGATGGCATCGAGTATAGACAGAGGGGATGGGACACAGTAGGCCATGTTGTACTTCGTTAGTTTGGGCCAGGATGCAGGTGTCGCTCCCGTTTACCGGCACAGCTACTCTAGCGGCAGCGGGTTGGACTAGCAGACCCGTGGGGCTGTGGCAGTAGCGGGCATTGTGTCAGCAGTTGTTCAGAGCACCCTTGACAATAGTTAAGCCTGTTAGTGGTCAGTATTATGCGTTGCGGTGGACGCGAGGTTGGCATCGTTGAACTGCTGTCGTATCCGTGGGACACCTGGGTCAGATGATGCCGTGGCGCCTTTCTGTTATCTGGAGATTAGCAGATCTGTTTATCTGAGTATATTCCCGCTCAGGGGTAAATGCTGTTGAATTAGTTAAGTTAGGGCGCTGAGTCTAGAACTTGTGATCTCTCCATGGAGGGCTTCCATGCAGCATTGTGAGATGGGACTTAGGTGCGAGCGCGGCCATGGGCCGACGCTTCTGGACACGCATGCAGGCATGCAGGTATTATTATAGCTTGCGCGTCTTAGGCCTATAGCGGTAGCGTTTACTAGCAATACAACGTAGGTGGAGACACAATCGAGGCGGGAGGCCAAGACAGAGCCTGCCACGTCCTTTGTAGCTGTTGTGCCCTGTCCATGTTCCTATCGGAGGGTGGGGTTAGTTGACAATAGTGGTCTTACCTTCCTGCTCGCGTGAACTTTGGTAACCTGGGCACTGTTTAGCATGTCAGATGAAAGGCACGGCTTGTTGGACAGGAGGGGCCTTGGTGGATACAGAAAGTTTTTTGTGATACGTTGGCGGCTGTTGATACGCCCAATGATGGTTAACATCACATACCTTAGGCGAGGCTACCCTTCCACCTCTGCGCAACCTTATTTCGTGCCAAGATGATCCTTTGGATCCATTCTTACATCTTACATCTTCGCAATCATGAAAGATGGCGACAGCCCGCCGATCCTTGGGTTGATAATCCTACGCAAAGCACGCAATGCAACTAACACAGCGCAGCGCATTAATATCAACCGTCGACCCTTCGACAGAGCGCATTGTCTTGAACCTCCTGTAACCCCTCAACTTCAAATGTCCCGTATACCACCCCGCTTGAACCCCAATCAAGCGGAACCCCGCAACTCCTCCCTTCATGTCGTCCATGCAGGAAAGCACGAAGAGTGTCCACAAACAGCCAGGAGGCTCGGGGACTCAATGGGTGCTACGCAGTCAAACGACGTACCCATGCCCCGTCCTCGTCCTCCTCCCTTAAAACCCACTGCCTCCTAATCTCGTTCTGCTAGTTCCACCTCCTGCTTTGTTCCCTTCCACGGCTAGCCTTCCATGCAAGGAGGCTGCACCACCCTCCTCCTGACGGTAAGAACGGGAGCGGCCCTGCACGCGGCGACTCGCAGACCGAGGTCCCCCTCCCCACCTCCCTCCCGCCTCCCCATGCCAAAGCCCGGGCAACGGGCAAAGCTCGGGTGCCCTTCTCTAGCTACCCCTACTCCCCTGCTACCCTCCCAGCTGCTCTATGAAGAACGCGGCACCGCCCCCGCCCGCCAGCCCCGCCTCCTCAAACGTCTGGCTCCCGCTCTCAGCCTCGCTGAACACCCTCCGCGGGAACTGCGCCACCAGGTTGTACGTCCCGGGCTTGAGGGAGCTGAACGGCTGCTGCTGCTGGGCTTGCTGCTGGGGTTGCTGATCGGAGGCGGAGGCGGAGGCAGCAGCAGCAGCAGCGGCCTTTGCTGCTGCGTCATGCAGCTCCACGTCCACAAAGTCGAAGAGGGAGGCGATGCGGTCGGAGCGAGCGAAGCGGCGACTGTGCCGCGAGCCGTCCGGCAGGCGAACCTGGGACGGTGCGTTTACCGCACGGGGGGGGGGGGCACACATGGGGTAGGACGATGCGGTCGGGTAGATGGCAGAGTGAAACACGGCAGCAGGGCACATGCACTCTCCTCCTTACCGCCACCCTTCCCACCATGCCTTCCCACAGTCTTCCTACAGCCACGGTCGGTGTTTCACCCAACCTCAGTTGGCCCCCCCCACCATGCCGCCCCCCTCCTCCTCACCATCACAGTCACCGCATCCCCCGCGGCCGCAGGCGGCTCCCCCGGCAACCGGGCTGCCTTCCTGGCCAGCAGCGCACCCAGCCGCGCCGCCTCCTCCGCAGCAGCCCGAGCAGCCTCCGCCTCCGCCTCCCGCCGCTGCCGCTCCGCCGCCTCAGCCTCGGCCTTGGCGCGAGCGGCCGCCTGCTCCTTGGCCCTGCAGCGGTGTTGGTGCGTTGTGTGTTAGGTACAGGGTGGCGGTGTGAACAACGGGGTTCCAAGCCTCGGCTTCACACCCTGGCGCGTGATTCCTCCCAACCCTTGTCGCACAACCACTTCTAGGTCTTACACAAGCCTTCCGCTATTTCCCATGCGCCTCATGCCCTGCCCATCTCCGCACCCCCCCCCCATCCTCACCTGTCCGCTGCCAGCGACTCCTCGAACGCCCTGTCCTGGTCCCACCGCAATTCCCGGTGCTCCATGAGCTCCGGATCCAGCACGTCGCCGTACGCTCCGAAACCACCACCCCCACCACCTGGCCCCGCTCTCCCACTGGGCCCTGCCGCTCCTGCGCTGAAGTCCGGCATGCGCCCCTCGTACGGCACCCCCAGCATCGCCGCCTCCATCATGCGAGCCTCCTCCAACTCCTGCCGGCTCATGCCTGCGTGGCGTAACGGGGAAACAGGCGCTCAAAGGAAATCGATAGCACTAATTACATGAGTCGCACGTTAACGGGAAGGCATAACGTGACGTGCAATGACTGCGGCAAATGAATGTGAGGACTGCGGGAGTTAACGGGCTATGATCCTCACCTTCCGGCAACTCCAACCCATCGTCCCAAGCATCTCCTCCCGCCGCTGCTCCTGTCCCCCGAGCACCAGCAGCAGCCGCACCGCTGCTCCCTCCCCCTCCCCCTCCCCCCGCTGCTGCTGCTGCTCCAGCGCCCCGGCGGACCTCCACTCGCCGCCGCTGCGGCTGCGGTTGCCCGCTGCTGCTGCCGCCGCCGCCGCCGGGGAAACCAGGGGGCAGCAAGCCTGCACGTCATTGCCGGGTCACGTACATTGGGGTACCGGGTAAACATAGCAGCGGACGTGACAGGCGCGAACAGGGGTGTCATAAAAGCTTATGGGTCGGCCTTTACTACACCCATGCGGACGAGGCCCCATCAAATGGGCAATCTGCAGGAGGCCCAACCCCAATCCCACCCGATTGGAAGAGGCAACCCGGCAGCCCGCACCTGGCGGGAAGATGCCGGCAGCGGGCATGCCGGGGAAGATGCTGGGCAGGCCCCCAGCAGCACCTCCACCCAAGATGCGCTGCATCATCGCTGGACACGGGCCCCGGAAAGGGTGGCGGCGAGGGGAAGGCAGCAGCAAACGGGGAGGAGACGAGGCGGGTGTCAGCAGGGACATCACATACACGCACGCACATAACATGCATCTTCCCAGGCTGCGCTGCATTGTCTCAGTGCAGGTGGGAAGGACGCGTGCAGGATGTGGGAAAGAGGACCCGGCAGCGGATGTCAGGTGTCAGTACATGGGTGGCATATGCGCTTGCTGCCGCACAACCTACGCCTCTTCCTCCTACCTCCTCAGCCCCTCTACTACTCATCCCGCGTCCCGCCCATACGGCCACACAGCTCCCTCCCTCCCTCCTCCCCCCTCTCACCCTCCGCCTCCGCATCCGCCTGCCGCACCCGCCGTATGCCCGCCAGCAGCTCCTCCGCGCCCGGCAGCTCACCATCATCACCCTCCACCACGTGGCCAGCAGCCCCCCTGCCGCCCCGACCACCACCAGCAGCAGCGCGCACCTCCTCATCCTCGTCATCATCCACCTCGATCACCTGCGGCGCAAGGGTGTAGGGACCCCGAGTGAGTGTAGGGTAGAGCAGCATGCCAGGATAGTGCGCATCCAGGAAAGCCGTACGGTGTTCACAGTACGACCGAAGGCATAGCGCAACAACTCCTGCAGCGATGCATGCAACACTCCAAGCGGCGGCCGCACAGAGCTGTGCGAGCGTCCCAGCTGCAGTACAGTGCCGTACAGTACGCAGGTATATCATCAACCGCATCCTCCGCGGCAACCGCCAGCAAGGACTGCACGGGCCCCCACGACCTTCGGTCCCTGGCCCCTCGCCCACCCGACTCCTGTAGACGCCCACCGCATGGCTCCCCTTTCCACCACTTTATCACCCACCTGCACAGCGCTCCGCTGGGCTGGCCTGGCTGGAGGCCTCGGCTCTCCTGCGGGGCCGCCACGGGCACGGGAACCGCCGCCTGCACGGCAAGGGGCGAGGCGAGGGCAAGTGAGGAGGCAACTTGTTCAACGGGTGAGCAGTCTGAGCACAGGGGGTATCGCCAGTCGTCGTCGGCTTCTGGCGTGCACGTTGGTTGGAAGGCAGCACGCATGAGGTTGCGAATGGCAAGGGTGCGGACGGGCGAGAAAGTAAAATTGGGGTTTGGGGACCGACACAAATGGATGGTAGCCGGCAACGTTGGGTGAAGTTGCGGCGAATGGACCGCAGCTTTGATCGGTGCTACATGGGAAGACTGCCTAGGGCCTATTGTAGGGCCCGAGGTGGCTCAGCGAGTGCGAGATTGAGGAGAGGCAAGGCGAGCATGGACGAGAGCTTAGAAACCCAACGCTGCTTTTCAGCATGCCATACCTAATATCAAACTCAGTAAGGACAAACCCAAACCATTCAAGGCCTTTATTTGTAATGGACCCCACTCCTTAACGCCGCCTAGTGCAACATCTGAACTCGTCCACGGAGGTGCATTACGCGATGCCAGCCCACCTGGTTCTGCTCCAGCCAACGACTCCTGTAGAGCTCGTTGTAGCTCCTCGTCGTCGTCTGCGGCTCTTCTGTGCGAGGCTCCGTGCTCATGCTCTTCAAGGTCAAAGCCCTCGTCGCCACCGTAAGCTCCATATGCACCATATGCGCCAGCCCCTCCAGTCGCTTCGTTATCTTGTGCATCGTGCACAACTTCTGGAGCTGCCTGGGTCTGTGCTGGCGGATGCTCGAAGTAAAATTCCATAGCTCTGTTCAGATCAAAGTTACATGCTGACAAGTAGTGATCTGCAACAAGTGGCGAAGCTCCTGTGATGGCAGCGAACTCGCTGACAAGCTCTTGGTAATTAGGAGGTTGCTCCATGGTTGGCCGGCGCCCCCAACGTGACTTGCTGTAATGCGGGAGTTAGTGATAATCCAAAATTGAGGAGAAAAGTAATATATTGTGGCCCCTTCACAACGTTACAAGCGTTGGTAGTGCACGAGTTTATGTATGCCCTTAAGGACCTCGGCCTCAATGTAACATGCATGCCATTACGTCTTACTTCTATGCAAAAAACGTTCAAGGGGCGTATTCCCACTAGATCGCTCCTCAACTGGAAATACGGCAGCCAGGCGCCAAAGAGTCGATGACGAATGCAGTACGCCTACATGAAAGAAAGCCACGAGGTTGCGCTAGGCAAAATCCCTACGTTACCGTTTATATACAACACGAGGAATCGTATCACTTCGTCTGTTGAACGCAAGTTTCGTTTAACACTTCTCCAGCAAGTCGCTCTAGCACGTTCTTTTCTGTGCGAGGTCCGCGCATGTGACTCTGGACAAAATGCACAACAGCGGTGTAGAAACAGCAGCTGGAGCACCGTCGTCTGGATATGTCTGCGAGGCTCGAGATGGTGCTTTTGTGGCTGGAAAGGCAGTTCTAGGCGACTCCACAGAGTGCTTTGGTGATACTGCTTGCGCCCCAGCTTTAGCGTGCTGCGCCGGCACCGCAGCACAGAAAAGCTGCTGTTCCGCAACTCTCCAGCCAGGATGCAGCGGTTCTATCAGCCACGCTTGTGCTCTGCCGTCAAGCAGCGTGATGGCCGCTCCTTCAAAGCCACCCTCAAAGCCAGGAGCAGGTGGCTGTTGCTGCTGCGGTTGCGGCGAGGGTGTACCCTGCACCTGCGGCACGGTCACGCTGCGGCTGAGCGCGTACGATCCAGCACTGAATCCAGACGAGCTTTTTGAGCTATGTCGCTGCGATTGCAACGACTGCAAGTGCAACAGCTCAGAGCAGCTGACCAAGGTGGGAAGTTGGAACATGAAAGGGGACATGGACTTGAAGTAAGAGGAGCTTGTGGCGAGAAGTTGAACGATTGTTTTTTGGGCTTTGTTGCCGTTGCTGCTCAACAGCTGTCTCATGCAGAAGGGGCATGTGGGAACAGGGGGATCTGGGTCGAGGCAGAGGGAAATCCACGCCCAGAAACAAGTCATCTTCCACGTGTCTGCCTTCATGCCTACTGCCCTTTCATGTGGACTCGTTACAAATACACGCGCATGTACGGTACAAATACACGCGCATGTGCGGTCACAAAGAGAGTAGAGAACGAACGGAGCTTACACCGGCGTTCCAAACACAACGCAGGCAGCTTCTCTTTCAGCGGGCGGTACGGATTGGCAGTACCCGGCCTTCACCTTCAAGTACTCGCCGTACAGCTCATCACCCTCTGCCGTACAACAACAGCACAACCACCATTACGGCAGTCCTGCGGCGGCTGCACGAGAGGCGCTGGCGCGACGTCAGAGCCTGGCGCGGCAGCTGCTTGTGGAGGCTAAGGCGCTAGGGGTGGCGGGGGTGAAGGTAAGAGGGGATGGGGAATTGGCATTGTGCCTTGGTGTATCTGGGCCAGTGTCCAGTCACGGCCAGGCGTCAAGGCGGGGGAGTAATCGTAAGTTTGCTGCAGCGCTCTCGTGGGGTACGGACGTGAAAGTGTGTTGGGCAAGGGGCGGGAGTGAGATGGAGGGACCAAGGGGAGGGACGCTGGGGTTTGTCATGAAGTGGGTAACACGTTGATCCCACCACCTTTCTCTTCCCGTTTGGGCCTGCTTGGGCCGCCCTTTGTACGATGTACCTTGCCCAGGACCCCCGCAACATTGCCCCCCTCTAAACCTCTCTTCTCCCTTCCCTCCAAAGGTGGACCAGCACCGGGGCGTGGTGGAGGTGTGGGCGCCGCTCGCCTCCTCCTCCGCCGCCACCTCGGCAGCAGCAGTCAAGGCCCTGCGCGCAGCCATGGGCGCCCTGCTTGCGAAACTGGGGTTTGGGACACCAGCAGCGACCCATGGGTCAGACCAGCAGCAACAACCCTCTCCGCTGGCGTCTCCGGGGCCCTCTCCATCGCCCACGTCCGCCGCTGCTGCAGCCAGTCCGCAAACATGGGGAGCGGCCGCAAGTGCTGTGGGTGTTAAGGCTCTGCAGGGAGCGCAATCGGCTCTTCCCGACTCACCTCGCACTCCCCGCGACACTTCGGCTTCAGCTGCCGCCACCATTACCATTCCCACGTCCACCCCTCCGTCCCCCGAGCCCGCCGCTATCGGCCCATTCCCTGCTCCTTCCCAGTCGTCTGCCTCTGCCGTACCCTCGCAGCCAGGAGCGGGGGGTGCCGTACCTCCTCTCCAAGATCAGTGGCCTCCGCTGCTACCTCCCATCATGCGTACGGCGGATTTCACGGTTCGCGGCATGACGTGTGCTGCGTGCGTTGCGGCGCTGGAGGGGCAGCTGAGGCGGCTGCCGGGGGTGGGGGCGGTGGCGGTGTCCCTCATGACGGAGAGGGCGCAGGTAGGGGGAGGCATGGGGGCATGGAGGTGGGGTGGGGTAAATTATATAAAAGTGAAACAACGAATCCCAAACCCATAGCCCGACTCATGCAGTGAGCGCATTCGGAGGCACTAATAACACGCATCTCAAATTACTTACCGAATCGTTGCTTACCGTAAACCGAAACGACTTGAGGAAGAAGCCGCCTTGCGTGGTGACACTATGGAGACATGCGCCGCGCCGCCGGTCACGAAAAGCAAAGCAACACGCATATGGGGTATACGAGCATATATGTTATCGAGACGCGTTACGGGAAACTTACCTGGAAAGGGAAAACCAGTGGCCAGGGGGGTGGGGTGGGGTGGGGGGTTAAAACAGGAAACTGACGAGCTGGGGGGGAAGTCGAGAGTGTTATAATACGATAGAAACCCAGATGGAGGGCTGAAGGGCTGCCCCCTCTTCCCCCCCTTTCCTTCCCTCAGGTGGAGTACGACCCCGCCGCTGTGGGCCTGGCGGACCTGCAGGACGCCATCGAGGGCTGCGGCTTCGAGGCGGCGCTCGCAACGGAGGCGCAGGAACCGGGTAGGGAGAGGAAGAAGAGGGCTCTCCTTCACTCCGCAGCACGGCATGGGTTTTGGTGGTGGAAGTCGGAGTGACAGGAAGAGTGAGGGTGCGGCTTGAGGCGGCGTTGGCCCCTGAAGGGTAGGGGAAGGAGGTCCTGGTGGCAACGACCTTCCGGCGCTAAGCGTTCAGTCCTGTCCTCAGCCAGCCAGAGGTCTCCAGTTCGAGCCGGGTAGCGACCTCTTTGCGACTTCCTCGGCACCCTTGGAGATGATGCCTGGGCCTATGGGGATGGTGTTTTGGGAGATCTCGAGTACGACAACACACTGTAGTACGGCAACGCAGTACGGCATGGGTTTTCGCGCCTTCAACCCTCCCCCTCCCTCAGGCGCGGCTCGGCTGGTGATTCGCGGCATGACGTGCGCCGCCTGCTCCGCTGCGGTGGAGGCGGCTCTGAGGGGCGTGGCGGGGGTGCGGGAGGCGTCCGTGAACCTCATGGCTAACCAGGTGGGGAGCGAGGCGCTGGGGGGGCCAGAGAGAGGGGCAGAGAGGAACCACGAACCTCAGGTTTAGGGCAAAGCAATAGGGACTCGACATTCCCAAGGTGTTTACCCGTTTGACCGTAGTCGCTAAATGCCTTTCTCGGTGTTTCACATCACACATACTACATCTCTGCTTACCTCCCAGGCACTCATCAAATATGACCCGCGGGTCTTGGGTGGTCCTCGCGAGCTTGTGGAGGCGGTGGAGGAGGCGGGCTACGGAGCAGCGCTGTGGAAGGAGGGGGAGGACGACGCGGGGGGAGTGCTGCACGCGTGAGTTGATGTGTTGAGAAACCTGCCGCGAGGAAGAACGAACGTATTTGTAAGGGTGTGTGGGGAAAGCAATGACTGCAGCAGGATGGTAAAAGTAGGGCAAAAAGGGTGAAAGACGTCTGCGTTGCATATGCATGCATGTGTGTGTTTTCCCTCCCTCCCGCTTGCCCCTCCCCATCCCTCTTTTCCCCCCGCCCCCGCCCCTGCTCCCCCACCAGTCACGAGGCAGCCAAGTGGCGGCGGCAGCTGCTGCTGTCGTGCTTCTTCTCCGTGCCGCTGCTGCTGCTGAGCATGGCGGCAATGCTGCCTCCCTTCATGATGCTAGGTGGGGGGGGGGGCAGGGGCGGGGGGGCACCGGGGCCTTTTGACGGTTACTTGTCCGCTGCCGCCCCTCATCTTCGTGCCACAACAATCCCTCCCCTCCCGCCTACCAGATCGCAGCTGGTTGCTGTTTGGTCGCGTGCCGGCGCTGTGGGTGGTGGAGCTGCTGCTGGCGGCGCCCGTGCAGTTCGTGTGCGGGGCCACGTTCTACCGCAGGTGCGCGTTTTGGGTTGGGGTTGGTTAGGGTTAGGGTTAGGGTTAGGGTTAGGGTTAGGGTTAGGGTTAGGGTTAGGGTTAGGCAGCAAGCTGGTGAGAGGGGGAGCTGCGAAGGGCAGGGGGCTGGGTCCGAGGGCGCCCATGCAGGCAGTGCGGGGCGACATGTGGGCGCTGGTAGGGATTTGGGCTAAGGGAAGGACTGCCCATCGTTGACGTTCCTGCAACGCGCTGTGGCTCGTTATGTCTACCAGCTACCGCCCTCTGCAGTGCCTAAGGCCCCCGAATACGCCCCTGCTGCTCGCCCTCGAAACCGCAGCCGCATCTATCCCAACCCTCCTGTTGTTCCCAACCCTGTCCCCCTCTGCAGTGCCTTCGCCTCCCTGCGCCACGGCTCCCCCAACATGTCGCTGCTGGTGGCGCTGGGCACCTCCGCCGCCTTCGGGTACTCGCTGGTGTCACTGGGGCTGGCAGCAGCGGGAGTGGGGGCAGCGGGGGGAGCAGGCGGTGCCGCTCCCGAGGGCGGGGTGTACTTTGAGACGAGTGCGCTCATCATCACCTTTGTGCTCATGGGCAAGTGGCTGGAGGTGAGAAGAGGGGCCGGAGTCAAGATTGGGAATTGTGCTGTATACATTTGGCTGGCTGTGTTGGGTTCATGATACTGGGTGTGTATTAAAACCCCACCTCCACCCGACTACGCCCCACCCCACGCACCCCACACCACTCTACCCCACACCACTCTAACTTTGTGGTTTGGTTTATTCTACCCCACACCACTCTACCCCAACCCCAGTCGGGTGCCAAGGCGCGCACCGCCGACGTGGTGGGTTCGCTGCTGTCGCTGGCGCCGCGCACCGCCTCGCTGCTGCTGCTGGACCGGGGCAGTGGCAGGGTGCTGGCGGAGAGGGAGATTCCAGTGGAGCTGATTCAGGTGCGCGTGCGCGTGCGAGGGATCCGGATGTGTGTGGCCTGTGGAGCAACGGGGTGACCCATGGGTGTACGACCCTCGTTGTGTGCGGCCCGTCATGTTCCCCTTCTCCTCCCTTATCCCTTTTTCTCTCTTCTCTTCATGAGAAAACATGTTGTGCGCGTGTTGCCCTTGATGCCGTTCTGGCCTATGTGTCAGCATGTGACTCATGGGTCGTTTGTCCGTCCTGAGAGCCTCCGCCCTTACCGCACCCTCCTCCTCTCCCCATGCTCTTCCAGGTTGGCGACGTGCTGCGTGTGCTGCCGGGCGCTGCCGTACCCGCTGACGGTGTCGTACTGGCGGGCCGGTCGGGAGTGGACGAGTCCATGATCACGGGTGAGAGCCTGCCTGTACGGAAGATGGTTGGCGCGCAGCTGATTGGCGGAACGGTCAACGGCGAGGGCGTGCTGCTGATGCGGGCAACGGCGGTGGGCAGTGCGAGTGTGCTGGCGGGCATTGCCAGGCTTGTGAGGGAGGCGCAGACCAGCAAGGCGCCCGTGCAGGTAAGGACGGGGGAGCTGGAGGGAGGTGCGAGGCTGGTACAGGAGGGGCGCAGGTAACCGAGATTAGCACTACGGATTCCGGAATACGGGATGTGCGGGGTGGCTTGCAGGTGGCCTTTAGTGAGCTAAAGTACACGCAAAGGCACACGGTAAAACCGTTTCATTCCCCAGCCCCTGACATCCCGCATTTCCGAAAAGGCCTCTCCTAAATCCTTTTACCTCGTTCTTCCCCCTTTCTGCAGGCCGTTGCCGACTCCATTGCCGCCTACTTTGTCCCCACCATCATCCTCATCTCCCTCCTCGTCTTCTTCGCCTGGCTGGCAGCCGGTCTGGCGGGCCTCGTGCCGCCCTCCGCACTGCCCCCGGGCGTCACCCCGCCGCTGCTGGCGCTGCTGCATGCGATCAGTGTGGTGGTCATTGCTTGTCCGTGCGGGCTGGGGCTGGCCACACCGACAGCGGTGATGGTGGGGACGGGCGTGGCGGCGAGGCAGGTGAGCGGTGGCAGCAGGGCGATGGGGGGGGAGTCGTGGGGATTGCGCAGGAGGGTGGGACGGGAAGGCATGGGCGGCTCAGCGTTACTTGGTGGTTCTGATTTGGGACGGGAGGGCTTACCGTCGCTTTATGCTCCATGTCACACCCCGCCACACTTGCAATAGCGCCTCGGTGTGCATGTACCCGCACTTCGCAGGGAATCCTGATCAAGGGAGGGGCCGCACTGGAACGCGCACACAAGGCCCGTGTCATCGTCTTTGACAAGACCGGCACCCTCACTCGCGGAGACTGTGCCGTACGACAGATGCTCCGACTTGACCTCGACGGCCGACCCGTCGCGACTGACGCCGTCGCTGCTGGGGGCAACGCCGCGCCGGCGAAGGGCGCTGCTGCTGTTGATTATGACGGCGCCGCTGCCGCTAACGGAGAAGACGGCGGCGAGGCCGGCGTCGCCGCGTGGCCCCGCCGCCAGCTGCTGTGTCTCCTGGCGGCGGTCGAGTCGTCCAGTGAGCACGTGTTGGCGAAGGCGATTGTGTCGTACTGCGCGACGGAACTGCTGCCCGACGGAGGCGGAACCGGGGGCAGCGCCGCCGCCAGGGCCGCCGCGGCCGCCGTCGCCGGCAAGGACGTTCAAGTACGGGAGGTGGTTGCCGTACCGGGCCGCGGGGTGGCATGCGTCGCGGAGCTGTCTGCCGACGCCGTTGCTGCCGTACACGCAGCATTGGGTGATGACGGCTCGCCGAGAGCGCTCAATGCGGGTGGCCCCGCCGCACTGGCCATCGCCATTGGGAATGCAACATGGATGGAGGAGCGGGGCTGTGCACTGGGGCCGGCGGCGGCGGCTGCCATACGGCGACTTGAGCGGCGGGAGGGATGTACGGTTGTTGCTGTTGCGGCGGGAGGACGTCCGATTGCATTGCTCGCGCTGCGGGACAGCATTAAACCCGAGGTAAGAACCCAGATTCAGATCAGATGGTCGATGGGAAGGTGTGTTTAGACGATGTGCCGTACTGGCTTATCACGTTGCTCACAGCAGTCCCTCCTTCAGCAATTATTGAGCTTCTCATGTAATCACAGTAACTGTCTGGTAGACTAACCGGTGCTGCTCCCCATGTCCTGGCGCCGTACAGGCCCCCCGCGTGGTTTCGGCGCTTCACGGCATGGGCCTGGAGGTCTGGATGGCGACTGGAGACTCTAGGTGGGAGACTCCAAACGAAGTTAGGACATGTTGTCCCGGCAACAAAACAGAGCTGAGGTTTGTATCCAGGCTCTGCTTGGCGTTGTTTCTCTCCTCGCTAATTTCGATCCCACCCGCCACCTCCCACCTCCCGCCTCCCACCCCACACATCCAGGCGTGTCGCTTACGCGGTGGCCTCGGAGCTCGGTATACCCCGCAGCCGTGTCGTATCGGAGGCCACTCCCGCCACCAAACTGGAGCTCATCCGGGACCTCAAGGCCGGCCGTACACCCGCTGCCGCTGCTGCCCTGGCAGCAGCCGCTGCCAACACGCCCGACAGCGACAGCGACGAAGACGATGGTGACGTTGGGGAGGAGGAGGGTACGAATGGCGGCACAGCAGAGGTCGACAGCACCCGATACGCAGGCCGCAAGCAGCCGCCACCAGGCCTGCGAGCCCATGTGGTGGTGGATGTGGGGAAGGGGGGCGGCTTAGGGTCGGGAGGTGCGGCCGAGGAGGACGGCCTGCGCGCGCCCCTGCTGCCCCCAGCGGCTGCGGTGAAGCCGGCCTCGCCGACATCCGTCCGAGACAGCGGCCGCCGGGGCTCCCGGTGGTCCTGGCCCTGGCTGCGAGCAGCGCCCACTGGCCCTACCGCCGCCGATGCCGCTGTCGCCAAGCCGCGTGTGGTTGCGATGGTGGGTGACGGCATTAACGACTCCCCCGCGCTCAGTGAGGCGGATGTGGGGGTGGCCATTGGCGCGGGAACGGACATTGCGGTAGAGGCGGCGAGTGTGGTGCTGATGAGGAGCAACCTGGAGGTGAGGAGGGAGGCGGGGGCGGGCGGGGAATGCGACGACCGTGCTTCATCAGGGAGGATGGTAGAAGCATTCATCCAAGTCATGCAGTGGTGTGGCTTGTTAGCTCTGTTATTGCCACCCTTTGGCTACCGGGTACCTAACTCGCGCCCCCCACTACCTCCCTCCCTCCTTCTCACCCCCCCCCCGCCAGGATGTGGTGGTGGCGCTGCACCTCTCGCGCACCACCTTCCGCCGCATCCTGCTCAACTTCCTGTGGGCGTACGGCTACAACGCGGCTGCCGTACCGCTGGCTGCGGGCGTGCTGTGGCCGCTGACGCATGCGCTGGTGCCGCCCTGGGTGGCGGGGGCGGCGATGGCGGCCAGCAGCGTGAGCGTGGTGGCCTCCTCGCTGGCACTCAAGGCGTACCGGCGACCCCGGATCTGAGTTTGACCTGAAATTGCATGTGGAAGGGGGCGAAGTGGAGAAGATTATAGCGGTATGATGCTGTGATGTGTAGTGTCATGGGGTGGGGGATATGTCGTAAATAGGTGGTCGTGCCGAGGTGGCCCCATGGCGGCTATGCGGTAGCATAATGGATGCGGTGGTGTTGTGTTATCACTATTGCTGAAGGCGTCAGGTTGGGGGCCCAGGCATGAAGGATTGTGAGGGTTGGGCGGAGTACTGGAAGGAAGGGTACATAGTGTTGTTGGCGTGAAACTTGGTAAGGGATGAAGGGGTGAGGTGCGCGAGAAGTGATGCGTGCACTGGCTGCTGTTACCGCTGCTGCTGCTGCTGGGCACGTATAGCAAATTGCCTGAAATGTGTGTTGTTGGGATTGCAGCTTTGAATCGTCAGGGGAAATGCGTCGTTGCAGTTGTCTGGCTGCGTGTGGCCGTAACGGTTTGTGTGTGCATACGAAGAACGTCTGACCCATGGGTCAGCCAGGGTTGGCTTGAGAGGCTCACATTGATGCTCCTCGTTGTGGGGTCATCTGTTTGTTTCGTTTGGAAGGAGGGGGAAACACAAAAGATGCTTTCCTAGTTCGGTTGCTATTGGGACTTTGAAGGGCTCTTTTGAATTTTTGTTTGTTTGTCCGTGGGCTTGAAATCCACGAGTTGGGTTTATTCTGGAGCATATAATTGGTTGGGTGATGGTTTCTTCGTCTTCAAGTATAAGCATGTGTCGCTAGTTTAAGGGTAGGTAAGTGGGAGGTTAACCAAGGAAACCAGGGGCAAGGCAAACATACATTGGGGGAGGACGCAATGGTGGGAGGTTTCCAAGTGGAAGGTGCCCGGTTGTGCACGCATATGACTCGAGCGCTAGCTGGTTTTCTCTAGGAACCAGAGAGGCTATATGGTGACGGGCGTGTATGGGGAGGGGATCGCATATCTTCGTAGGGACGTTTCCTGGTCGGGTTGCTTCCTGTGCTACCTGCTACGTTGTTGCGTGCCCTTGCGGCCTTGGGTTCTTCACCCTCATGTTGTAAGGAGCGGATTTTCATAGTGAAGGTAAAGTGAGAGCGATGAACGCTTTGATCCACGAAGAGCAAGCGTCGGATGCTCCAATGGCCGTTTGGGTGTCGAGTATGTGTACGGTATGAGAAAATCTGTTGTCTTTCGTTGGCGTTATGCTTACACTTCTAACCATTTGGTATAGCCTTTCGACCGAATTGCTTCCATCGCGACCCAGGCTTGAGGCTTTCGCATCTGCTGCGGCTCCTTACAAATTACTAAGGACGTTATAATTACATGCAAACATCTTACTTGTAATGGCAATGGCTAATTATAGTTCACAACGCTGTGCATGAAGACAGCGCACCGCCACGTATGCGTGTCGCGTTTTGATAAATCGACTGCTTGCATCTTGCGACGAAAATCGCAATCATTTAAGCCAGGTTTTACTAGTTGGTTGCCCATCACGGAGACTTTCAGTGTTTCGCTGGGTGGCCCCCAACGCCGGGAGCGCGCCGCCCATGAAAGCATGTTTATAGCCAAGGGCAACGCAAGAAACACTATGGCGTGGGCCCAGTCCTTGACGATGTCGCCTCTTGCGAAAGCGGTGTTACTGGCTCAGGTCTTGTCGCTCCTGCTGTGCGTAATGGGTAAGTTAGGAACCATGCATGGACTGCTGGCTTGTCAGGAAAGCCAAACTTGTGAACAAGGAGTAACGATATTTGCCCATCGCCATTTGATGGCTTTAGACCTTTTGAAAACTACCAGTTCTCTTCTTACCTGTCGTCAAAATTTTGAACGTTCCCATCTCTGTTACCAGGCACCACTTCGGGCCTGCTGGCGTCCCACGGTGTGGCACTTCCCACCAGTCAGGCCGTCCTTAACTACATCCTACTGGCTTTGGCATGTGGAGCACACCATCTCTGGAAGAGAGGTGCGAGGTAGTGGTCCGAAACAGGGAAACAAGACATGGTGGTGGCCAAGGGGCACAGTCCTCCTGGCTAGCCACGGTCCTTCCTTGCCTGCAGTCGTGCCGAAACCCTGCTCTTGTCCCGACTCCCTCAACCCCGACCCCATCAGGCCCCCGTCTGAGCAATCCGCCGCTCACATACCTGCTCCTAGCGGTGCTAGATGTGGAAGCGAACACATTGGTCACCAAGGTGGGTGGGAGCCAAGTTGGGGAGGACGAAGGAGGACAGTACTTAAAGGCACACAGGCGGGTACTGTCTCACCATACCCGCTGCCCCCTTCCTCCCTCCTCCACCTACCATATCAAATGCGGCTCAGTGCACCTCGTCCACCTTTCCTCCCACCCTGCTCTGCCCCTTTCCTGCAGGCCTACCAATACACCTCCGTCACCTCCGTCACGCTCCTTGACTGCTTCACCATCCCCGCCGTCATGGCCCTGTCCGCCGCCGCCCTGCGCGCCCGCTACCTGCCGCCGCACTACGCGGGGGCGCTGCTGTGCATCGGCGGCCTGGCGGTGCTGGTGGCCACGGATGGCGGCTCCGAAACCGGGGGGCCGGACCCCGTGCTGGGGGATGCGCTGGTGCTGATGGTGGGTCTTGGGATGCGCTGGTGGGACAAGGCTGCGCTAGGACTTGGGTTGCAGTTAGGAGCGGGTAGCGGGTGGGTGGGTGGTCGGGCAACGTAGAGAGGGTTCGCAATCGTACCGGTACAGGGTCGGTCGCTGCATCACATCCCCTGTTTACGCCCTACGCCCCCGTACCCCCCCCCATGTCCCCAGGGTTCGGTGCTGTACGCGTGCAGCAACGTGGCCCAGGAGCGGCTGCTGCGGTGCGCCACCCCCACCTCGGAGCTGCTGGCGGCGCTGGGGGCCTGCGGGGCGCTGGTTGGGGGGCTGCAGGTGAGGGGGGCGTGCGAGGGGAGGCCTGGAGAGCCTGCATAGGAGGACATAGGGGCCCGCATGAGAAAGGACGGTGTACAGGTGCTGCAGCGCCCCAACCCCGCGCTGGCGTCTGTGTAAGAAGCTCAGCTTCCTTACAACCTCACTGCCACAGGCTTTCATCTTGGAGCGAGGCGCCTGGGCCGCAGCCGACTGGAGCGACCCATGGGTCGTCGCCCTCCCCCTCGCCGGCTTCGCCCTGGCCCTCTTCACCTTTTCTCTGCTCCTCCCCCTCGTCCTGCTCTGGAGCGGCGCAACCGTCCTCAACCTCTCCCTGCTGACCAGCGATCTGTGGGCTGCAGCTGCCCGGGTTGCCTTCTTCGGTGGTTTCGGAGGTACGGCGGGGTGGTTTGCGCTGTCGCTGGTGTGCGAGGCGGCTGGGTTGGTGCTGTACACCTGGGCCGGCAGGACACATCCAGAGGAGCTTGGGGGCGGGAGTGGTGGTGGTTCAGCTGCGGGTTCTGGGGTCGTCATGGATCTGAACTTCCACCTGCCGACCAGCAGCAGTAGCAGTAGTGGGGAAAACAGCAGGAGCAGCAGGGGGCTAGAAGCAGCTGTTGGTGGTGGCCTAGGGGGGCTGTTTGGGCGGGGAGGAGGTGTGTGGGGAGCGGACAGGTTGGGGCTGGGTGGGGGCTTGGCTGCAGGCGACATGGCAGGTGGTGGTGGTGGGGATGTGGCGGGGGGGATGGGCATGGGGCCGTACAAGCCCTTTGCTGGCACGACAACGTTGACGGCGTCTTCATACGGCAATGGTGGTGGCGGTGGTGGTGTGGGGGCTCCTGTTTCTTACCGGGAACATGGCTGGGATGAGGAAGGTCGTCTTCATGGTTCTGCAGAGGATGATGAAGAGGGCGGGTACGGTGGCGGTGGTGAAGGGGGGCGCGTTGGTAGCGGGGCAGGGGGCGATGAGGAGTCACGGCGGTTACTACCGTTAGTTAGCAGTTGTAATGGCACCTTGATCGAGGCTTCAGCTCCTGGCAGCGGTGTGGCGTTGAAGGGCCATGGAGGCCTTCCTTGCAGCAGTGTTCCCAGCAGCAGCGGTGGTGGTGGTGGTGGTGGCGGTGGTGTTGCAGCCCGGTTAGGTAGCAGGTTGAGTACGGCGTTCGGGGGGCGAGGCGGTTTGAGAGGTGGCGGTACGGCGGAGGAGCGGCGGCGGTTGGTTGCTGAAGATGGCGAGGGTGGGACTTGCTGTAGTGATGGTGAGGATGAGGGAGGGGAGGGGCAGGAGGAAGGGAGGGGGCTAATGGGGAAAGGGCTGGGGATTGTGTGGGAAGGTGTTGAGAAGGGCGGGGGCAGTGGATTGGGAGGACGGACGTGATGTTGGCAATGCAGGCGGATGTTGTTGAGAGGGGGTAGGAGGCAGTTTGCTTGCCTTCCTAGCCACCATGTTTGCCAAGCTACTTTTTGACGAGTGGAACACTGTCTAGGTATTGTTGCTCGCAATCGTAACTCCGTGTTGCTAGTCACAAGTTCATACATGTGTCCCGTGTAGACCGTCTTAGCGCTCGTATGGAATCATTGCTGACAGGTACGGTACGACAAGCACTGTGATTTCAGCTCGGTGGATTTCAGTATTGCTACCTAGTAGGATTTGGGGGGGCTTTGCACCTGTGTCGAGTTGCGTGATGGCAGGATATAAGCGTGGAGCGGTGGAAAGGAATTGCTTGAAGACGGTTGGCGTTATTTGGCCATACCTGTCCGTAATGCCGTGCTGGCAGTTGTGCGCCCAAGCTCGGAGGGGTTGCGCTCACCACCAAAGTATGTGGCATGTTGGTAGAATGCTAGGAGCTGTGGCATACTAGGCAGGAGTAGCTGTGTATCGAGGGATTGCGGCACGCACATGTCCACCCCGGTGCCCACGATGCGTGTAAGTGTACACCGTCTGTTCGCCACCATGAATTGGGTTTGGGGGGAAACATAAATGAGGAAAGAGAATAGATGAGTGGTGGGACATGCTGATCTGTTCTTTTCCTGGCTTGCCGTCGAGAGCTGAACGGGGTTGCTGCCGCCCGTCTTTCCACCTCTTCCGCCTCTGCTCCTAAGAGGGCCGCGGGTGTTTGCCCTGTGCGTCCCGCCCCAGCATTAGCACAAGAAAGGCATGGACTTCGCCGTTTGCTTCCATCATCCTCCGTGCCGCCTTCTGGCTTTCTTACGCTGAAAGAGGCCCGTCTGCCTTAAACTTCCTTTTTCGACAATTGAACGTCCCTGGTACATACATGACTTCTACCAATAAGGTGTACAGTTAGAACTGTTGTAGGTTTGGGCCTCCTAAAAGAGTGTCATAGGGACATTCTCTCGAGTTTATACAAGCTAGGCTGAATTGTCCTACCACCACATGCGTGTATGTTTCCGGACATAACCATACATTGCTGACATCAAGCGGTACAAAACCGCTGTCACCAACGGACAGGGCTCAGCACGACACCAGGCCCACGGCACCGAGCATTCCTTCCTTGGCGCGTACCCGCTATTGGGTTACACGGCAAAAGCTACTGATTGCTGATAATAGTATCCAGAGAAATGGCTGAAGCTTCTGCGCCCCGGCGCACGCCGGTAACAATGCTTAGCGGCTTTCTAGGCGCAGGTGCGAGCTTCTGGAAGGGATGCCAATGGTCCAGCCTTGACAGAATATTGTCACTGAAATTTCAAACGGCATTTGGCAGGCAAAACCACGCTGCTGCGTTATGTGCTGGAGAACACGACGGAGAAGATCGCATGCATCGTTAACGACGTCGCGGCGATTAACGTCGATGCAAAGCTGGTTCGCAACGATAAGAATCGTGGTGGAACTAACACGACTGCTGATCTGACCGACACGATCGAGCTCGCCAACGGATGTGCATGTAGGTTGTCGAGCGCGGGAAACGCGGGACAGTAGCCCCCGTTCCTACCCTTTTCCTCCCTGACGAGCATATCATAGAACGCACATAATCTTGCAAGGGCCATACGCACGCCTATATCACTTCCCATTTTGTCGCGCCTCTGCTCTGCTGTACCCTTCAATCGTATACAACCCATCACCTCTCCCTTCACAGCCTCTTTTCCTCACACTCTATCCTCCCTATCTACTGTCTCCCTCCAGGCTGCAACATCCAGGACGAGCTGTTCGCGTCCTTCGAGCAGGTGCTGGCGCTGGCTGACAAGCGGGGAGAGCCGTACACCAGGTGTGCGTGTAGCCGGGCAGCAGTGCAAACCGCTCGGAAGACCGAGGAGGGCGAATAACACTAGGACACCAGCAACGGGGAACGGTGGATGGGATTGGGTGGGGTGGGCTGAACTGAATAATGGCTGGCTGGGAAGAGGAAATGGGCGGACAGGCGAGCACTTGGGTGGTTGCGGAGTGATGAGAGACCGGTGTAGGGAACACACCGGCATTGGGTTGTAAGGGGTTTAGGGTTCTGCTTTGCAGGTAATGGAAGCGCGGGCAGGGATGGATGCGGGTGAGGGATGTGAGGGCCATCCAAACTCCTGCCCTCCCCCCTCTCCCCTCTCCAGGATCGTGTTGGAGAACAGCGGGGTGGCTGAGCCGCAGAACATCCGCGACAAGTTCAATGAGGCGGCGGCGGAGGTAAGTGGTGGGGGGGGGGGCGGGGGAGGGCAAGGGAGGCTAGGGAGGGAGCGGTAGGGATGCGGCTTGTACCTTTCCGAGGAGGAGGGCAGGAGGCTGGAGAGCGGCAGGAGGTCAGCGTGCGACTGTTGACCACGGCAGTGCCTAATGAGCGCATATTGCTGAGGGCACGGCAGCACGCTCGAGCCCTCGCCACCCCCCACAGCACATCGCAACACATCCCAACCTCCTGCTCCCCTTCCCTCCCTCTTCCCTGCCCCCTCCTCCTTCCTCCCCCCCTCAGGGCCATCCCCTGCTAGAGCGAGTGGAGCTGGACACCATGGTGACGGTGAGGGGGGGGGGCGGGGTGCGGGGGGCTGAGGGGGCACATGGCGACATGGGACATGCGTGGGGGGGGGGTGGTACGCACGGGGGTGCTTCAGGGGAGCTCATGTTTGTAACGTGCTAGGTGAAGGGGATATAAACCATGAGAATGGTAATCTGACACACGCAGTCGCGGACACCTCGTTCGTTCATCGTTCGTTATTGCTTCTCGTGATCATGCCATCGGGCCTGATAGTCACAATGTTGAGCTCATGGTCTTTGACCCGCATGCACGCGGCCAGCTTTCCCGCTTCCTTACCCTCGCCCTTCCCCCCTGTCCCCTTTCCTGCTTCCCAGCTGGTGGACTGCGGCTCCTTTCTGAAGGACTGGGCCACCCGCGCCTGCCTGGCTCAGCGCCCCGACCTGGGCGAGGGCGGAGGACTGCGGCCCGTGGTGGATCTGCTGGTGGAGCAGATCGAGTGAGGGAGGGGGGGGGGTGGGACGGGGAGGCAGGAGGGGCCCGCAGTCCTGGGGACCAAGCGGGGGGAGATGGGGGCGGGAAGGAAAGGGGTGTATGCCGTGTGCGTAGTCATGTGGGAGTGTGTCGTTACTTCGGCCTCATACCTCAACCTTCCGCCCCCCCTCCTTCAGGTGTGCCGACTTTGTGATCCTGAACAAGACGGACATGTTGGGTGAGGCGCAGCGCGAGGAGCTGGCGGCCATCGTGGCGTCGCTGAACCCGCTGGCCACTGTCATTCCATGCACGCAGGGCAAGGTGGGGACTGGGAGGAGGGAGGAGCATGGGGAGGAGCACTAGCCTGGAGCGCTAGGGGGCCAGATGTCAGGGCCCTATGCGCCAACACGTCACCAACAAACTCGTTTTACCCTTTTTTGCACTTTGAACGAACACCTTGCGCTGTCCACCTGCTGTCACCGCTTCCCCTCCCCTCCACGCCTCCATGTCCGCTCCCCTTCCCCTCCCTTCCCCTGCCCTCCCTGCCCCCCCCCCCCCCTGCCCCCGCAGATCCCCATCGAGCGGGTGTTTGGGTCGCAGGTTCGCAGTGTGGTGGCTCACCTGAACATCGAGGGACAGCACCGGGGGGCGGTGGCGGCGGCGAAAAGCAGGAGGGTGAGGAGAGGGGGGCCGGGGGGGGCTGCGGGTGCTCAGGAAGTATGAGGTGCTGGGAAGAGGGTGGGGGTGGGGGTGGCGGGGGACAGGCAGCGGAGCGGTGGTGGTGGCCGCGAAGGGCAGGAAAGCAGGAGGAGGGGGTTGCGGGTGTAATGATGTGTGAGGGAAGGGTGGCGTGGCTGCAGCATGCATCTCCATCCCCCTGCTCTTTTCCTGATCCTGCATGCGTGACGCTCGCCTTTGAACTGCCTGGGACGCAGGCGCAAGAGGAGGCAGATGCAGAGGCGGCTAAGAAGAAGGAGGAGGAGGAGCACCACCATCACCACCACCATCACCACCACGACCACGATCACAAGCACGACCACCACCACCACCACGAGCATGGCAAGGAGGAGGAGGGCTGCCAGGTAGGCGCGGAGTTGCATGATGGGGGCAGGGAGTGCGCGTTGCGGATTTGGGTTGGGCGGTTGACCCGGCCGCATGGACCAACGTGCTCTTGCCTGCGTGCTTCTGCCCCTGGCTCCCCCTCCACGCGGGCACCCCTGCTTCACCACACCCCTGCTTCACGCATGCAACCCTGCACCGTCGCCTCCTTCTGCACCCCCCCTCCTGCCCCTCCCCCACAGGCCTGCAAGCACGAGCACGGAGAGCACGGTGAGCACAAGCACCACCACCACCACCACCACCATGAGGAGCACAGCCATGCGGACCACGACAAGCATGCGGACTGCAAGGTAAGGTTGAGGGGGGGGACCTTGGAGGGCTTGGGAGGCGGGGACAGAGGGTTTAGACAGCGGGGGGCTTCCTGGTTGGAGGGGTACAGTCGTGGGGCTGCTGAAGGGCTTGCCGCCTTGCTCCCGACTGGCGGCTCCACCACCTGTCTCCGTTGCTGCTGCTGCTGTTGCAGGCGTGTCAGGAGGAGGAGGCGGGTCACGTGCACAGCCATGCAGACCATGACAAGCACGATGACTGCAAGGTGAGGAGAACGGGGGGGGGGGGAGGGAGCAGGGGAGGTGGGCGAGGGAGGGAGGGGCGTGTGTATGCGCGGGGAGGGTGGACGGACACTCGCATGGCACTGACGGAGGGGGGACAGGGCAGGGCAGGGCAGGGGCTGAATCCCCGCACGTCGGCTCCCTCCCAACGCAGGCCTGTGCGATGGAGGCGGAGGGCGCAGGTCACAAGCACCACCACCACCACCACCACCACAAGCACGAGCGCGGGGAGACGCGGGCGGCGCAGCGGTTCGGCATCAGGAACTTCGTGTACTCGCGTCGCCGGCCCTTCCACCCGCAGAGGTGTGCGGCAGGAGGGGAGGGGGAGGGGGAGGGGGAGGGGGGGAGGAGGGGGAAGCAGGCAGTGGGGAGAGGCAGGTGCGGGGGTGAGCCTCTGTCGTGAAAGGCTATCTGGGCTTCAGGAGGGGTGTGAGGAGGGGTTACTCAGTGCGCTGGGGCGGTCGGCTGGGGGGGCATGGCAGGAAGTGGGTGGGCTGCATGGGGCGGGTCACACCCTACTACCGTACCCCGCACTCGCTTGTCCCTCCTCCCTAGCCACTACCCCTTCTCCGCTGTTGTCCACAGTTCGTTTTTTATTCTCTACCTGCCCCTCCTCTTCACTTCACTTCTTGTTCTTCCTCCTCCCCCTCCTGCTCTCCCTCCTCCCCCCAGGCTGAAGGAGATGGTCCTCAAATGGCTGCCCGTGACGGTCAACGCGGCCATCGACGGGGAGGCGCCCGAGATGGGGGACAGCCCAATCAAGACAGGTAGGGGGGAGGGGAGAGGGGGGGGAGTGACCCGTGGGTTGCTGATGCCGGTGGCTTTGTGGACCCTGGTGCTGGGGTGCTGGGGGCAGCGCAGCATGATGATGATGATGATGATGGAAGGGAGGGGGGGAACCGTCCCTTCACATGCCCCACCGTTACAGCCTTTTCTTGTCCCAATGCCCATAGGAAACACCAGCCTCGATCGCTCACCTTCGATCGTTCCCCATCCCTCCCTGCCCCCCCTGCATTTTCCCTACCCACCACGTGTCTCCCTTGCTCCCGGCTCCCCCCCCCCCCTCATTTGGATTGGAAATCCGTTGCTTCGCTTTCCATTTATCCCCCTCCCTACCCCTTCCCTCCCCCTCCCTCCCGCCGCCCAGTCATGCGCAGCAAGGGCTTCATGTGGCTGTCGTCCTCTCACGCCACCGCCTACTACTGGTCGCATGCGGGGCAGCACTTCGAGATCCGCGACGAGGGCGACTGGTGGGCCGCAGTGCCGCCCGAGGACTGGCCGCAGGACGCGGCGCAGCGGGAGATAATTCTGAACGTGAGGAGGGAGGGGGCGGGAGGGAGGGAGGCATTGGAAGGGAGGAATGGGAATGGAGGAAGGAAGGGAGGGAGCGAGTGAGGAGTGAGAAAGGAAAATGGAAAGGAAGCAAAGAAAGCTAGAGAAAGAAGCGAGAAGAAGATGGAGATCGGTCACAAGATGACTAACAACTAACGGTCTTCGTGTCTGTCGTACACATGCGCCCCCCATGCACCCTCACCGTACAGGACTTCGATGCCAGCACCAACCTGGGGGACAGGCGGCAGGAGATCGTGTTCATTGGAGTTAACATGGATGAGGTGAGAGGAGAGGAGAGGGAAGGACTGAAAGGGATGAGGGGTACAGAGGCCGATGGGACCGACCCGCGGGTCACCAGGGGCTGCCTTATCTTTCTTGTTTAGAAAGAGACCAGGTCCCACATGAATGAGCCGCTACCTCCTTACCTTCTTCACCTTCGTCGCCACCCCTCCCCCGCCCCCCCCCTCCTGCATGCCTGCAGGCCAAGATCAGCGCCCAGCTGGACGGGGCGCTGCTGAGTGAGGAGGAGATGGGGCGCTACCTGGAGAGGTGGGGAGCCACACCCGACCCAACCAACCCTGAGGTGAGGCAGGCAGGCGGGGTGAGAGGTGGGGTGAGGGAAGGGGAGCGCCCTATGGAGTGAAGGGGGGCCCTATGAATTGAAGGGGGACGAGGTGCACGGACGGGGGCGGGTGCGCCAGTCCAACCCTCGTCAGTCCGCACTGCCCCCAGCAGCCAGGCACTGCCCAGCCCTTCGCCTCCAACACCTCCATCATCCGCAACCACCCCGCTCCCCCCTGCCTAACCCCCCGCGCGCAGGTGGAGGCCCGGCGGGCGGCCAAGGGCACCAGCACGGCCGCAGCGGTGGAGGCGCCGGCAGTGGCGGCACCGTAGGCCCTCTCCCCTGTTGCCGCCTCTCTGCCCGGCTGCAGCTGTGGTTGCCTGGTTGCCGACCACGCGAACGGCTGCTATGAGGGTCGTGGTGGGGTGCGGTGGCGGCTGGCCGCATACGTCGGTGGTGCAGGCTAGGTACATTTGCTGTTCGCTGTCGCTGTGCCTGGAGTTTGCCTTTTGGATGCGGATGTGGGTGAGTGGTGGAAGGAGGGTTTGGAGCGGGGCTGGCTTCTTTGGTACCTGGTCGGGAAGGCAGGCCGGAATATGTGGGTGTGGTTTGTGTGGGTTGGCGAGTGGGAGCTGGGGAGACGGGGGTTGGGGCGAGCATGTTGGGGTTTGGGTTGGATTTGGGTTAGTAGGAGGGCTCGACAGGAGGTGTTGGAGGTGCCTGGTGGCTTGGTGTATCGTGGGATGGGGGCGGGGGGTGAAGGAGGGTGTGCTGCCAGGTGCTCAGGTGGGGACAGACAGGTGGTACTAGCAGGAGGCGTGTGTGTGTGGGGGGGGGATAGGAATGGGGCACGAAGTGGGCTGGGGGAGGGGCACAGGGGGCTGCAAGGCCGGTGCTGATACGTGCGCGTACGCAATGCGAGTTTGCCACCTGTTAATTGGTAGTAGCAATGTTGTGGTCTTAATTCTAGCTGGGTGTCTGTCGGCGGGGCTGCGGATAATGCCGCCTTTTGTGGCTGTGGGGTTGTTCAAACACAGCCTTAAGCGATGAGCTAATTGGATGTCTTAAGAGATTGCTGCGCACAGGAAAGCCGGGCTGTACGGTCTTTCGTGTTGCCGTACATTGGTACATGACAGGGTCAGGGCGGTTGGAAGCCCTGGATAGGCGGAAGACCCCTTAAGTTAATGACACCTTGCTACCCCGTACGACGGTCGACAACTCCGTGCAATGGGATCAGTGATGTAAAGAGGATTGGTACCGTATACAGGCGAAGTGACCGGAATGCATCAACCTCGCGTTAAGGGCCAGTCCAGACCCCACAACACAAGACAATCGGAACAAGGGAACATGCAACATGCAAGCTCAAGAGCCTGCTGCTTCATGCATGGCGTAAGTAACACAGGGTCGCTAAGGAAAGAGGGGCACAATACCGCAATCAGCCACGATAATGTTACTCTGCATACTATTGGCATAGTGGCCAGCTATGTCTGACCCACGGGTCATACTCTCACGCATTTGCCTCGCATGCAATGAAGACTAGCAAGGGCCCCACCATTGGCGGGAGCAACCCGTGCCTCGGGGTATGTTGTTACACATGAACGTAATCACCGGATTCCATTCCGTTGTGGTGCGTGGTCGACTTACAATCTTCCCTCAACGTTCAACTATGGTACCGTGCACGCCATAAGCATCTGGGTGCAGCACCTTTCTGCTGCAGGGATCCAATGCACTGAGTGAACGCCGAGCCGTCAGCAAGCCGGCTGAAAGGATCCCGTTGAGCGCGACAGGAACCGGGTATGCATCCCTTCGCTTCGCTCCTCCGAAACCAATTACATATCTTTGGAAACGAGCTACGGTGCAATGCGTCGTCCCAGAAAAGGCGTCAACAATGCAAGGTTGATGGGGCCATGAGTGCTCCTTTCACAACTGTCGAAGCAAGGCGGTAGCCTAAGGCCACTCGTCACAAGGAAGGAGTAAAATGGCTGCCTCCTCGGCCTCTTCGCTGCTGGCAGCTGACCTGGCGGATGCTCTGTCAGCAGCCGAACGCGACCCCGGGCTAGGCTTGGAGCTGCTTTCTAACGTGGTTCTCACAAGCGTTGAGTACGCAGCTGCTGCTGGGCCGTCATCATCCTCAGCAGGTTGGGCGCCCGAAGCTAGCGTGAACCGGCTTACTGCTGTTAGAAACTGTTACCCTTTCAGTCAATGCCCATTGAAGTAACGTTTGGTTGCTTTGGAGTATGCCGTAACGTCGCCTTCTACGCTTTCCGCAGGAAGGCTAGCAAACGTTTTCCACTAGCATATTTTGCGTAGGACTGCAATATATCATTGGTCCTTGTCATGATTATTATTGTGTACCCTTCTTCCCTTTCCCCTGTGCGGTCACGGGCTGGGTGGCCGTCAGGAGCTGCCGCCGCCGCCGCAGCTGCGGTTCGCAAGGCGACCTCGGCACTCCTTAGCTCGCTACTGAGCCTGCTTCATGAGCCCCAACGCAGGTGAGCAGGGGGCTGAGGAGAAGAGAAAAGAAGCGCGCAACCCCCAAAGTGCGCATCCTAAGCCTTCGTCTCTTTCCTCTCCGCTTTCAGTGGCACAAGTAGAAGCCGCCTACCCCACGCACCCCACTCCCCACGCCATGTGTGCACCCCATGGTGAAGCGCTGTCATACAGCTCGTCAGTTGCATCGTCAGTGTCTCATTATATTTTTTTACCCCCCACGAATGCAGGTCTCCCCAGCAGCTCCGAGACCTGGCTGCTGATTCCGCCCTTTGGGCTGCCGTACAATCTGCCATGGCTGCCGTATACTCGGTGGACGATGCCGTACTGGCGACTGCTGTCCTGCGGGCGTGGCGCCAATGCGCGGCGGCTCTGCAGGTGGGGTGTGCGGGTAAAGAGGAAACAACTAACTGACTGAGGGATAAGGCGGGTGGTTTACTGTGTTAAGGTTGCGGCGGTACAGCCTGGCCTTTGTATGCCTTTTAGGAATATCGACATCCTTCCACTCATCACCCTATCATCTTGATTGCACCCGCTTGCAGGCACCTAGCCGCCGAGACAAGCCCGGTGCAGCACACGACGACGATCCCGCAGCAGATGCGGATACGGAAGAAGATGTGGACCAAGACGAAGACTCTATCGTACGCCTACCGCAGGTGCTCCCTAATTCCGCCGCCGCCGCCGCCGCTGCAACCATCACCACTGACCCACGGGTCGTGGACCCGCTCGTGGACCGCTGCGTCGCCCACGCGCGCCTGCTGGGCCCCACATACGGCGTCGCAGCTCGTGTCGTATCCCTACTCCGGGCCTTTCAAACCACTTGCGGGGTTAACCCCTGTCACGACGGTGACCCGCTGCAGATGCTCCTCCTCTGGCTTCACCTCCTGCTGAACCCCCCACCAGCAGTGCTACCAGCAGCGGCAGAAGCGACACAAGCAGCGGCACCAGCAGGCGGACCAGCCACCCAGGCGGATCCGCAGGCGGACCGGCGGGCCCTGGCGGCGGTGTGCGCTGACGTGTACCCGCTCGCACGACCCGCGTTGGAGCGCTGGGGGGCGCAGCACGCGCAGCAGCGGCAGGCGTGGCTGCAGAAGCGGGGGCCGGCGGCAGCGGCAGCAGGTGGTGATGCGGCGGCGGCAGCGGCAGGGCCTGGCGGAGGCACTGCGAGCCGCCAGGGGATAGCAGAAGGAGGCGGCACGGCGGCGAGCATCGAGGGCAAAGTGGCGGCGGCGGTGGCGGCGGTAGCGGAGGGGGAGCCGTTAGCGCCCTCGGTTCTGTTCTTTCGCGTGCTGGTGGCAGTGTTGCAGGTGGGGGCGGGAAGGGGTTTGGGGGGTGGTCTCGTATGCATGCATACATGCGTTCAGACCTACACAGCCCTAACCGCCAGCGGTAACTTAGCCAAGCGAAGTTGAAACCCAGCTACCACAACGATACGCATACCTAGTACCTAAGCCGCAAAACGCACGCTCACGTCTCCACCGTCTCCACCGCCTCTCCCAAACCCTCAGGACCCCGCCGCTGACGCTGCCCGCTGGTCTCCCTCAGTCGCTAGCGCCCTGGAGCTCACCGCTCAGCAGCTGTTCGCGCTGCTGGGGGGCGGACCGGGGGGCTACTCAGCGTGCATGGCGGCCACCTTTGCAGGAGCACAGGAATCACTGGCTGCTGCTGCTGCGGGTGGTGGTGCTGGGGTGGGCTCTGGAGCTGCTGTCACAGCTGGGGGCAGCAGCAGCATGGCGAGGGGAAAGAAGGGAGGCGGCGGAGCAAGCAGCGGCAAAAGAGATGGCAGCGGTGATGGGGCTTATGGGGTGTCAGACACGGACTGGACGAGTGACCCAGGGGTCGCTCGCGTCATGGACCTCATTCGCTCGTACGGCGGACTATCCCTTGTCGTACGAGCGGCTCTGGCGAGGGCGGGAGACGACAAGAAGAAGGTTGGCTCGGTGTTGGCGCTGCTGACGGCCATGTGCCGACCCACGGGTCACCCGCAGCCGGGGCAGCAGCAGCAGCAGGCTTGCATGGGGCCCCCCTGCCCGCCACCCATGAGTCGGCTGGTGTCGCTGATCTGCGAGCTGCTGCTGCCGGAGAGCAACTGCTCCGTGGACGTGCGGGTGGCGGCGTTGCAGGGTGGGGTTCAAAGGCCATACCAAACCATAGGAGACCACAAGTTAGGGGAAAGCAATGGGGGGCCGGGGGGCAGGGGAAGGAACGGGCAGGAAAGGAGAGGCTGTGGGTTAAGTTGCCAATATGGTGTCTGATCCGTGTAGCGCGTGTCTAATAGTCCTACTACAGCACTAATGGGGAGCACTGCCCGAGCCAACGGCGGGGAACGATTGTTGGAGGGAACCGTGTACGACAGAAGGTCTGAGATGCGCCCGCCCGCAGCTGTCCCGCAAGCTCAGAACCCCTCCTTGCACCCCTCCTTCCTCTCCTTCCCTCTCCCCTCTCCCAGCCCTCAGTAGCGCCCTGGACGACCACCTCACCCACCTGGACCACCTCAAACAACGGGAGGCGGAAGAACAAGAGCAGCAGAGGCGGAAACAGAACGCCGCCCCCGCCGCCCCCACCGCTGCTGCCGCCTCCCAGCTCTGGTCCCCCGCCGCCCTGGACGGCCTGTTCTTCAGCCTGCAGGCTGACCCCAGCATCCGCGTGCGGCGGGCGGGCATGCGGCTGCTGGCGCGGGTGGTGCTGCCGGCGGGGGGGCGGGGGGCGAGCAGACTAGCGGGGGTGCTGCTGGGAAAGCTGAGGGACAGGTGGGTATGGTAGGGCGTCGGGTGGGTGGGGGAGAGGATGCTGTCTAGTCATGTGGGGGACAGGGTGGGAGTCGTGCGGCTAACCCTAACATGATGACTCCCTGGCCAGGTGGGGGACTATATAGCATGTGAGGGACAGGCCGCGGATGAATCCTGGTGGTGTTCCCACCTGCCCTTCCCACTGACTGTGTTGTGTCGCTTCCATTGGCGGAATTGCAGGGACGCCCTGGTTTCGGATCGAGCACTTGAGTTGCTGTCGCAGCTGCCAGCTAGCCTCATTGCGCGGGAAATACAAGAAGAAGAAGAGGAGGACGCGACAAGAGGACAGCAGCAGCCGGCCGCCCTCGCCCGACCCACGGGTCACTGGGCTGCCTCCAACCGCTGGGCCGCTCTCGTGCAGCACTGCATCGCCGTCATCGCAACCGCAGCAGCGGCGGACGAAGTGCCGATGATGGCGGAGGTGCCAGGAGTACCAACGACTGAAGCACCGGGGGAGGACGGGGAGGTGCAAGCGGACAATGATGATGATAGTGGTGATGGTGGTGGTGCTGATGTTGAGACTGCTCGTCCCTCCGCTGGCCGTAGGGGCGCGCCCTGCCGCCGTAGGGCCCAACTGCCGGCGCGCTTGCAGAACTGCCTCAAGCTCTTGGAAACGATGGTGGGTTCATCCGCGATTCGGGCTGTGGCAGCCGCAGCAGCAGCAGCTGCTACGGCTACTGCCACTGCCGAGGGAGAGGCACCAGCTGCTGGCGTACAAGGGGAGCGACTGCAAGGGCCGCAGCCATGGCAGCGGCATGAACAGCCCCAACAGCAGCAGCAGCAGCAAAGGGGGCAGGAGGAGGAGGGGGAGCGGGAGGGGCTGTTGTTGTCGCACCCAGCCGCGTTGCTGCTGCTGCCGGTGGCCTCAGCCCTAATGGCGGAGGGCGGCCCTCCTGCGGTGGCAGCAAGGGCAGCAACTGGAGGGGGAGCAGGAGGAGCAGGAGGACTGGTGGAAGAGGAGGTGGCGCGGTTGAGGCGAGCTGCGCTTGTGGCGGCGGCGGTGGGGGATGCGGAGGAGGAGGGGGCTTGAGAGGAGGAGGAGGAGTGAGGGGTTGCTTGTGTGGTGGATGAGCCGGGAGCTCAGGCTTCATGCTACCGTACGTAAGCCCCTGGGCAGGCGTCCCTAAACAGCTTCAAGGGGCATGCGGTGCAAAATGCCATATCGTCACCGCCACCGTGGGTCACAGTGAGGGCGGTGGTGGTGTATTGGGGTAGTTTGGGCTCCGGGGTAGAGCTGGCACAGCAGGGAGTGCAGGGGAGCATTCTCTGTCGTTGCCTGCCCTGCTCCGTCTCTCTACATTGTGCATTGACGGTGTGTAAGAGACTTGGAGGCGCTTGCTGAGCACGCAGCTAGCTGGGCGCAGCTAGGCGCATATGCGTACGTGAGTGCCATGCGCTGTGCGGATACCCATACAACACGGTGCCATTGCGAGGTGTTTCCGGGCAATTACAAGGCCGGCAGGCACCTAGCACTAGAATTGCAGTGTGTTGGGAAGCCTGGACGGTGCTGCAGCCTCCTCGCTTGCACACGTCACATGCTTGCCAACAACTTTATATTAGGTTGCCTACATCACCTTTCCAGCTCATACACCTTGCGTTCCACCGTTTGGCTCTCTTCCGCCCCACCATGGCAACCTGTCATCTACACATATATATAACAATTGTGGTACATAATAAGCCGTCCATACACTGGTACGTAATGCTTCCGTGCATGCGTACTTTGTCGCAGTACGAATGCGCCATTTAGAACCAACCGTAATCAACACAACGGTCTTGGCGTAGGAGACGGATCAGGATCACCGAGTACAACTACTACAGGGAAATCCTTCTACCAAAAGGGCCCGGCCCAGGGATCAAACATGAACCCGTACGGAAATAAGGGTAGAGCGAACACTGTCATATCCATATCACATATACGAGCTTGCGCCCAACGGTCCAACGCACCAGGTAAGGTAAGCGGTGACGTCAAGGAAGGAGGGGGGTCAACAGGCGCGACCCGCCAACCTGCGGGTGCACCGCTCCTTCCCCACCATCATGCACTACTAGCACGCTAGCGCTCGGAATGATCGCCATCTCCCCCTTCATGATGCAGCGCGACCCCTAAAGCGACGAATGACGCACACACGCCGCCTAGGATGCAGGATTACCGTACCTGCCGCAGTAAAGCCAGCAAGCTGTCCACCACCAACCCGTTCAGGAACTCTGGTGCACAGGGGTCGACCTTAAATCATCGTTTCACGCCTCGTTTCCCCCGCATTTAACCGCATCTCCCCCTTCGTTCCATCATCCCTGACCACTTTCCGCTACTTGACAGTGTGCCCTACCCTACCAGAACAACTGAGCTTGCTGCACCTCACCCTCCTCCTCACCCTCACAGCCCCCTTCCCCGCCCCTTCACCTTCACATCTCCCCTCCTCACCAACCAGGCATCGAACCCCGGGTACTGCATCGTGAATAGCTCGCGGCTGGTTCGCAGCACCTTCATCAGCGGGCGATTGGTCTCACTGGGTGGGGCAGGGCAGGAGAGGGGCACAGGAAAGGGAAAGGGAGGGAGGGCAGGAGAGGGAGGAGGGCACGGCAGGATGGGAAAGGTAAGACAGGGCGAGCGAGGTAAGCGAGGTAGGGGGCCAGGCGGGGGTAGCAACCAGCCAGCAGGGGCCCCTCGGTGCACTTGAGGGGCAGACAGCAGACAGCGACGGACCCAGCGGCCGCCATGCGTATGGAACGGAACGGAACGGGGAACATCTCGTACGTGACTAAGCACCCTCGGCGCTGGGAGGGAAGACGTGAGCGCAGGGTGGAGGGGCGGGTGGGGGCATGGGAAACCAGTCGTATTGCAGTCGTTGTCGTACGGCATGTGTCCTTCCCGACGTACCCTATTTCCGCCAGGTACGTGAGGCGGGCCAGTGCGGGGACTCCCGTGCACAGCAGGGCGGCGATGCGGTCGGGGACCAGATGCGCCACCTCTATGTCGTAAGCCCAACTGAGGGGCGGGTGGGGGTGGGGAGAGGCGGGTGGGATGGGGAGAGGCAGGTGGGGTGGGGAGAGGCGGGTTGACGGGTACATGGAGAAGGGGGGAGCACGGTGCAGGGAGAGGGGCGCCGGTGGGGAGGAGCTATAACCCCGACGACCCCGTGACCCGCGGGTCATGACCCATCTGCTACCGGACCCTACTCGTTATTGCTTTCCGCGGCATCTCCCAGCACCCTGTACTTGTGCCGCAGGGTGGCGCAGTTGTATGCCACCAGCAGCTGTGGCCGCGCCTCGGCCATGGCGAGTGCGAACTCCGGGCCCCTGTGAGAGGTGATGAGGGGTGAAGGGAGGGGGAGAAGAGAAGAGGTGGTGCCAAGGGATGTGCGGTGCTGAGGTGTCGCTCTACCGCTACCGGGCAGGGAAGGGTGGGAAGGGCAGGCACGACCTGTTTTTTTCCGATGTGGACTGTTACAGAGGAACGACAGGAAGACCACCAAGAAACCAGCGGAGAGAAAAACCCACTGGACACCAGGGAAGCACCCCTGGAAAACACCACTTACAAGCCCACCTGACAGAGGAGAAAGGAACTGCAACAGACAACACACCAGACAGGACAAGGACAAGGACGGGGCCTGTGTCATAGTCAGGTCCCCAGTTCGCCCGGGAGCCCCCCTCACAAGCAAGCCCATCATCCAACTTACATTGCCACCCCCGACTCCGGCCCCCACCCCATCCAGCTTCCCCAGCCTCCCTCCTCCTCCTCCTGCCCCCCTCACTTGTCCATCAGCCGCCCCAGCTCCCCCAGGTTGCGCTCCAAACTGCCAGTCTCAAAAGCCAGCAGGCGGGGCTCGCGGGCCGCCAGCTGCAGGGCCCGGGTGGTGGGGGAGGGTGCGGCTGCGAACCAGGCGAGGAAGGGAGAGGGGGGAGGGAAGGAGGGAGGAAGTGGGACAGGTGGGTGGGGGCCATGAAGGGGGCACGGGGGCTGCGGAAGTCCCTAGGTGATGGCAGGAGAAGGGGCAGGAGCAGCAGGAGCAGTCCTACCGCTGGATTGCTTGCTGGCATTCCCATCCACAACCCCTTCCTCACCTCCCTCGCCCTCCTTCTCCTCCTGCCCCTTCTTGGGACCCAGCTTGTACAGCCGCTCGATGCCCGCCAGGCGCCGCACAAAGGCGCCCACGTCCGATGTGAGGATGCAGTCGGGCCGCGCCAGCGCCGCCCGCACCAGCAGCTCCAGATGGGCGGGGTCCGGGTAGCCGTGCTGCAGTACGGCGATGCGCGCGGCGATGGTTTCGGGGCGGTGGCCGGAGAGGGCGCGCAGGTAGGAGGGGCACATCTTGAGGGAGCCGGGGGGGAGGTGCAGCTGCGGAGTGCGGGGGTGGAGGTGGAGGCGGGGTGAGGGGTGAGGGGGGCGAGGTGTGGGCGGTGGAGAGGGAAGGCGGTAAGGGAGGCGGACAGAGCAGCAAAAGTAGGCAAGGGTGATTCTTAGAGCGTTGTAGAGGGTAGGAGAGTCGAGTCGGAAACAAGGGTGCAGTGCGCGGAAAGGGAATGGTGTCGCGCGGGAGGCCGCTCCGCGCGTCCATCGCTGCAACCACATACTCTCCAATAGCCTGCCGCACCTACCCCGTCCTCGATGACCCGCACAACCTCCACCTTCCGAGCCTCGACGGCTTGCGTGTCGCTGCGGGACACACGGCGGCGCCCAGCGCTGCTGCTGCTGCTGCTGCTGCTGCTGGAAGTGCCGCTGCTATTGCTGGTGCTGCTGCTGCTGCTAGCAGTGCCCTTTGTATCCTTTGTGCCCTCAGAGGTGACACTCGCCGCTGCGGGTTCCGACACCTCCGCTGGCTTCCGACCCTTCTTAGGCGCCTTCCCTCCCTTCGGCCCGACCTTCTTAGCCTCGGGATTGCTGTCGCCGCTGCTTTTAGAACCAGTTTTTCCTCTGGTTGCTGCCAAGGGCTTTGGGGTCCTCCTAGATCCGGTTTTCCGTACAGTGGCGGCAGTGGCGGCAGTGGTGGCAGTGGTGGCAGCAGCGCTTGTGATGGATTGTGGTGCCGATGTCAGCGTCAGTGTAGGCCTGCTTGGAGCCAGCTGCCTGCTTTCGTTAGCGAGGTCCACACGGGGGTGGGTGGGGCGCAGCAGGGAACGACGGGATTTGTAACACGGTGTTGGTTGCGGTGGGTAGTTGGATCGTGCGTTGGTCATGAGGACGAGGTGCTGCAGGGTGGTGGGCGCGATCAAGGTGGGGTACGGATGCGCAAGCATTTGCCGGGGACAGGGTATTGGAGCTTTAGTGCGTAGATAGTTAAAGCAATATGTGCGGAAAATCGGCGGAGGGTGTGAGGTGCAAGGCGAAGCCCCTGAGGTGGGAAGTAAAAGGGTTCTAACTAGCAGTGAATTAATACCACTAACATGCTCATTATTACCACTAACATGCTCATTAATACCATTAACATATGTTTACAATACGTAATCTATTGAAGCTGCTTGCCTGACAGGGTAACGTGCAGCCCCGCAATTGCGGAAGGCCATGGTGACGGATTGCACCCCAGAAGACAATTGGGTTCGTCTTGACTGATGGCCCGTGTATTGATGTACTTGAAGCATTTTCAAAGGTTTTGTGCTTGGGGCTCTCGCTCGCTATGCCACTGCGGCAAGTCGTGACCTCCACGATAACTTCAGGCTCATATATTCAGCGCAACAAGATACGCGTTTGTTGCTTAATACCGATATTGCGTTTACGAAAGCACTTCGTCTTGTAAACTAATTCCTGATCTTCCATGTCCGATACCGTACTACGGCGGATCGAGGGTTAGATAGCCCGCAGGCACCGATACAATCCTTTCCGCGAGTATACAGGAACCGGCTTAGTTCTATCTTCGACGCTGTATGCACTTCACTTACCGCTCGTCCCACTGGTCAGCCACTGGCCCAAACGACCGCACGACCAAATCCACAGGCCAAATCCATCGGCATCCGTGCCTATACTGCACATACTCCCGCTCGCTCCCAGCAACTTTATACTGCTTCTGTCATGCGTAGCTCCTAGTGGAAATAAGATTAGAGTGCCGCCGTTTACCTGAACTAAGGACTCATTTGGTGGTTGTGTCCCATGTGTGCCGCCCCGCGTATGGTGCTGTGCAAAAAGGTATACGACAGCGAGATGCCGGAGGGGATTGACGGGGCCATGGAGTTGAAGAGGAGGGTGTTACACGGCGTACGAGGAGGGTGGACACACATTTCCAGGGAGATGGTGTATGACTGCCAAGGTAGCGGGTTGTATTCACTTACACGAAACGACACCTTCACGAACCCACCGTACTTCATAGCATAAATCCAACACCGCACTTTTTCGGGTTTCACCAGGGTTCACAGTTATTAGATGCAAACCCCCGCCATATGGACAATACAACATCAATTCCTTGTAAGGCACGCTTCATGCATACATAGTGTGTACGCAGTACGATGAAGCACAAACATGGGACGTACGTGCAGCAAAACAGCACTTGCACCAGCCACGACAGCTATGCGGGCTTACCTTACTTGCCAACACCTTTTAGATTTGCTTGTCTCTTTTATCTTCCCCACACCCAGACACCCCTACCCAAACCACAAGAGCGACAGTCAGAAATGGCAGGACACCTAAGCGGCCGTAATCGATCACTGTTGTACACGTGCCTTTTTTCTGCCTAAACCAAACCACACACCGTTACTATGTTCACACTACGTGTTTGCAGCAGCTGCACAAAATACCGGTACCAGGCGCATCAGCCGTACACCTTCATCAGCCGTGCTGGGCAGTCACCGTACAAGCACCAGATTTCCCCGGGCGGTTAATCCTTTAACCTCCAGTATTTAATCACCTAGGCGGGTATGAGTTTATCCAAATACATGAACGGATGATGAACATATGCCCCTCGTTCACCCAATATGAACATTGATGTATGTGAGGAGCACGCACGCCCGGATGCCGTTATCGCTCCTGCTGGGGGCCTACGTGCCAAGCCAAACGAGGTCCCAATTACGCCCGTTCAAATGCGTTATCATGACAAGAGTAAGTTACTCAGAAGCTCATCCCTGCGCTCTTCGAAGCCCGGACACGCGTCCTCGAATGCGGCTTTGGTCATGTTTAGAACCGTCCGCAAGCGCTTGGAGCGCATCGGCCTGATGGGGCACATGCATGCATGCATGGGATGGGACGCGTTATTACATGCACGGGCGCACAACTGTAATTGTAGGGCCCATGCAGGCAGGCATGGGTGCAACATGAAAACAAATTGAAGCGGGGAAGCGTATGTAATGGTGGGCAGGAAAGCACGCGGTGGAGGCGAGCTGGGCGGCTGTAAGTCACTAGCAGATTTCAGCCTCATCAGTAAGATTGCAACTACTCTGGTCAGAGGGCTTGCGGATCCGAGTAATGCCTTGCAAAGATAACCACGCAATCGGGTGTAGTGCCCGGCAGTTGGAAGGAGCGCTGGTTGGTACCCTTCCACAATGAGAGAGCGTTGTGCAGCAGGAACGAAAGACCCACGGGTCACGTGCAAGGAATGACTCCTTGCGATCCCCCATGGTGGCCTTCGGCCTTCCTCTCAGCAGCGTATCATCTAGAGTCACACACCCTACCCGGCGTCCGTTGCGTGGAGGAGGCGAGCCAGTGTGGGTGTCCCATGGGTCAGCAGCCTGGCGAGCGTCTCGGGGCTTGCATGTTTGATCAGACTTAGCTCACTCTTCCACCTGATGGTACGGAAGTGTAATAATACATGGCGGAAAGGCCAGCAGGGGGAAGTTATGTAGACTAGAATTCGGTAAAATATACTTTAGGGTTTAGGCATGGGTGGTAAGATGCGGCAAGGGGTCAGGGATAGGGAACAGGGGCCCTGGGGATAGTTTCATGAGCGCACAAGTAAGCAGGAACGCAACCAGGCATGCAAGCGCGCCTGCACGGCTATGGCCGTGTCTGCCGTACTGCACTTACAGAGGGACCTTCTTTGCCGCAGCCGTGAGGATTTCCATCTTCTGCCGCAGCGTCGCAGTGGAGTACGACACGAGGAGCTCCGGTTTGGCGAGCACCATTGCTCGGACGAATTCACGCGCCCTAAACAGGTTGACACACGCACATTGACGGTTTTGTTGCTTGGTTGCCGGTCACAACGGTCATGTTCGGAGGAAGTCTGTTGCGAATTCAACAGTCAAACGCATTGCTGCACTTGGACGCTGCGCCAACTGCTTACAACTATTCCAGGGCGGCCCCGACCGCCCCGCAACCCATTCGCCAGGGTTAAGGCGTATACCTGAGCTGCCCCTCCCCTTCCTGCCCCCTCGCTGCCACCTACTTGTCCTTGCTTTTGGCCTGGCTGTCGGGTTTGCCCGTGTCCTCCTCCACCAGCCGCTGCAGCGCATCCATCTTCAGCTGCAGCGCGCCCTCCTTGGCCCCCAGCAGCGCCGGCTGCCGAGACACAAGCGCCAGTGCCCGGTCCGCCAGTACCCGATCTACGGTAAGGTATGAATCCGGCGGCAGGAGTACTTGTTGGCGATGAGCAGTGCGAGGATGTACGACTGAGTGGTATGTTGGGAAGGCACACGTCTACATGCGTGATGTTGGATGCAAGCACCGTCCGTACGGGTAAGCAGGCAGGGAGGCAGGAATGCGGTGAAGCGTGGTGGCGTGTTTTTGTTGCCAAACGTCTACAGGGGCACAACGAATCCACAAGTTGCAGCAGCAGCTCTCGGCATTACCCATTATTTGCTCCTTCCCAAGCCACCCAAGCAACGCAGCCAGGTCCCTCAGCGTGTCCTGAATGGACCCAGCCACTCGGGACTTGAGCAGGATGTGCGGCCGCCGCTCAATCAACTGCCGCACCGCCTGCTCGTTGCGCGGGTCGGGGAACAGCGCCAGCAGCATGCGAATCCTGCCGCGGATGTCTCGGGTGCTGTCGGTGGGCAGCTGTTGCTGGTAGGAGACAGGCAGCTCAGCTTCCAGCGAACCCTCTGGGAGCCCGAGCTGCGTGTTCAAAGCGCAGCGCATGATGCATGGTTTGGCCGGGGATGGGTGCACATGGCAGGGGGATGAAGGGGAGCCCAGGCTGCTCAAGCAAAATACAATATGACAGAGCAGGTAGCAGCAGGGAGTGGTGGATGGCGTGACATAGCGGAAGTGAGAGTTGAAACAGATTGGCAAATACAAATAGCGTTCGTGTATCTGTTCGTTGTTGCTTCCCTGGAGCGACAGATCTTGTGCCGCAGTCTTTGCCTTCGGATTGCGCCTGGTCGGCGCTTTTCGTGGCCTCCATGATGCTTTACCGCATGGTGGGATTACAACCATGTAATCGCCGCAGAGTTCCACAAAGCCTATTAAGCATGTACTGAGCATTGAGTATCGTTATGCATAGCGCCATCACCGCTGCACCGCAATAGCCGGCTTGGCCAGCCCTATCGTGTAGCACCTAGTTAGTACACCAGCCTGCTATCTAGTAGCCGTTTCAGCGCCGGCATTCGGGAAAGCATGGTCACAGCCGCCTGCCTAGCCGGGCCTCTGCGACGTCGCGGCGCGTCGTATCGCTTATGGAATCGCCAGCGTTTATAGGGGTTACCGGGCGGCGCCTTTGGCTACCACAACCTGGTGCGGAGTGTCATCTGGCCACATTCCGCGTCGGCATAAGTCCTCATTCTCAGGCAGCCGACTAATCCCTGGTGCTCATGCCAGCACCGGCCACTCCTCAACCTTCGCATCGGGTTGTCGAGTGGTAAGCCCGTATTGCCACGAAAAGCCCCGCTCTCGTCCTGTGCGGCTTCTTGCTGGGATGGCGAGCGACATCGTCAGCGACAAGCTTTGTCGGGACGCTTCGGCTTGCCTGCCATGGGTGCATTGATTGGGTTTACTTCAGTTGGAGCTGCAATATGGTCCTTCGCCGACTGTGTTGACTGTTTCACTTGTTCCAGCTTCATGGCGGCTATCTGGGGGGGGCGCTTGGCAGCCCTGCTCTTCCTGGGCGCCATGTGCTTTATTGCTGAGTTGACGCGTCTACATGCCTGGTCGCGTCTGCATACAGCGCAGCCGATTAGGCAGCCCGGCAGGTTGGGGGCGTCCTGGCTTCTTGGCATCTCTTGGTGTCCCAGCGCTGCCTTCTCCTCTGCAGTCCCCTTCCTTGTCCCAATCCGAGTTCCAATCAGCCCGTCCGCACAGCCAGCTTCGTTCGAAGCCCAGCCCGTCGTTGATCATTGCCTGATTCTACATCTTCTACAACCGGCAGCGTTCAGTCCTGCAGCACCCAAGGGTCCTGGCCAACCCGCAAGCCGCCATAGCCACGACCTCTATGCTGTACGGTCGTCGAGTGCACCACGGTTTTACCCACCAGCCGGTCACACCGTTGCACTTTGGCGCAGCATTGCGGGTGCTGCTCTTGTGGCGGTGGCCTGCCTGGGCATTACGGTTCTGTCGATGGAGCTGCTTGGCGATTGAGACACCACGACCTCCGAGGCCTTCTGAACCCTGGTTTGTCGTAGATGCAGTCGTTAGGATGTTGGTACTGGCGCTTTGGGGTACTAGCTGCGGACTGTGTGCTGGTTATAGTGTCGTGCGAGAGGGGTTGCGTACATACCTCAGTTCATGCTCTCCGTCTGGGGGGGCGTACTGCGCTTACATGTAGGACAGGAGGGCTGCTGCCTTGTACATTAAGCCTTGCTGGGCCGTCACCGACGGTGAATGTTCATGCCATACAGCTGCTCACAGACTGCCTTGCCGCAGCAGTGACCTGTTCATGGTGCTTGTATGCTTGCCTGTAGGGGCTTCTTTGTGACTAGTGTATGCTGAAAGCCATGCCAAGCCGCGTGGTCTTGAGTCGTTCAGGGTAGATTGGTTGTAGGTCGCTTGAGGTCGGAAAAGGCACGCCGCGCCGCGTGGCCGTCATGTTTGTTCAGGATAGGATTGACGTTGGTCAGCGTGCTTGCTTCTCCTGACTGGCGCGAGGAGAAGTCAGTTTGCAGTTACAGTCTAGGATGTGGTGATGAGGGGATCTGCACTTAGGACAGAGCATCTTGCCATGTCTGCTTAGTTGTGCATCAGCTGGTCTGTGTTCTTGGTTTGTAGCCGCGTGCCTTTCCCTTGCCGGATTGGTGTTGCCATGGCTAGTGCTTGCCTGCTGGCCCACGGGTCGGTGCGTGCTCAGTTTCTGCCGTACTAGCGGATAGCGTATTGCTTGCTCGTACCTACGTTAATGTTCCGTTGACCGTACTCTCATGCCGTTGCCTGTTTGACCTTGCCGGTCATCAGTGTGATCTGGGGTACTCCTTTTTTGTGTTCCGCCCTTGTGACTTCTTCCCTCGGGCGTGGGGGGGAGTGTCATACCCCATGCCATTGTTTTGCTCATTTCAGTCCTGGGGCTTGACAGCTGTCGTGTCCTAACCATGCGTATGCGAAATCATGGTCCGTGGTTTCAGAGCAGGTCGGTTGGTTGCTTGCATCGCCCAAGCATGTCCAACTCGTAGGCACTTGCAGTTATCTTTATGTTTCTTTTTATACCAGCGGTTGAGTGATACCAGTGGTTGAGTTGCCGCGTTCGTGTATCTGTTCGTTGTTGCTTCCCTGGAGCGACAGATCTTGTGCCGCAGTCTTTGCCTTCGGATTGCGCCTGGTCGGCGCTTTTCGTGGCCTCCATGATGCTTTACCGCATGGTGGGATTACAACCATGTAATCGCCGCAGAGTTCCACAAAGCCTATTAAGCATGTACTGAGCATTGAGTATCGTTATGCATAGCGCCATCACCGCTGCACCGCAATAGCCGGCTTGGCCAGCCCTATCGTGTAGCACCTAGTTAGTACACCAGCCTGCTATCTAGTAGCCGTTTCAGCGCCGGCATTCGGGAAAGCATGGTCACAGCCGCCTGCCTAGCCGGGCCTCTGCGACGTCGCGGCGCGTCGTATCGCTTATGGAATCGCCAGCGTTTATAGGGGTTACCGGGCGGCGCCTTTGGCTACCACAACCTGGTGCGGAGTGTCATCTGGCCACATTCCGCGTCGGCATAAGTCCTCATTCTCAGGCAGCCGACTAATCCCTGGTGCTCATGCCAGCACCGGCCACTCCTCAACCTTCGCATCGGGTTGTCGAGTGGTAAGCCCGTATTTAGTGTCATACCCCATGCCATTGTTTTGCTCATTTCAGTCCTGGGGCTTGACAATACCACAAAAGAAGCGCGAATTAGAGATTGCGCTCTGTCGTGCTACATGTTTCCTTGCCAAGCCGTACGACATACCTCTTTCTCAATTCCTTTCATGTTGTCCTTCCGCTTGATGTCGTTCAACCGCGCTCTGGGGCCCTTACGTAGGTTCCTGGTCTGTACTTGACTCGCTGAAGCTGCGGTAACGACTCGGGCGCCGATTGGGGCGCTATGTCTGGACGGTGACGTCAGGAGTCGGCTGCATGCGTGTACGAATGCAGCTCGCGACGTGTCCAGCAGATGTGGCCTGCTGCGCATGCAACAGCACACAACGCGCAATCAGATCCAGGTCTGTCCGTCGAGTGCCAGCGGCACCGCAAGGAAGATAGGGAAAATCCATAAATGCATTAACACAAGGCGTCCTACGCTTTCAAGCCTTTAGGTGCTTGCCTGGCTGTGAAGCGCCCGATTCCTGCCTGGCTTAATGTCAATGTGATGGCGCCGAGGCGTCTAGCCGACTGCGATGGCTGCGCGCATGCTGCTATGGAGCAATTGCGATGTAGCTGGTTTACTCTCGACATGAATGTGACGCGGTTACGCTGAAATGGTCGTCGTTAAAACCTTTCGTTGCCGACGGATGTCGAGGCTCGCAAAAGTAAAAGGTCTTTTAACGAGTGAATATAAAAAGCAATCGTCTGTAAACCAGGAAGTCTTTTGCAAAATTGGTAATTCCAAGTCTCCAACAAGATCGTTCTCAGAGCGACTTCTCAACTACTGCTGTACGGTACGGTAGTGGCTTTCCGCGGGTAGTCGCAGAACGAAAGTCCAATGACACCAAGTCGAACTAGCGTGGAGTGTCGCAGCCGTCTGTGGAGCTCTTGTCTCCTTTGGCACCGTATGCATCTTGGTGGGGGAAGGGGCTGGTGCCCCTTCCCCCATACCCCCATCCCCCCTTACATGCATGCGCAAAAGTTAATACCTGTACCTTTCAAACTCCTCCGGTGCATTAAGGAAAGTACGGTTGCGCTTTTTATCGTTGCCTCTGACCTGTTGTTGCACCTTCTCCTTCCATTTCCCGGTTTCCTCCTCGCTTAGTTGCAAATTTTTGATGGTTTGGCGTCCATGCTCAAACGCAGGTGTTATGTAAGTTTGGTACCGTTGCAACTGGTTCCTCGCATGCAGCCTGGATGCTGATCGGGAAAGGGACTGCGCTTGTTGAGCGCATGTCGATGGCGTCGATGCTAAAGCTTATGTCTTCGATAGCTGCCGTAGCTATAGCTTATGTTAATTTCCTGTTGCAGCGTTTGCTTATCGCTACCTGTTGTTGTGAGAGGAGCCGCAATGCAGTACACTAAGCCTCCTTGCGATTTTAGCCAGGATCCGCATTTGCTCTGCCTGCATTCTTACTACTCAAACTGCCCAGCAGCTGCATTTGCTCAATGCTGCTGCTTTGCATACCGTTTTTTCCGGTGACCCTGGTACGACAAGGAAGCTGCGCGAAGGTGTCAGCTCGCTTGAGCGACTGAGGCTGCGAATTACTCTACTAGCATACATCAGTTAAATCACGTTTGCGACTCGTCGTTATTCAGAGGTAAGACAATGCTTCCGAAGACTTGCAACGAGAAGCGAGCAAGACCGAAGAACCTTGCAAGCCAATACCCTTTCCGGCAACAGGAATGCAACAGCGATTGCTGATGATAGGCACAACTGCCAAACCTGTTGGTAAGACTCTAAAGCAAAGGCACATGTACCATGCGTATCGGTACCACGTCCTGCACAGCTTGGTAGCCTACATAGGCTGCTTTTGTGAAGCTGTTTTCAGGGTAAGCCTTAACTGCCAAAACCAGCAACTTCATACCTTCATACATCAGCGTGAATACACCGTACGGACATCCCTGAAGCACACCTACACCCGCTTAAACGCACCGGACATTGTTTGCCAGGCATCGTCATGCAGCTAAGCCTAAGTCTCCCGGCGGCAGCTGCGGCGGCATCCCAGCACCGGCGCAACCCCCGAGGACCGCCATCACCTGCTGCTGAAGGCGTGGTATAGGCGCTTACCGCTCATCATCCTCATCTGAAGGGAAACTACAAGGCCAGGTCGATATAAAATCCTCCATCCTTCTCCTCTTCTCCTCCCTTCCCATCGTCACGCAAGCTTCCCCCGTCGGCACCCTCCTCGGCGCCCTCACCGGACTCCGCCCCGTCCGTGTCCGGCTCCTCAGAGACACTTCGCCACCATCAACGCGGTGGACCACCCTCTCCCTGCGGCAACGAACAGCACGCGGATCTGTAAACAGCAGGTAGGCTAAGCACAGGTGCCAGACCCATACTACTACAAGCGGGTACAAGGGACTCTTCTAGCTTCCCACGACAGCAGTGCTTACATGGCGGTCAGCAGCTTATCGCGGTGGCTGGTGTTGGCAATCGCACAGACGATGGCCTGCAACCGGTTCACGTCATCGGCAGTGAATGCATCAAACAGCTGCCCGGTTGCGTGTAGGTGGCGGCGGCCCGACTTGCCCGTCTGAGCAAAGAACATGCCGTCAGCCGAGGGGCAAAGGGTCGTTAGCACGCTGACCGCGTCCTTGATGTTGTCAATCCGGCGGCTGGCATCCTTGTTGCGAACCGTCTGCACCATCTTCCGGGCGACGCGACCCATAAGGCCACCAGGGTCCACCTTCGACATCATCTCCGGCACCTCCAGCATGATCTTCTGCGTGTCGGACCCTGCCGTGAGTGTCAACTTTGCCTTGCGCTTGAGGAACGGCAACTGCCAGAACTTCCTGGGTGAGTGCGGCATGTCAAGCACGCCACGGCCGTGGGGTGAGTGCGGCTTCTTGGCTATGCCATGGCCACGGCCGCCTCCCTTCGCTAGCCCATTGGACCGGCATCGTGCCGCTGCGCGCGGCCCCCCTGAAGCTCCACGGCCGCCCATGCCCATGCCTCGCCCATGGGAGCGGAGCGATGTGCCTGCCGCTTGCACCCCTGCCTGCACCGAAACTGCACCGCCACTGCCTTGCCCTTGAGGCACCTGCTCCGTGTCTGTGGGCCCAAAGCGCACCCTGCCAGAAGCCACACTGCAGCCGCCGCCTGCACTGCCGGCCCTTATTTGCCCCTGGAGTGGGGACTGCTGCATGCCTGCGAGGCCAGCATGCTCACAAGCAGAAGCCGCACTGCCACTGCCACCCAAAACTTGCCCCGGAGGTTGCGGTGCTGGGGGAACCTCATGCACCAGCCCAGCTGCAGGTGCACCGGCACTGCGTAATCCAAAGTAGCCATCAGACCGGGGTGACGTGTAGAGATCGTACCGATATGCCATGCTGCTTGCGGGCGGGGGCAATGGACCATCGAGCGCCACTGGTGAAGACGACCGCTGCTGTTGCTGCTGGTCTGCAGCGTCCCGCGCGTTGTTGGGAGGGGAGGGGGATGCGTAAGCAGCCATCAAGCGTGTCAATCCCGATGGCGATGCCAAGTTCTGTCGCTGCTGAAGGCTCAACTGCGGTTGCGTGCACGCGTCCCCGGGGGCCTCGCCATGCGCGAACATTGCAGGTATTAGGGATGCCGACCCAGAAGTCTGTGTACGCAAGGCGCCGCCATGCGCGGCTGCCTCCACGCAGGAAGTGGGGTGCCGTGGGGCAGATTGGGTATATATGGAGGGGATGGCAGGGTTGGGAGGCGGTGCATGGACGAGTTGCTGGCCGGTGTGGCTGCCGACGCCACCCCAGGAGGGCAGTTGCTGGCGGGTGGTGTGCAGGTGGGTAGAGGGGACACCCGGCACGATGTGGGCGGTGCTGGAAGCGGGGTCGCTGCTGGGTTGCAGGCCAGCATGTTGGCTGCTACTGGCGGCGGATGTCATGCATCTAATGGGTGGCGGTTGCTGGAGGGAAGACTCCAATGTGCAGGAGGGGGCATCAGCAGCGGCTCTGAGGGTGTTGAGAGGTGGGCGCTGAAAGAGTGGCTCCCCTCCCAGGCCGCTGCCGGCAGCTCTGCTGGTGCCTCCAGATGCCGGGCCGTCATGCGGTACCGTGGGAGCCAACTGACTGGTGCCTGGCTGACCTGGGTGGAAGTGCAGGACCGTCTCTGCGGTCTGTACCCTGGCTTGCCAAGCCCGATCGGTTTGGGGCTCATGACCCCGTCCGGATGTTGATGGACCGTCGGAGTCCAAATCCTTTTGTTCGCGCTTAGGACGTTTCACTCTTTGCCCTTGCCTCCCGGGAACAAGTTGCCCCGTGCGGGGTTGGCAAACTTGCGGCCGTCGAGGTGGCGACCGTGGTGCTGCCACAGAGGGCATTGGAGTAATGCAGTTTGGGAGTCGCCTTAGCGGCTTGTCCTTCGTCATACTCTGCTCGGCTTAAGATTGACTGAATAAGGCAACGTAGCCAACGAGAACGCCTGGTCAATGCTGGTCAAGTATTACGCTATGCTATATTGCAAAGAAACGTTTCGGCAGTTAGGCGAAATGCCGACAGATATGTCATGCTAGCATAAATTGGATGCCCGAATAGACTGAATTATATCTTATGTAAGATGGCGCAAGATACGGTCAACGCATAAGCAACGGCGTTAAATTCGAACAAATATGTTACAGCATAAATGGTACAAACAGTGTTGCTGCTGTAGAAGTATCTCACTATAAGTGGAATTCAAGCCCCGTGGACAAATCTTTTCGCGCAATCCCTCTATGTAATCCAGGCCCCGAGTACGGAATACCGGTAGCCGGGAAAGGACGCGGAAAAGCCTGCTCCTGCTTACGCGTCCTGCTGCTCCTGCTGTTCAATCCAGCCATTGCCACTGCCGCTACCAGCGCGCTTCCGTGCGTCCCCAGCGGCTGGACGAAAGCAGAAATGAAACGTTTGAAGGATACCCCTTTAGGCATGCCCAACAACCTGCATGCTCGTCATTACTCCTCCTCCTGCCCCTCTCCGTGCGCCTCCTCCTCCTCCTGCCCTGGCTCCGGCTCCAGACGCTGCCGGTTTTCCTGCAGCCAGCGCTCGAAGCCCGGGTGCTCGGCCTGGAAGGACGTATGGTTGTACCGCACCACCGCAAGCATGCGACGGGTCGCCTGCCTGCGGGTCGGGGCCGGAGAGGTGAGTGGGGTCGGGCGGTACATATGGGCTGGTACAACAAGCAAAGCCACAAGCCACAATGGATTACACAGCGTAGATCAGGTCAGCGGCCGGGGAAGTGAAGGAAAGCATGTGGATACTCCGGGAATCAGTATCGCGAAAGCAAGGAGTCGGGTGCCGTAGGCAGTAGCAGGAGGAGGAGGAAGCGCGGCATTTCGGCTCTTCCCTCGCCACTCCCTTTTTTTCCCCCAACTCCCTCCCTTCCCCGTGTCCTTCACTTAACGCAGGGGCAGCCAAGCGGACCAGCTACGCCATGTGCACACCTTCCCTTCTCATACGGTACATACCAATCACCTCCCGCCTTCCTCAGCTACTTCCTCTTTTCTTCCCCTCCCTCCTTCCTACCACAGCCATTGCCAATCAACAAATGTTTCCTATCCCAGCCATTGCCAATTAACACATTGGGTGCCGGTATTCTTCTTTTCCCTGCCCCTCTCCCTCCCCTCCTCCCTCCCCTCCCCTCCCTCCCCCTCACCCACTCCCCCCACCCTCACCCCGTCTCCGCCAGGTACTGCAGCCGCGCCAGCACCCCCATGCCCCGGCCCAGCATGACCCCCAGCGTCGAGGAGGAGGCCTGCTCCAGCTCCACCTCCCACCTACATGATGACGCGTTGTGGAGGAGCGACTCATGGGTCAGTTGGAGGAGGGAAGGGGAAAGGAAACAGATTGTCCATAGCAATGCATGCCTAAGCTTCTTCAATCACTGCCAGGGGAGGGCAGCACATGGCAAGGAGATTGCAGGGTTGTGCGAGATTTGTTGCGCACGACAAGGCATGTACGACGTCCTTAATATAGGATGATAGATGGAAAGATTCACAACAGCCAATGGGTAGAGGGAATACATACCAATGCCTGTTGTGAAACCGCGTGACGGCACCATGCCTTACGCTTGGCATAATGCTACCCCATTAGCGGACGCAAGAAGTGTCGTACGTCCCATGATAGGATTGCCGTACGGATTAATGGATACACATGTGATGCCGTACCGCCGCACTCACTCCTTTACTAATGCCGATGCGTTCAGGAGAGTCATGATCTTGAGTCCCAGTGTGGCTGGCGAGTAGGTAGCAATGAGTTGAGGCGCGTGGTGCACCAGCTCTAATGTGAAGGAGCGACCCCTGGGTCGGACAGGAGGGAATCACACGTAAGCAGCATGTATACGGCAACAAAGGTAAAGGGAGGGCGGGGTGTCAGGAGGGAGAGTGGGGCGGTATATGACCACGGCATGCACAGCGCAACGCTTGTAGCACAGGGTAGCGGGGCAGCATGAGGACGGTGAGGACGAGCCAAATGAGGCCATAGCGCTGCGGCCCACGGGCACGGAAGGCCCCTCTAGTTGTCTACTTATCTACCGTACACAATGGATACTGACAGGTGACGACACATGCGTCAGACGTGCGTGGCACCTCTCTCTCTCATGTCTCGCCCCTCTACCGCAGGCCCCATATGTACCGCACAAACACATGTGCAGCTTCACACACACCCGCTCACCTGCCCAGCATGGAGTCCAGTGCCTCGATGTTGGCCACGATTGCATCCTTGCGCCGCCGCAACAGCCCCGGCTCCCTCACCACACACTCCAACACAGCCGTCGTTATCCTCCACCGCAGCTCATCCTCCTCTTTTTCTTTCCGCTGCTGCTCCTCCTTCTCCTTCCTCCCCTCCCCGCCTGCTGCGGCTGTCGCCCCACCTTGCGCCCCGCCATTCGCAGTCCCCTTCGCCTCCGCAAACCGTCCCCGCCGCCGAGCCCCCCGCCGTTGCGGCCCTCCAGGCCCGACCCCATCGCTGCTGCCATCATTATCCTCTCCATCACCGCTATCGCCGAGACCGTCACTGTACGACAAAGCTCCTCCCTTCGCCGCCGCCGCCGCTGCCGCCGCCGCTGCAGCAGGCTTCCGCGGCAGCCCCAGCAGTTTCCCCAACTCCGCCACCTTGGCCACCACCGAGTCCGCCCCGCCCTTGCGACCGAGGACGCCGTACGCCCTCCGCCGTACGGCACGCTGGATCAGCTCGCGGTGGGTTGGGTGCGGGAAGGCTGCCAGCAGGGCGCGCAGCTCGGCGGCGACCAGGTGTGCGGGGCGCTGCAGGAGCCTGGGCAGGGAATGGCTGTCGGGGCGCCATGGGGAGTCGGGGGGCAGGCCCAGCTGCGGGATGGGAGGGGAGAGCGAGGGAGGGCAAGGATGGGTGAGGTGAGGTGGGTAACATGTCCGCGCGTTGATCATGTTGTGAATCAAGGCGGCGGGATAGGTGGTCGTGATGAAACAGCATGACAAATTTCTGTTGGGTCGGGAAGTTGCTGACTTGCTTGCGATACAACATCAAGTGCCGTACCTCGCTTTTGAGCATGCACACGAGCTCCTCCTCGCTGCGTTTACCAGAGGGCTTCCTGCCAGGACGAGCATGGCTTTTGATAACTCCGTGCGTGACAGTTTTGCGGCTGCTTCTACTGCATCGACTGCTTTTGGTGCTGAGGACAATGTCGCCATCGTCCACTAAGCGCCTTCGAGTGCGGCGACTGTTGGTGCAGTAAAGGCCATCGCTGTTGTCGTTGCTGCTGCTCTGCTGAGGATGGTTTGGGACGGCTTTGAGGCGGGAGGCCGAAGTCGCGGTAGCCGACGTAATGCAGGGATGACGCATGTAACCAGGCAGGTTAATGGGAGTGGATACGGGAGCTCCCAGCGAAAGGGGTTTGTGTTGTGCCTCGTGGTAAGAAACTACCCGGGTGCCAACGGTCCTGAGCGGTGGATGGATGGGAGATGGGCAATACAGTTAGTATTGATGACAGCCAGTGAATGTATAATAAACCATCTCAAACTCGTACAAAAGGAGTAGCGCCTTAGCCATAATCACCTTGCCAGCATTGTCGCGAATTGCGTCGCGAGGCTTCGCGACTGGCGGCAAAGTGACCAGGACGACCTGCACTTAAATTGCATTGTTGTTGCTCTAAAAGTCAGAAGAAAAGTAAGGAGTAATCGTACCCCATCATCAACAGGGTATTTCCTACTTTGCCTGAATCCAGATTTCCTGATCTTCTGGCATGCAAGCTAAACGTTATCATACTGCTAGCTACATAACATGTTAATTCTTAACATCACCATAGCACATCGTTCGGTAGGAATTCTGGATAGGCCATCAGGTAAGGTCTCTAACAGAGTTCTCAACCCAAAGCTGAATGCAGTATGCGGTCCTGTAGGAGATGGCATTTGGGCGGAGCTATAAGGTCAATGGACTAGCGGTGCCTGCCTCAACTGCTCAACATCTTTCGTACGACTGATTAGTCAGAGGGCACAGGTTATCGTGCAGCCTGCTTTACACAAAGCATGTCCTCCTGTTAATTCCCTCAACAGGAATGCCCTTCTGCTTTAGGCATCAACCTGAGCCAAGACCTCGTTTACCGGCGCACAGCGCCTTTCTACTGCCATTCTCTTGTGAAGGGCAAACGTGTTAGGCAATGGCTACCGAGTCGCCTACGGCCACAACACTCGTAAACGATCGCTGGCGTCTCATGGCCCTAGCTTCATGGGTGCATACTCTCTGAGTGCCCTTCAGCCACAGGCTGCCCTACCCCTAAGCCGTTCCTCCACCCATAAGTGGGCTACATAGACGACCTGTACCATCCATCTTCCTTGTAGGTTTGTGCATGTAGACTATGTTAATCGCGACTTGGGAAAACGCCGTGTACCAGTACAAAGTCCTAATGAAGGAAGGTGGGCATGCGTACGGGCAAGGTCATAGGTGTGCAATTCATTATCGTGCGCTATCTCCAGCCGCTTGCGCCACCAGCCCATGCAGCCCTGCAGCAGCGGCCGCAACTGGAACCTGAGGTGACACGTGGGTTCTTGGCATGACATGGCACACATCCGGGCAGCTCAGCGCCTTCCCCTTCTGAACCGCCTGTCACTGCCCTCTACCATGCCGCCGCCCTGTCCCCTGTGCCCCTTTCTTGCGCTCGATACACACACGCGCGCGCCACGCAAGCACCCCCGCTGCACCTCCCTTTCCCCCCCCGCCCCACCTGCTTGCGAACAGCGCCACAACGCGCCCGCCTCCACCTTCCCACTTGCCAGGTGCCGCTCAGCCGCATGCCCCCTGCAGCGCCACAAGCAGCTGGCAGTCCCCCGGGTCGCCGCCGCCGGCAGCAGCTGCCAGGGGTGGGCTCGGGGGCGCGAGGGCGGGGCCGGCCAGCGATAGTGATGGCGGGGCCTGCGCGGCGGCAAGGGTACGAACGCGAACGGAAGGCAAAGCTCGTAGGAAACAACCAGTTAATGTTTCCATGCTTGTCAGTTACGGCAATGCCCTGGGCGCCTATCTGTCCCCAACGCCCCACACCTGTGGCGACGGCGCGCTCGACGCGGTAGGCCCCGGGTCGTGGGGCGTCTGTCTCGAACTTGCGCTTGGTCTTGGCGCCCAATGTGAAGGCGGGGCCATCGCGGCTCCTGGGGCGGAAAGGGATGTAACACAAGGCGCAAGGTAGGCATGCAGCATGTAGGGAGGGAGGTTGCATGCAGCCATGCGGCTGATCCTAAGCGCCCCTCCCTTCCTCGCTCCTCCCTCCCTGCCCACCCCTCCCTCACGTCTTGCCCTCCACATGTTTACTGTCCGGGCCCCGGCAGGTCGTCCGGCAGGGCGCTAGGCGGGCGGGGCCGGCCCTTGATGGTGAAGGCGGGGCCCTCGCACACGGGGCGGGGCACGTCGTAGGCGCCAGGACCGTAGGCGCCAGGACCTGAGGGCACAGGGGAGGGTGAGGGAAAAACAGAATAGAATCACATAGAAGCAACAGCGATGCTGCATGATACCTAACCCTGTCCCTCCCCTTTCATCTGTCCTGAAACTCCTTGCCTTCGGAAATTCACCCCCTGGCCTCCTACCAGGTATGAGCGCTGCATCCGGCTTGGCCAGCACCGCTGCCGCCGGCGCAGTGCGGCCGCCCATGGTGAAGGCGGGTCCGCTGCGACCCACCGCCCCCAGCTTTGCCACGTCGTACTGCCCCGGACCCGGCGTGTCATGCTCCTAGGGAGCCGAGGGCGGCCGAGGAGGTCAGGGCGGCGGAGCAGGCAGCGCAGCGGCAATCATGCGGGTGGCCGCGAGGCCAGCGGCGAGCCCTCCGCATGTCCGCCACGCCCTGCCTCTCCCGCACCAACATCCCCTGGGACTCCCTGGAACCACCAAGGAATAGCTTTATTGGGCCCAGCGGTGACCTAAGCTGTTCTACGCGATGGTCAAGACGCTTACTATCAACAGCGCGGTCACCGCTGGGCCCAATCAAGCTATTCCTTGGCATGTCTCGCCAGCAGTCGGTTCCGCCTAAAGCAAACTATGCTTGCCCGGTCCGAGCCTTATGGGCTCCATCTTATAATTTCAGTAACATACGTTCGGGTATGGTGTGCCAGCACGCTCAGCTGTCAGTGTCTGGCTCGATACGGCATTTTAACAGCTGACTACCTTGTCCCTTTTACACACACGAAAAGAGCTAATAAACAATGGCTTACATATTAAACCTATGTTGCGCATGGGTGGCAGCTAGATAGGAATCCTAGCGTAGAAGTACGATCCCTGCGCCAAGCCCTTATTATAATTAGGAATGGCTGCAACGGCAGGCGCGCTTATCGCAGCTCCAAAGGGCTCTGCTATTGACTATGAGGGCTTCGTCGTCAGCCATGTAAGCCCCTGTCCCTCTCCCACGCACCAACATCCATCCAGCTGCCCAGCCCCCAAAGGACGAGTTCCCCTTAAACGTCCTCTACTAACTGTCGTAGATAACAAAGGAACTGCATACCTGGAAATTCTGTGATTGAAATGCAGAACACTGGCCTGCCTGCGCCATGACAAGCCCCACCTCACATCCGCGCAGGTCAATGGCTACACAGAATACCATTGGATCCGTATCCTTGGTAAGAGCAATTCCGTTTCCTTAGCCCCTCCGTACCCACTTGCCCATCTCCTACCCAACCCATACGCCATTGCCCTATCGTCCCAACCTCCGCCTTCCCAGACGTGGACCCGCTAAATGGCAGCCCGGCCCACTCCCGCCTGGAGGTGGCTGCCTCCCTGGAGCAGCTGCTGGGCGGGGCGGCCGCCATCGGGCCCTTGTGCGCGCGCCTGCGGGGCTCACCCTCCGTGCAGCACTTCCTGGAGGACCTGCAAGTGGGTCCCTGGATAAGGGAGGAGGGGGGCGGACCTCCCTGGGTTGGCAGATATGTATTGTGTGAGGGGGTGAGGAGGGCGGTGCGAGAAGGCCGAGGTACACGGAGGGGTAAGGCCCGGGGCTGATCCACACGTGCGCTGCCTGCCACCCTGCCCCGCTAGGTCCATGCGACTGTTCCTCGTCCCCCACCCCCGCGGAGCAGGAGGTAATAGAGCGGCTGGCGTACGGCAGCTCCGCGGGTCCAGGGCCGGGTAGCGTGGCTGGCAGCTGCAGGTGAGCAGCCCCCACCTCCCTGCTGCTGCTGGGGGATGAGGCCTGGCAGGGCGGACAGGGCGCAAATGGTTGGCATGGTGCGCACTAGCCTACGTGCGGCGCATGGCCCTTGGTGCCTTCCTTGCCGTACGGATCAACCCACTTCCGCCAAGCTGCCCTACCCCGCTTTACCCGTGCCCCGCCGCCGGGCCCGCCTCAGCGGCGGCCGCCACGGCGCCCCCCTCTCCTCCCCCTCCTGCTCCTCGCATGCGGTCATGCGGTCGCTGCTGGCGGACTTGGACCGGCTGGGCTGGGGCTGCCTGGAGGAGCTAGACCAGGTGGGGAGGGAGGGGGGCAGGAGAGAGGGAGGGGGACTGGGGAGGGAAGGGGAAGGAGGAGGGAAGAACGTGGAGGATTACCGGTAGGTCGAGAAGTAGGTGCACGGATATTTGATGGCCGCGGATGGGAGAGGATGGCCGCGACCAGGAAAGGTGTTCTGGTGGGCCTGGGACGCAGTGAGGTGCAGATGGGCCGGGGGCGAGTGGGACCTCTTCGCCATGTCCGCTGCACACCTCCTCCCCTCCCCCTTCCCCGCACACGCAGGACGCCGCCCGCCTGACGCTGCTGCACCGCGACATGCGGGGCCGGGAGCACCGCCTGCGCCTCACACTGCCGCCCGACTACCCCGCCTCGCCGCCCGCAGCAGCCACCGACCTGCCCACACCCCTGGAGTTCAGGTGGCTGCCGCAGCAGGCGCCGCTGCAGCAACATGCAGCGCAGTGGAGGGCGGGACCGGCTGGCGGTGTTGGAGGCGGAGGAGGTGGAGCGGGTGAAGGAGCGGGCGTGTGCAGCAGCATAGCGCATGTGTTTGAGGAGTTCAAGCAGGTGAGGAGCGCGCACGAACCGCACAGGATTCCGCCATGCACCCGCCCTTGCTTCCCCAAAACCGCTCCCTGCATCCGCAGTCACATCTATTCCTCCTCCCTTCATCTTCGTCCATGCCCCTTCTTGGATACACGCCCTGCCCCGCCTCTTTCCCTCCTCTCACGCCCCGTCCCTCCGGATCTCCTCCCTCCCCCGGGTGCGTCAACCCCAACAACTCACCTTGCACCCCCTCCCTCCTCCCCTACTTAACCACTTGCACCCCCTCCTCCTCCTCGCCCTCAGCTCATCCTCCGCCTGCAGCCCCTCTGGGCCGCCCTCGAGGAGCTCGACCGCCGCACCCGCGTGCTGGACCCGCCGCCTTCCCTCTCCGCGGCGCGCCGCCACCTAGCTGCCCCCGCCCGCCGCCTGGCGCTAGGGGGGGCCGCCTCGCTGCAACTGCGGCTGGAGGCGGGCGCGCCGCGGGCGCCGCCGCAGCTGCCGGGCGGTGTGGCGTTCCTGGGCCCGCCGGAGGTCGTGGGGGAGCTGCGGGAGGGCTTCTTCGAGCGGTTGCACTTGTGGAGCGAGGAGAGGTGGGGGTTGGGTACTTGGGTTGGGTGCAAGGCATGGGCGGTATGGGAGATGGGGAGTCGGGCGGGGAGTGGGTGGGGAATGGAAAAGCGAGAGAGTCAGGGTGTGGAAGGGAAAGGGGAAGGGTTGCACCGTATACCGGTAGATGGTCCTTTCTGTTTCGCGTCCTCCGCACGGCAAGGCCATGCCTCCTCATGGGCCACCTCCTCCGCCCCCCGCTGCCGCTCAGGGACCTGGTTGACAACCTGGAGCTGCTGTTGGGCCAGCAGCTGCCGCCGCCCTCACCGCTACACCACCAGGAGCAGCAGCACCCCACCACGGGAGCGTATGGCTCATGTGATGCTGCTGAAGGCGAGCCGCTGCAGGCTGAGTGCCCCATCTGCATGATGCACCTGCTGCCGTTGCCGGATGGCGATGGGGGTGAGGATGGGGAGGGAGAGGACGCGGCAGGGCAGAGTGGGGATGTCGGAGCGATGGCGGCGGGGGGCGGCTGCAGCGGGCTGGTTCCAGACGTGGTGTGCCCCACCCCGCAGTGCGCCCTGGCCTTCCACTCACCCTGCCTGGCGGAGTGGCTGCGCTCGCTGCCCGACACGCGCGTGTCGTTCAGCCGCCTGTTCGGCAGGTGCCCCTTCTGCAGCAACCCTATCACCGTACGGGCCTAGACTGGGAGAGTTTGTTTGGATGAGGTTGACTTGGCGGCCTGCGCTTGTTTCTTTATTCTTGTCACATTCTTTTCCATTAATGTGAAAAGAAGGGCCGGGAGGATTGGATAGGGTTGTGGCCTTGCGGGCCGTGGACAGCAAGGTAGGTCAGGAGCTGGACTGGTAAGCATTGGCGCTGAGGGCATGCGTCGGGCAAAGCCCCTAGCGTGCATGCATGGGATAGGCGGCAATAGGATGGGGCCGACGGGCCACGAGGGGAAGGAGATGCAGCAGAAGCAGTACGTGATCCCAGGAATGACGGTTGGAGCATGGCAGTGTTTATGATGTATGATGTACGACAGCTGGAAATCCTCACCGCTGTCTACGGCAACCGCACTGGATGTTTGCTGGTGACAGTGGCATGCGTCTGTTTGGCTGAAGGTGGTAGCCCCGCCGGGACTGTAGCCTAGACCATCGGCGTGCAACACAAACAAGCAAACGGGGATGCAACCCGAACCAGAAATCAACAACCGGGGATCCGATAACCCAGTGACGTACGTGAATCCCAAACACGGTACGAGTGTTGACGGCCGCTTTGCAGTGTGGCCCCGCCGGTGTGTTTGGACACATGTGCCGTCTTGTAAGATGAAGAATTTGCATGCCGTCCTATAGGAACATAAAACCCATCCAGTGGCCAGACAATCCTGTTGGACATGGGCTCATGTTAAATGCCATAGTATTGCCCAGGGCGGACCTGTCGATGCTAGTATCGCACATGGACAATCCATGAGGCAGGAGTGATTCACAGTCCCCGATTTCTGGCCGCTTTTAAGCATACGGTGTTATTGTAATGACGTGCAGTTCTGCATGGTGCCTTCCTTAGGCTTGAAGATGTGCATGCAGAAGGCCGAAGCGATAGTTGCTAAGCCCGTCGCCTGTTTCGGTTGCATGCGTTGTTGTTTCGCTAGGGACGAACAAAACATGGCATTGCTTGACAACCGTCTTATGTAAATGGCTTGCAAGCGTTTTCGCGCATCCTAGCAAGACCGCAATCGTGACTTGTCGTCCCTTATTCCCCGTGCAGTCCCTGATTGCTCGAGTACAAACATTCGTAAGATGCTATCTCTCTTGTTGTTCTGCCCTATTCCCATGACGCTACTGCTGCTTCTGCCGTACGCGTTTTACATGCTTTCTATAATAGGGGCCGAACTGCTTTTGCGTGCTCATCTTATTTCTTACCATTAGACAACTCATCATGCTGATAGTATTGATGGACTCTGCCGTCCTTTGGACAGACTGTGCCCTGGTTGCTGGCAACCACGTCGCTACCGGTACGGGCGACATATAAAAGAGTGAATATGCAAGATGTGCTGCAACCTTCTGCTGCATGATAGTATTGCATGCTCTTCGCTTTTCATTGCTTCCATGGCGGTCAAGAAACCATGTCGCGCGCTCCATGCCTTGCAGGTTTGTACCGGCTTCTTATCAATGTATTATCAGCTTCCTTGTGCTGATGACCATGCCAAAAGGTGAGCGTTCCCGGGTAGGATCGACGGTTCCTACCTCTTACCTGTTGCTCGGTCCAGCTGCGCCTGGAAGAGCACACAGCGCCTCTAGCAAGCGTTGCCTTATGTCTGTGAAATATAAAGAATTAGTTTTTCGGGTTATCAGAGAGGATAGTCATGGTACCGGTAGTGCGGATGTTAACTACAGTAATGGATGTCCTTGATGTTACATTTGCGCCCCTTTCCTGCTTTCTGCCGCAGAGGTGTGGCCACCCGCAAGACACATTCCCGCATTTCCGCCCCTCTCCTCCACCGCTCCCGCCTGGCGTGCCGCCTTCTTCGTCGCAGCTGCCCAGCCCGACACCGCCATCTCCTGCACACTTCCCGTCTGGCGTGCCGCCTTCTTCACCAGAGCCGCCACCCAGCCCCGCACAGCCATCTCCTTCAACCAAGAGCATAAGACGCCTACGCGGCGAGGGCTTTCGCAACGCGCGCATCCTAAGGCAAGTTGGAAACCAATAGGCGACGGTTAAGTTTTGCTCAAGCAGCCGGCCTAGTTGGCATTCCGCAAGTAGCGACTGGCCACAGCTGCATGTGGCGTGTCTATTTGGCCGGCTGTGTGGGCACGGCATGTTGCTCTGAGAGCCCGTTGCATGGGGCTGGAGTGTCTCCGGTTAGCTCGCTGCCTGCTTCTAAACATGCATTGCTCTAGTGTCCCATACATCCGTTCTCTCATCGCCACCAACCCAATCCCTTCCCCCCCCTCCTTGCCCCCACCTCGATCTACGCATGAGCCTCCGATCCTGGCTCCTGCGATTCGTCCGAGTAAGGTACGGCCTGCTGCTGACAGCTGGTGCTGATCCGCCTTCTTCGCCAGAGCCGCCACCCAGCCCCCGCACCGCCATCTCCTGCACCGCTCCCGCCTGGCGTGCCGCCTTCTTCACCGGAGCCGCCACCCAGCCCTGCACCGCCATCTCCTTCCCCGCTCCCGCCTGGCGTGCCGCCTTCTTCACCGGAGCCGCCACCCAGCCCTGCACCGACATCTCCTTCCCCGCTCCCTCCTGGCGTGCCGCCTTCTTCACCAGAGCCGCCATCCAGCCCCTCACCGACATCTCCTTCCCCTCTCCCGCCTGGCGTGCCGCCTTCTTCAACGGAGCCGCCACCCAGCCCTGCACCGACATCTCCTTCCCCGCTCCCGCCTGGCGTGCCGCCTTCTTCGCTAAGGGGCTAACAAGGCATTGGCTACTTTCTCGGCGGCGGCTAGGAGACCCATGCATGGGTCATTGTCCAGCCATGAGACTGCTTGCCTTGAGCCCCGCCATGGGCACAAACGTTGAAGGTGGGTGAGGGTGAGCTGGCTAGCGGTGTGCATGTTGCATTGGGATAGCGGGTGTGTTCGTGGCACGTGTCTGCTTCGCCTCCGAGAGCTGGATGACGCTCACCTGCATCCGAGGTACCCCCAGCGGCAGCCAGTGCCACCCTCAGTCAGCTCAGAACAGAATTCAGCAGTCTTAACAGCCAAACAGCAGCAGCAGCGGCAGCCAGTGCCACCCTCAGTCAGCTCAGAACAGCCAGCAGCAGTTACAGCAGCAGATATATCAGCCCAGCAGCAGTAGGGTCAGCTGAGTCGACAGCTTTCCAAGGTCGAACACACGTGTCTTGCTTTACTTCCTTTTCCTTGCCGGTACTTATATGCGTATAGCATAGCCTAACCCAACGCCCCCAATGCCTTTCTTCCTACGCATGTACCTCTTTGCGGGACGCGGGGGGCGAGGCCATGTCGTGCTACCTACGACGACAGTACCTCCGTGGCGGCCGACAGGGGTGCCTCGCTGCCACCGCCGCCGGTACGTCAAGCTGCCGCCGCTGCCGTACCGCTGCTATTCGCCAGTACAGCCCCCACCCGCATCCATTTCGCCTAGCGAATAAAGGTGAGTTTGTTTGCTACAGCGTCTCACACGCGTGCCTGCCCTGTTCGTTGTTCTGCACCCACAACTATCTCCAATTATCTCAATTAGTTGGGTACCAATAGGCGACGGTTAAGTTTTGCCCAAGCAGCCGGCCTAGTGGGCATGCCGCATGCATCGCCTGGCCACCGGTGCATGTGGCGTGTCTATTAGGCCGGCTGCGTGGGCACAGCATGTTGCTCTGAGGGTCCGTTGCATGGGGCTGGAGTGTCTCCGGCTAGCTCGCTGCCTGCTTCTAAATGTGCATTGCCTTTGTGTCCCATCCGTTCTCTCATCGCCACCAACCCATTCCCTTCCCCCCCTCCTTGCCCCCCCCCCTCGATCTCCGCATGAGCCTCCGATCCTGGCTCCTGCGCTTCGTCCGAGTATATCCTCGGCATCAGACCCTTGCGGCGAACGCCAGCAGTACCAGAGTCACAACGAACGGTACGGCCTGCTGCTTACAGTTGCCCTTGACGCCGCTGTAGAATAACTCGATATAGTCCCCTTTCCTCTCAAGTTGGTGCTGATCCAAATCATCCATTTGCTTTCTGTGCAGGCGCGACGCAAGATGTGCGACGGCGAGCATGTCCCAAGGGTAATACACTCCGCGTACCGGTAAGTTGGGATTGGCTGCGTAGATGTGCAAAGATCCTTTCTCCCCCCCTTTCCTTGCTCCTTCTCCCCCCCTCCGCAGTTCTGGGGGGCCGGCACAAGGATCGACGACGGCCTCCAACACAGGAGCGGGGAGCCAGCGGCGCGCGGACATCGTTGGGGCCCCTCCAAGGCATGGGCGGAGCAGGTAAGTGTGTACAACCCCGCGCTTCGAAGGTAGGTCCTGGCGTGTCAGGGATCATGTGCATGCATGTGGGGGCATTTAGCTGCATCGTACTAGGCATGTTGCATGGGCATTGAGCATTCATTGGAGGGCCTACTGGTGGCGGGCTCGCACCTGCTTTTCCTGCTGATCCTTTCTCCCCCCCTTCCTTGCTCCTGCTCCCTCCCCCCGCAGTTCTGCGGGGCCGGCACAAGGCTCGACGACGGCCTCCGACACAGGAGCGGGGAGCCAGCGGCGCGCGGACATCGTTGGGGCCCCTCCAAGGCATGGGTGGAGCAGGTAAGTGTGTACAACCCCGCGCTTCGAAGGTAGGTCCTGGCGTGTCAGGGATCATGTGCATGCATGTGGGGGCATTTAGCTGCATCGTACTAGGCATGTTGCATGGGCATTGAGCATTCATTGGAGGGCCTACTGGTGGCGGGCTCGCAC